ACACTTAATTCTGAAGTGGTCAGACAAGGGGACACCCAGATTTGAGGCCTCAATTTTCAAAACAAGACATTCTTTGAAGAAAACCTGTCATATGTCATAACTGACTCAACATACTGCATGCAACGAGCTGAGCAGATATGGAATTTTTATCTGCGCTGAAGACGATGAATGAGCTATAAACACTGATTTCTGGATTTTTGACGATGGATAAAAACCTTTGCAGTAGAGATATCAGACTCATCTTTCAACCTTGGGAGAAATTTTCAATCCATCAAATCTTCATTCAAGACTATGTGCAAGGGGGCAACAGATTTTAATTAGGGACGTTATGATCTGCAGTCAAACGTTCTACCACCTGCAGCTCAGGATTCAGTGCCCTTCACAGTTTTTAGTATTTCACCAATACATTTATCCACAACACAACTTTGGAAGTGCTTGATAATTAGTTAATCCTTGATTATCAACACAAAAAAAAATTCCACTCTTTAATCTACTTCTTCCCCCTCCCATCCTCACCATGTTCCTCAGGGGGACTGTGGAGAGCACCTTGAGCAGCTGCATCATTGCCTGGTTTGGGAATTGCACCCTCTCCAACCGCAAGACCCTACAGCGAATAGTGAGGACAGCTGAGAAGATCATCAGGGTCTCTCTCCCCTCCATCATGGACATTTACACCACACACTGCATCCGTAAAGCCACCAGCATTGTGGACGACCACATCCATCCCTCACACAGACTTTTTTCACTGTTGCCATCTGGCAGAAGGTACTGGAGCATCCGTGCCATCACTGCCAGACTCTGCAACAGCTTTGTTCCTCAATCGATCAGGTTTTTAAACTCACAAGGACTGAACTGAATACCCTCTCACACACATACTCTACACTCACACACACACACTCCTCTGTTGATGCTCTACTTGCACTGGAATCTGGAACATTGCTCCTAACATTGTGTTTACTCAAGTGCTGTGTATATCCTACCTCAAGAACTGCCGTGATCACATATGTTAACTGACTGCGTATACTCACAGATCACAGCATGTTAAATAATCTTTGCACCTTATTCTCAGTACCTCATGCTCAGAAATGAGTGCTGTGTTGGCGCTACACTGTCCTGTCTGTTTACTGTGTCTAATGTCTGTTTTATTTATCAGATTTATTGTATTGTTTCTAGTTTCAATTTTTTGCACACTTACATCTGTACGTTTGCACTTTGTACTGTCTATTTTGTTCCATGTTGCACCTTGTTGTTCCTGGAGGAATGTAATTTCACTCCACTGTGTACTTGTTCATAGATGGAATGACAATAAAAGCCTCTTGACTTGACTTGGCTTGACTTCTTTGCACTTCAGTCGGCTTTTATTTTTACCAATCAGTTATAAACACTTACCAGTCTGAATTTTGTTCTGAATGTGTGTTCTGACCCCACCTTCTTTTTCATAACTGGATCTTTCTACCAAATTGGCTCAAAATCCACTGCAGACTTTTAACTGATGTTTGCTTAGAGGCTCTCTGTGCTTTAGTTATATTTATTTTCTTAGAACAAATAACTGAAGATTCCATGTTGTCACTAAAAAACTGCATAATTTTGGTTTGGGTTGTTTCAGTGGTGATAATTCTAACCAATTTTAAGCAGAACTTAAAAACAACTAGCCAGTACATGAGTAGCAAACAAAGTTTTGAACAGTTGTACAGACCTAGAATCATAATATTTTTCATTAAAACACAAAAAAGTTTAGTTAATTGCAGAAAAAATTGTGTTTCAGTAATGACAGTTTTTAAGGTTCCACACTGATTTTCAGACTTTGGGACACATTTACAGCAAAACAGTGGGATCTTGCTCACCATGTGGCCATGAGGGACAGGCAGTCTCGCTTCCTGCTCTAAAATTCAGGGGTGTGGCTAAAATAAGGCTCTGCCTATGGACTAAAACTCTGTGTTTCAAGAGTGACATGAAAATATGGGATAACATTTTTAAGTAAACTTTTATTTATAAGTATTATTTTCAGAAGTTGAAATTTAAGGTTTAGGGTTTGGGACAGCCACGTCTCAATAGAAAGAACCCTTTAAATAACAATTTCGTATACTTAGCTTATTACTTACTATATAATCTCAATGAATACCTTTGATTTAAACACAACATAACATAATACTGGTAAAATCAGAAGTCTAAATACATAATTGTTTATTTATTTATTTATTTATTTATTTATTTATTTATTTATTTATTTATTGTTGGACCACAGTTTTAACTACTTCAGTAGAGTGGCCTATGTATGGCCTATATATATATATATATATATATATATATATATATATATACATATATATATATATATACAGCTTTGTGATGCAGTCCTGTGTAATGTGCTAATTTTGTGTGTTGCACTATGGGGCCTGAAGAATGACATTTTATTCCAACGTATACAAGTTCTATTGAGGAATGACAGTAAATACCACTTGACTTCACTTGGTGCACCTTGACATGAACAAAGGTTTGCTGCTGCACTTACTGTCGTGATTGCATAACTGGAACCTCCTACACAGAACCCATTGTCCTTAAATTGGTCAGGATACACCACCCTCACCACTGTATTGATGTATTATCCTTCTATGCTTATGTTCTTATGGAGTCAAATAAATGTTTACCTATCATCTTGGCCATTTCTGCAATTCTTTAATTTACCAGAAGTGGGCAGCAGCACAAAAAAAATTGCTGACTGTTGCTAATGCAGCAATCCTACAACACTACTACAAATTGTTAGTGCGTTTATGTGTTTCAAGAGTGGCTAGATATTTTAGGAGTTAAATTTTTCGCGATCTTTGAATTCTTATGAGTCATTTATACCAAAATGCCTAGCCATACATTCATTGCATATGATGTAATTCATGGCATGTAATGTAATCTGAAGTTAAACTGAATCTCATCATACTTAGAGAGTTGAAGGGTTGAGCTTCTTTCCGGTCCGCAGTTTGCATAGCACAGTCACTTATTGTAGTGTTGTTAACTGCAGTGCACTTTCACACAGGTTTGATGGGTTTTAAGAAAGACAGACTGTGGATAACAGAGGAATGGATGGGAGAGGTGTACAGCTGAATGGGTACTAGTATGTGGGGAGGAATTAAGCAGTAATCTTTTTCATAAAACCTTTTTCATGCTGTTCTTTTCAGGAGCACAGAGCTGCACAGAGTATCACAGCTTGCCTAAGTGTGTGTTTGTGTGTGTGTATGTGTGCACACATGAGCGTGTGTCACCTCCCCTTTCCTTAGTGTCTCTGTTCTTTTTTCGGCTGAAGACACTTCAGTGACCAGACTGACTGAAAGAGTGGAGGTTTAAAAAAACAAGGCGACAAAAGGGTAAACCTGACTAGATAGGCATAAAATACAGTTGCATACAATTACACTTGAACTATACAGTGATGGTTTTCACTTAGATACAGACTGAGCAGAAAGACACTTCATCATCTAAATCCAGGTAAGCATGTTATGTCTCATGAATATTGTATTCTGTTTTTTCAATGTTATGTAATGTGATGTAAGATGTCATACAAGTTTGTCTACAGTAGGGTCCTGTTTATAAGGATATGTGACACATACATAAGCTTGTCATGAAAACTGATGTAACCCTGCATAAATGCTTATTCTAGGCATCAGCTGTCATAAAGGCTACTTCAGTTAACTTTGATCAAAATTAGCACATGTACTTTTTGTAGCGAATAATGTCTACTGAAATAGGCATTTATAAACATTTATATAGGGCCATGACAAGCTTACGCAAGTGTCATGTAGCCTTATGAACAGTACCCTACAGTGAAGTGTCAGAAGTTTATTTTATGGTGTGAATTTATTCTGCATACATATTTTTCTGACTATATACTGATGACTACAGTGCTAAGAGAATTTCCTTCTGTGTAAATAGCTTGTACTTAAACAAGTTTACAGTTTTATTAAATTATGTATTACATAGTCAGAGTATGAAATTAGACCATGATATATATATATATACACAACCCTAAATCCCAAAAAGTTGAGATGCTGTGTAAAATGTAAATAAATGCAAATCTCATAGATCCATATTTTATTCACAATAGAACATAGAACATATATCAGATGTTGAAAGTGAGACATTTTACCATTTCATGAAAAAACATGAACTCATTTAGAATTTAATGGCAGCAATGCATTTCAAAACGGTTGGGACAGGGCCATGTCTATCATTGTGTAGCATCCCCTCTTCTTTTAACAACAGTCTGTAAACGTCTGGGGAGTGAGGAGACCAATTGCTGGAGTTTTGGGAGAGGAATATTGTCCCATTCTTGTCTGATGTAGGATTTTAGCTGCTCAACAGTCCTGGGTCTTCTTTGCCGGATTTATTGTTCCAAATGTTTTCTAGTGGTGAAAGGTCTGAACTGCAGGCAGGCCAGTTCGGCACCAAGACTCTTCTTCTGCAAAGCCACTGTGTTGTGGTGGATGCAATGCATGGTTTAGCATTGTCTTGCTGAAATATTCAAGGCCTTCCCTGAAAGAGACGTTGTCTGGATGGGAGCATATGTTGTTCTAAAACCTCTATATACTGTTCAGCATTGATAGTGCCTTTCCAGATGTGTAAGTTGCCCATACCACAGGCACTAATGCAACCCCATACCATCAGAGATGCTGGCCTTTGAACTGTGTCCTGATAACAAGCTGGATAGAACCAGCGTTCCTGGTTTCCAAAAAGAATGTCAAATTTTGATTCATCTGACCACATAACAGTTTTCCATTTTGCCTCAGTCCATTTTAAATGAGCTTTGGCCCAGAGAAGATGGTGGCGTTTCTGTGTTGACATATGACTTCTTCTTTGCATGATACAGCTTTAATTTGCATTTGTGGATTGCATGGCAAACTGTATTCACAGTCATGAAACCATTTCATTTTCATGAAGCATCCCAACATTTTTGGAATTGGGGTTTAACCAGTTTATATTGTAGGTTCTGCAGGTACTAAATAATAAGCCTTAGTATGTAATAAGCCTGGGATTTTAAGGGGTTAATCAATGATGCAAACTGCTGAGTTAATAATAGTGGTATTACTACATGTAAGTCTTATGATGCTGTAGCAAATGCAGTTCTGCTAAATGTTGGTAAAATCAGGAAAAGAAAAAGAAATCTGAGAGAAAATGCCCCACCTTCCTGTACACAGCAGGAACAAAAAAAATTCCTAATCTGCCACTTTTGTTCCTCTTTATTATGCTTTATCACTGATGTAGTCAGGAAAGCTGATGGTTGCCAGACAACAGACACTATGTTTAACTTATTTTGTGGAGTAGGTAAAGGAGGCTTGGCAACCACTCTGTGTAAACACTTCCCATCTGAATCATGACATGGCAAAAGTAATGGATGAACATTCTGTGGATTTTTTTGCTTGATTTATAACTTACAGATAAGCTGATGGCAGTTCTATCTGCTAAATGAGGACTGATGCATGAATTAAGGTCATTAACTCTAATCCATGTGATGAAACAGTATGTAACATTTAAATCCAAATGTCCATAATAAAATCCAGTTTTCAGCCAAAGTCAGGCATATATTCTGGGGTACGGTACGTTCATAGCTACACCAGGGACCATGTTGTCAAAAGGATGTGACCTACTTTGGAAAAGAATGGACCTACTTCATTCTGTGGTCACTCTGTGAGGTTACTCACGTCAAGTCAAGTCAAGTCTCGTCTTAAGTTTATTTATATAGGGCTTTTTACAACAGGCGTTGTCACAAAGCAACCTGGGTCAGAAAAAAACCTGGGTCTAAGCCCCCATGAGCAAGCCAATGGCAACAGTGACAAGGAAAAACACACTGAGAGCAAGAGGAAGAAACCTTGAGAGGAACCAAGATTCAAAAGGACAACCTTTCCTCCTCTGGTCGACACCATATAGACAACAATAACAGCAGAGAATGAGATTTGATCATTAGTATAACATACGGAAAAAAAGGTGAAAAGCAGGAGAAGCCATGTCTATGATTAAAAAATGCAGCAGTATCATCAGGAGGGTCAGTGGCATGCAGGTGAGGTTTGTAAAACGTTGCTCAGCAGGAAGCTCCATTGTGGTCAGAGTGGTCCAGAAGGCTGGTGAGCAGTGGGCATCCAATCAAGGCAGATGAAGCAACAGCATCAGACCACACAGGATGGCCAGTTGTTCAGCTCAGCAAAGAGACAAAATCAAGTTAAGTCATCCAAGCGCAGCAGAGAAACACAAAAAGAGGGAGGAAAGGAAAAAGTTTTCCATTACACTCCCAAAGCTAACTGTTTTTGTTTTTGTTTTTTTTCAATCAGAACTGAGTGCTGCACAGGTTCAGTATAGTCTTACTACAGATAGTGCCCTAAAAAAGACAACCGTGAAGTGAGAAAAAAAACTTTCCTGGCTGTGCACTGGACCTGGAACAAACACACTTGTGTGGTGAAATGTTTTGGTTTTAAGAAAAAAACTTGTTTGTTTTCACCAGGCACTGTGGTGTTGAGTCTTTTTTGCTTGTATGCCAAATTATGCTGTCTCATGATGCAAAGAAACCCATATAATGATACAGGATAAGATTTACATATCTTATCCTGTATCATTATATCCCTACTTAGTGTTGACCTTCCTAGTGTTTGTTTATGTCCAGCTTGATCTAAACTAACACCATGAGTGTTCATTTAACAACATGTGCAGTATTGTGAATTTCTCCATTATGGGACTAATAAAAGGACTGTCTAATGTCCCATGCCTTTAAAAAAGAACCAGCCAGCCAGTTCCACTTCTGTTTTTTGCAGGGTGAATGGATGAGATTTTTTTGTGCTTCTTTCCATTCTAGACAAATTTAGAAAGAGACTCTGAGTAAGACACTGGGAGTATAAAGTTAATTTTGTCCCAAAATTTCAAATAAATAATAATATAATCATAATAAAATCCAGAAGCAAAATATTTAGTATCAAAATGTCCACAATATTCTGCAAATATAAATAATGAGAGTTAAGTCAAACTTAAGTTTTCTAAAAAATATTACTATTTTCTCTCATTCTGATATAAATTTATTACTGATTTTGTTTTTGTTTTTTTTTTGCTGATGTTAACGACCCTTGGTTAGGTCTAGGGGATTAGGGGTCATGGACGGTGCCAACGAAAAGAAATAAACAAAACCAAGCTTAATCTACATAAACCTAACCTAAACAAAAGTAAGTTGTCTACTCAAACTGAAAACTAAACAAAACATAAATACATATGCAGCCCTACCTTATTACATAGTGTGTTTAACAAAGGGCTTCCTACGTGTTGTTTGTGTACAGGTGCACCCAGACCAGCCTGCATGTTTCCCTAGGTTTTAGAAAAGCTACAAACTGGACTGGACTTACCACCTGGACATCACAAGGTTACGAACAGGGCTCAAAAGTATCTTTAGCTAAGCTCTTAGTTATATGAAATATTTTAAAGTGATTTTAACAGCATCTCTTTTTTAAAACAACAGCAGACTACATGGCAAAATGTGCAAATGTGCGTAAACAGGATAGCAGCAAGAATGAATGCACGAAAATGTGTGTCTGAGAGCTTCTGAGCAGTGTGTAGCAGCCCTTCTGCCATGTTGCCTGCAGAAGACTGAAGCTCCTCCTCTTCTATTAATGTCATTCCTCCTCATTTGTCACCAGTGTAGAACTGATTCCACCATTGAAAAGCAAGCTGTGGCAGACTGCAGCAAAGAGAGACAAGCAAAGAGTGCACAAAATACACATGTGCCATGGCACGTAACAGCTGCCTTTGCTGATACATTTTTGGTCTCACTTTATTTGGATAGTCCACTATAGTCCCCTATAGATTATTGTTAACAAATTGTTGAAACTCTAAACAGTGTTGATTCTAAACAGTGGTGGGATTAGGGTTAGGATTTGGACCAGGGTTACGGCTAGGACCAGGGTGAGGGTTGAGTTTAAGTTTGGGTTGAGGTTAATGTCAGGGTTAGGGTTAGACCCAGGTTTAGAGTTAAAGAAAATTATGGTCAGTTTAGTTGATATTTAGTTGAATGTAACTTGAAAGAAAATTAAGTATCCACAAAGCATCTAAAATGGACTTTCCAAATAAAATGTTACCAAATATTTTTTTTCTTTTTTTTGGAATTTCTTTTATGTCTGACTTTTGGCTCTTTATAACAGAGGGAGGGTCTTAGATGAGGACATTTACCTGCACTTTCTGTTGGTCAACTGATTTTGACTGACAGGTCTTCTGAACATGTAGCCATGGCCAATCCATGAGCCATGAGCTGCCTCAAACATGGCAGAGCACTTCATAGCTTTGTAGCTGCTGAATGAAGCTGTACCATCTTTTGGATTTGCAGAACCTAGCACTACCTAGCCTAGCAGTGTCTGCAAAAGGGCAAATAAGATCATCTTTGCAGCTATTTAATGAGTGATTCTAAGTGCTGCTTCTGGTGACCTGCAGCTTCACATGGTTTCAAGTATTCCTCACCTAAAAACACCTGATCCAGCTCTTCAAATGATTATCGATGCCTTCATTTACTGAATCAGGTGTGTTGGGTTTAGAAAATTGTTGAATCTGCGTTGCTGTTGGTCAAGGGAAAAACGTAGCACTGATTTTTAACCTCTTAAATGCCCAGTGCTCACCAGCATGCCCAAAGTGTTATTACACACTTCTATAACTTAAGAATAACTCAGCCAGTTTGCGCTGAAGTCCCTATAATTACTGAATAATAAGATAATAAGTATGTAATAATCCTGGGATTTTAAGGGGTTAATCACTACAAAAGGGAATAAAGTTGACGTGTCATGGTTGGCTGTTACATTCGGATTATTAAGGCTGTTCTGTTTTTTCTTGTTCCTATTCACAGAATCTCTCTTTATCAGCCACTGAAACGGGCTTCTTACTTCATCATGCCAGTTAACAGAATATGCAACTCCGAATCACTATCTTCACATTAATACAGTGAACTAGCTTTAAATATTTAAGCAGTTTGGTTTTACTACCAGTATGTGCCCTAAAGGACAGTGCTAGGCTAACTAGCGCTTGCAGCTGTAAATTCGAAAGATGGTACAGCTTTGTTCCTTCAGAAACAATGAAGCTTATGTTCATCAATGCCCAAAATAACAGCTATATTCTTTTATACAGGACGATACAAGACATATGTCAGAAAAGGATAAGACAAACATTGCTAATCATGTTAATTCCAGAAGCAAAAAATGGATCAGCAAACTCAGCAAATATAAAAACATTTAAGAAAAAAACTGGCAAAGTGAGTAATACCTTTATATCAGAATGACAGAAAGTGAGTAGCAATATTTTTAAAAAATTAAGTTTGTAAACATTTGTTAGTGTTAGGGTGAAAACATACACTGAGTGACCAGTTTATTATAAATTACATGTTCTATTGATTTTCTAAGTGAAAATAAGTTAATACAAAATCTACAGGGAACTTCAATGTGGCATTTTCTGCTATTTTTGTGCACAGTTTCTATTTATTTGCTGAAAAAAAGAGTTTTAAATGTAGTTCTCATATACACTGCCCCCCAACAAGTATTTAAATGTTTGTGCCACACTTTGTCAAGAAACAAAATTTCAAACCAAGTGACATTTATTTAAAACAGACCATTCCAAGACTTGCATTTCTTTTTTGGCAAAGTTTCTTTCAAGAAGCAGCTTGTGTGTTTCAGATCATTATCGTTTGAGCACTTTTCTTTCTCTGCAAGCTTGTATCCAAAATGCTTTCTATTTTCATGATCTCAACAGCGAATACAAGCTCACCAAGACCACTGGAAGAAAAACAGTTCCAGTCTTTGACATTCCCACCTCTTTACTGTCCTCTTAGTGTAGTCTAGTAGGTTATCTTCTCTAGTCGTTCTCCACATTAATGGTCTCCCATCAATTTGATGAACTAAAAGTGTTTTTCTCTTAAATGAGTATCATTTTATTAAAGATTTCATGAAGTAACATACATTTTCTTTGAGGTTCAGCAATGGTTAAAGTGTCTAAATACTTTTTGAGGCCATTGTAGTATGTAATTTACCCTAAAATAGAATCTCAGTACATTTTTTTATGTTTCTAAGCAGAATGACCTCCAATGGCACTCTCATCCTTGTCCCCCATGCCAGCATCTTTGGCAATAATGGCTTAACAACAGTGGACATTGATGCTATTATGGACAACATACTTATTGTCCTTTACACCATAACCATCCTACTAGGCACAACTGGGAATGCTGTGGTCATCTGGATGGCTGGGTTCTCTCTCAAGCCTAATGTCACCAATGTGTGGTTGGTCAACCTGGCTGTGGCTGACCTGATTTTCTGCCTGACACGTGTCACCTCTTTGATTAAGAAGCTCTTCTATGATCACTGGCCTTTTGGAATCTTCCTCTGCAAGTTCAATGGGTTCTTCAAATATGCCAACATGTTCTGCAGTGTTTTTCTACTAGCTGTTATCAGCATGGACCGGGCGCTTTGTGTGTGGCAGCCAATGTTAGCTAGGCGGCGACGGACTCTTCGTACAGCACGACTTGTCAGCTTAGGAGTTTGGATTGTGGCAGTGATCTTCAGTGCGCCATATTATGTGCATCGGCAAGTCTATCTTGGCAAGAACAACTTGAGCAAGTGCTCTGTGGAGGTAAGGTTTAAAATGTAGTCCTATAAAGTACTTTACTCTTGCTTTTCTAAGGATAGTTGTGAAGTATAAAGATAATGTAGTTCCAAATTATTGCACACTTGCTGATTTCAATATAAACTCCAATGCATTCCCCTTGACCTTTTGCTTAATTCCACAGGTCAAGGAGTCAACCGAAGGCGACAACACAACTAAACTGGCCTTGTACAGCATTCGCTTCACCTGCGGCTTTCTGCTGCCCTTCCTGGTCATCCTTACTTGCTATGCACTCGCTGGTTTAGGGATACGGCGAACACGTATCTCACGCAAATCACGACCCCTTCGAATTCTTGTTTCACTGGTCTGTGCCTTCTTCTTGTGCTGGGGGCCATATCACTGCCTCCTTTTGGCAAAGATGGTGAATAGCAAGAGCCAGGCAGTAAAATTGGGTCTATCCATAGCGAAGGGCGTGGCCTACTTCAACAGCTGTGTGAATCCACTCCTTTACTTCTGTATGGGTCTGGACATCAGGCAACGCTTTAGCCAAAGCTTGTCTGGGGTTTATTGCAGAGCTCTAGCTGAGGACTGGGATGGGCAGATGTCACAGTCTCAGGAAGGGTCTGTAGACGAGAGTTCCAGCTGCATTACAAAAGTCAAAGCAACAGGATTGGCTAAAGTCTAAAAAATAATATAGCATAATCTAAATGTGTTTTTTATCTTTAACAGTGCTTGGTCCACATTCTAGCCATGGAGCTCACATGCCTTGCATGCTTTGGTGTTTTCTCTACTCTGAACACACCTGATTCAGCTAATCGGCTAATGAACAAGCCTTTTCTGAGTTGATGTGAGTTAGAACAGGAGAAAATTTCCATACGCAGGACTCTATAAGATGACAGCACAGTGTGATATTATATTCATCTGTAGGTGCAGTATATTGCTTGTCAGTCACTTGTTCACGTTTGTCGCACAAATTAATACAGGACAGACCTTTTTATGTATTTAAAGGTTAAAAAGAAGAAGCGCTATTAATAAACCATTCCAAAGTAATGGCCTGACTTATACTACATTATATTGCACATAGTAAAATATCTCACACACAGACACACAAACACCTTGGGTGCAAAACGTGTTATTATTTACACATTTAAACAAATTAAATAAACTTAACTGAAATTAAGCCTGGCTAAGGAACAAGTCCCTCACTTTAAAAAGCAAGGCTCTCCATACCAGCAAGAGAGAGTTTAAGGCTGGAGGGCCTTGCTTTTTAAATTGACAATGCTCCTTCCCCCAAATTAGTTCCAAAAATTCCAGGGAAACTGGTAGCTTTGCCTCTCAGCTACCACAATATCTGTTTTTGCCCCCTTCTGTTTTTTTTTCCCTTTTTTACATATTTGTCACACTTAATTTTTTAATATTTTAAAACAAAATTCAACAAAGACAAACTACAACACAAAATACAGTTTTTAAATGATCATTTTACTTATTGAAAGAAAAAATGTTATCCATCACCAATTGGCCTTATGTGAACAAGTAAATGCCTCTTTACTTACTCAGTCAACCGATCAGCCAAATTTAGTTGAAGATTGGGGTCAGTTAAACTAGACATATCCAGGCTTGATTTCTGCCAGTAGTTCACTCCTAGTTGGTAAGGTATTCTCCATACATTCCTATGATGACTGTGGCCAAAAAATTCAGTTTCTGTTTCATCAGACCACATAAACTGACTCCAAAATGCCTCTGGTTTCATTAAGGTTTCCTTCTGATAACTCTTCTGTATCATCTGATGCTTATGCAACAACACTGCACAGTGGACCGGTCCATCAATATGTCTGTGCCAGCCAAATGATGTCCTGTGTCGGCACTGCACTGTCCTGTCTGTTTATTGTGTCTAATGTCTGTTTTAATTATCATATTTATTGGATTGTCTCTAGTTTAATGTTTGCACACTTATGTCTGCACGTTTGCACTTTGTACTGTCTATTTTGTTCCATGTTGCACCTTGTTGTTCCTGGAGGAACGTAATTTCGCTACACTGTTTACTTGCACATAGATGGAATGACAATAAAAACCTCTTGACTTGACTTGAAATCTTCCTGTAGGTCCTGAGGAGTGATGTTTTGCATACTGACAAGTCTACACGCAGTTTTATCAGACATTTTTCTTGGTCTTCCAAATTTTGTCTTGACGTTAGAGCATCTGTTGAGAGTATAAAGACTCAAATCTGAGCAGGTAAATCTTTGCTTTTGTGTTTGAAGCTGTTAGTCTAATCTGCTTTTAATTCAGCAAGACCTTTTTATTGTCTTGAACTTGGACTTGGACTGGTATTTATACTTAGATAGTCTCAGTGCCATTGGTCTCTTATTCTCTGGTCTCCACCAAGTCCAACTACCTTTGAAAAAAATTGTCTTTCTATGAACTGTCACTAATGTACCAACTCGCACAAAAGGAAACCCTTTTTAAAGGTTTAACTAGGCTGGAGCGAATCATAGTGGAGCTTCAGGTCTGTTTCAAAGGCAAACAGACCTCTGGTACTGTAATTGAATGGAAATGCAAACTGTTTCATATAAAATCTGTGTGAAATATATTTTCCATTTATACTATTCAAGCACAGTCAGAACTAGTTACACATTGTCATCCTCACTCCTCAAGTTCATTAGTTTGCATGTTTAAATGTATCTCAAAATGGGAACTATTCAATATATTGACTAGATTTAAGTTTTTTTACAGTTAGGTAATTGAACACATTCTGTTGCAGAGGTAGCTAGTCAAGTTTGTAGGTCAGGGATTTCTCTGTCCAGCCTTCCCCTCAGTAGTTTTTGCCCTGGTCTAGTCTGTTTTCTGTGTCATGTGCTTTTGTGTATTTTAGCCTTGTGTCTTTGTTTTCATTTTGGTTTCCTCCCATGTGCTGCCCCTTCATCATTCCCCACCTGTGTTTAGATTATTACATTTGTAGTTGTTATTACTTTTGCTGCCTTTATTTTTCATGTCTTTTTCATGTATTAGCTTGTTGTCATTGCTAGTTTTATTTAGTGTCTTGTGTTTCGTGTTTAGTTTGTAGTTTAGTGTTTCCATGGATTCCTCTGCCTGTTGTCTTATTTTGCCTGAGAAAGACTCAAAAAAAGAGCACTCACACATGTATCCTGTATGCTCGTCTGCCTTGCCAGCCCCGACATTATATTGTGTAGCCAGATACAGCTGTTATAACTGAGAAAGAATCTTACAAACAACCATGCAGTTTTGCTAATTTAAAAGGTTTGTTTGGCTTCCATTTCTGTCAGAAAAGAATCAGAAGTCTTGATAAAATATTGATGCCAAAACTTGATTGAAAAATTGATTATGTAAAACTGCGAAGTAAATTAACTGATTTTATTAATACATCACGACATAAACAGGTAGGCTCTTAACCAAAGACAAGCAAGCAAACAGCATAAATAAAACTATTTACTATCTAGCACTGATTGTTAGAGCTAGCTAGTCTAGCAGGCTAACAACTCCACACACTGCTGGACCTGATGCTATACACATATGTCAGGATCCAGTCCTCGCAGGCCAAAACACTACAGAGGATAAACACTTAAAACAAAGTTCAGTAACTGGCCAGTCAAATCAGATGTTGTATGTTGTAAGCCAGTCTTATCAGTTTTAAGTTTTGTGTTTGCCTCAGCATGCATGGAGCACATCAATATTCATTGACCTAATGTCAGTAGTTTGGCAAAGAAATAGTTAATTTGATGGAACCGTGTCCTATTATGCTCTTGTAACACACTGAAATGCTGCTGGTTACCAACTACAGCCACTTTGGTCTTGATCTTGACATGTAATTACAGCTGATTACAGCAGACAGACAAAGCATGGTGATATGATCTAAGTAGTTGCTACAGTGTGTTCATGGAATGTTGATGAAATAAAATTAAATAGGCAGGAAAAAGCACAATTTAGAATTTATGTTTGCTTGCTCACTTGTCAGGCAAAAAATGTGATACCTTTTTGATTGGGACTTTTCCAGTAGAATACTGAAAAGTGCTATCACTACTACAGCCTAAAGTTTCTTATTCCTGCACCTCATTAGTCACTGCTCCACAATTTTAAGTATTTCAACTATGCTTTCATCCACAACACAAATCATAAGGTGCTTGATTATCAGTTAATTAATCCATTAAGATCAACCCAAAAAAGGTTGTTTCTATTGTTTAATCTACTTCTCTGCACCCTAATCAGCTTTTATTTGTAGGGAAGTACGGAGAACAACCTAAGGGCATCTAAGTAATTTTTTTCAACACAAGTTTTTTTTTCGGTGACTGAGCTGTTTGTGTAAACCACAAAATCCAGCCTTACATTACTTTAATCACCATCTCGTTGCCACAATGTAGCACCGTTTTGAAGCATGTGACAAGCTCACAGCACATGCCAACTAGTTCTGAATGTGTGCTCTGACCAGTCACTCATTTTTATAACTATATCTGTCTACCAAATTGGTTCAAACTCTTTTTGGACTTTTACCTGACATTTTGCTTTGAGGCACATGATTGAATATTCCATTTTGTCACTAAAAAAACAATCATAACACTACGGAAACTTACCAAAGGTTTCGATAGTGACTGTTTAAGTAGTGACAATGTTAGCTAATGTTGAGCATTTCTCAAAAACACTAGCTGGTATATGACTTGCAAACACAGATTTGAACAGTTGTACACACATAAAATTTTAATATTTTTTATTAACCCCTTAAAATCCCAGGCTTATTACAGCTTATTATTCTGTAACAACAGGGACTCCAAATCAAATTGGTTGAGATATTCTATTGTTATAGAAGTGTGTAATAAAACTTTGGGCCTGCTGGTGGGCCCAGGACTTTTAAGGGGTTAAAAAAAGGCATTTAATTGCAGATATATGTGCTTCAGTAGTGACAATTCTTAATGTTACACACATTTTTCAGATTTTCACTGGGATGCAGTTTCATTTCCTGTTCTAAAATGCAGGGGTGTGGCTGAAATAAGGCTCTGTCTATGGACTGAACTCTTTGGATTTTGGGAGAGACATGAAAACATGGGACAGAATTTTTAAAATAAATTTTTATTCATAATAATTATTTTTACAGGTAGAAATGTAGGGGTTAGGGTTTGGAACAGCCACTTCCCAATACAAAGTACCCTATAAATTAGCTTGAGTATGTATTTAGCTTATAATTCCTTTAATGCCTTTGGTTTAAATAGATCAGATTGTAATCCTTGTCTGGTCTAAATACATTTTTTTTTTGTTTTAACTATAGTTAGTACGTCTGTATCACCCCTGCCCATGATTTTAGAAGAATCTGCTGCTGCACTTGCTGTAGTGAATGCATAACAGGAACATCCTACACAGAACCCATTGTCCTTAAATTGGTCAAGATACACGACCCTCACCACTGTGTTGACATATGAGCCTTCTATGCTTATGTTCTTATGGACACTACATGATAGATAGTCAAGTAAACATTTACCTCCCATCTTGGCCATTTCTGCAATTCTTTAATTTACCAGAAGTGGGCAGCAGCACAAAAAAAATGCTGACCATTAATGCAATGTTGCTAATGCAGCATTCCTACAACATTACTAAGTAGCACATTCATGTGGCTAGATATTTCAGTTAGTACATTTTTCGCAATCCTAGGATGTGTCATTTATACCAAGAGTGTCTAGCCATACATTCATTGCATATGATGTAATTCATGGCATGCAATGTAATCTGAAGTTAAATCTGAAGTTCAGACAAACAGATGAATGGATGGGAGAGGTGTACAGCTGAATGGGTACTAGTATGTGGTCAGATATTAGCTAGAAGGGAGGAATTAAGCAGAAATCTTTTTCCTAAAACCTTTTTTCACTCTACTGTTTTAGGAGCACAGAGCTGCACAGCTTACCAAAGTGTGTTTTTGTGTGAGCGTAAGTGTGCACGTGAGTGTGTGTCACTTCCCCTTCCCTTACTGTCTCTTTTCGGGCTGAAGACACTTCAGTCACCAGACTGATTAAGAGAGAGAGAGAGAGGAACAGTCAAAATAGAGGGCAGCTTCTAAAAAAGTGATAAAGCTGAAAAAAGTGATAGTGTTAAAGCGATAGAACTGGTTAGATAGGCATACAATACAATCAATAACATACAATTACACAAGTATACAGTGATGGTTTTCACTTAGATACAGACTGAGTGGAAAGATACTTCATCCTCTAAGTCCAGGTAAGCATGTTTTGTCAGTATTCTCAAGGATATAATCTGAATTGTCACTGTTTTGTCACTTTTTTAAGCTATTGCTTTCTCTCCTTAAACGTCTCTGGGGTTTCTGGGACAAAGTGTGGTTTGTGGCTGTCAGTATATCAGAGTGACGATGAAATCCCACTTGATGATGAACTGCTGGTTAAACAACACTGTTTGCTTTTAACAGACTCACTTCAGCTGGTTTACACGTTATATTCTCTTTATAACTTGATTCTGCCCTAATAGGCTGGACAGGCAGCAGAAAACTATAGCTGGCTTATAGGCTTATGCTACAGTACTAAAAGACAGACTTTAAGTTCAAGTTTTTAAATGAAAGATTACTTAAAAAGTACATGCAAAGTCCTGGCTGCTAACTTACTGCATAGTTGCAGCTGCTAAGCTATGAAGAACCAACTGGGTGAACCAGTTTGCTACAGCACCACCTTGAGGCCTGTGCTCCCAAAGACAGAAGGTTGCCAACTGTAGGTGAAGCAGCTAAACAATGAGCTTTCCCTGAATATTTGAGCATCGATTTTTCACTAATGGACAGCGTACCATCATAATAAGTTTATTTTCAAGGACCCTCCAGAATTTAGATTTTGTAACATTCAGGCTGTCCAAAAGGTTAATTAAGGGGTTCTGGAATCCTCAGGACCTCCTGTATCTCACACCTTGATCCCAACAATAAATATTTTTAATATTTTTTATTTATTCCCACTTTTCTATCATGCTAGGATGTTATAAGCATTCAATGTATTGTCTATTTACGCTTTGCCAGACATTCTGTCCATAAGTCACTCAAAGCATCATGTGTCGCAGCAATAAGGTGGATAGCCTATGCATAGTATTCAGATGATGCTCTGCCTCCATTTTTGGAAGGAAACTTCAAGTTCATTCAGCACAGCAGTGGCAGTTTATTATGAGATAATAAAGCCATAACCCATCCAGCAACAGCAGCAAAACACGTTTTTTTGGGAATACTCATTTTAAAACTAATATTTAAAATGTATTAACCAACTTATTTGAGTTTTTTTTCTGCTTTAATTTTATTTGATTTGTTGTCGTAGTGATAAATGAAAGTTGAAATCTAAACACCTCAGATTTCCTGCTGCTTTACTTCTGCTGCATCCACGCAACATTAGATCAACTAGTGAGATGCATTCAACACTCCAGCAGCTCCGGCAGTTGATAAGCTCTGCCGTGCCGCTCACTAAACTGCTTATTAAACTTCTCCAAGCAAATAGGTATTTCCTGATAAGGGATGTATTTATTGAAGTAAACTGGATGTATACAACTAGCACTTGCATTTAACCACTGCACTAGGTGGAACAGAAAACTTGAATGAGAAGCTGGCTAATAACTGTGTGAAGCCTATAATTATTACTTGAGAGCACATGAGAAAAAAACTTGAGAGATATTTATATGGATCCAGTCCCCAGATCTAATCTTCTCCTTGTAGCATTTTCTGCATTTAAAGTGTTTACCATCTTTTCATCTTTTTCATGCTATGCTTAGTATTTACTCACCTGCAGGATCATAGCAGCAGTAAAGGTGATAAATCGAGCTCTGTCAGAGTGCAGTCAGAGTTACAGCTTGCCTAAGATTGGCGGGGGGTGTGTGTTCTTAATAATGTAAACAATGTTAAAAAAATACTATGAATACTTGAATAAAGCTAGAATATCATTAAATTATGTATTAAATACATAATCGAACCATGACTAATATAATTTATGTATTATTAATTATATATACTTCTTTTCATCAATGACACAAACTGCTGCACGTTAGGCTTATAGCAGATGAGCTTCTGCAAAACAGTGGTAAAATCAGGAACAGAAATCGGAAAGAAAATGCCCCACTTTCCTGTACACAGAAGGGACAAAAACATTCCTAATCTGCTGCTTTTGTTTCTCTTTATTAATCTTTAACACTTATGTAGTCAGGAAAGCTGATGGTTGCCAGGCAACAGATAGTATGTTTATCTTATTTTGTGGAGTAGGTAGAGGTGACTAGTTTGGCAACCACTTTGTGTAGACCACATGTGTCAAGCTCCAGTCCTGGCAGGCCACAACACTGCAGATGTCAGTATGCTACCTCATTAAACACACCTGATTCAGCTCATCATCTAATAAGCAAGGCCTTCATGAACTGAATTCAGAGCATTAGATGAGGTTAAATGCTAATCTCCGCAGCACTTTGGCTGGAAGGTCCCCAGTTTGACATGCCTGGTGTAGACACTAGCCCATCTAAAAAATGACATGGCAAAGGAAACGAATGAACATTTTTGCTTCTTTTGCTTGTATTATTACAGATAAGTTTATGACGGTTCTATCTGCTAAATGAGGACTGATGCATGAATTAAGATCATTAACTCTAATCCATGTGATGATACAGTATGTAACATTCTTCTGGTAACAGAAGTATGTAAATGCACTCTTTGACAAACCAGGGGCGGTCTTTTAAAAGTCTATATAAGGCCGATCCTCAAGACTCAGTGTCAGAGCAAGATGGAAACTTGATAGGAAAGCCACAGAAAGGCCAACAATCACTCCTAAGGAGCTACCAAGTTCAGTGTCTCAGACTGGAGTGAAGGTGCACCAGTCAACAATATCAAGAGCTCTGCATACTACTGGCCTATATGGGAGGGTGGCTTAAAGAAAAAAATACTGAAGAAATACCACATTAAAGCGCATCTGGAGATTGGCAGAAAGCATCAGAGTGACCCAGCTAAAATGTAGGTTACATGAGACAAAAATTGAGGTTTTGGCCAAAATTTGAAATGCTACACGTAGCTCAAACCTAACACTGCCCATCCTCAAAAAACACCCTCCTAAAAGTGAAGTATGAGGGTGGCAGTATTATAATGTAGGGATGGTTTTCCTCAGCAGGGACCTGACATCTTGTTAAAATTGAAGGATGGATGGATGGTGCAAAATACAGGGAGATACTGCAAAGTCCAGATTTCGATCCAATTGGTTGAAAAAAAAAAATTGCAGTCCACAAGCTTTATCTGATCAACCTGAACAGCCTGAAGCAAATCAGCCAGGAAGAAGAACTCCCAAACAGTGTGCAAAGTTGGCGGACACCTATCCCAACAGACTTTAAGCTGTGATTGCAGCACAAGGTGGTTCTACCATTGCTCTAGTCCGAAGGGGTTGAATACTTATGCAAGCAGCATTTTTCAGTTTTAATTTTTCTAAGATTTGCTGACAAAAAACATTTAAAAAGGGCTGGAACAATCTTTTATAGTCTTTTATAATTAGCTGTTATTTGTGATTTTAGTGATTATTTTCAGTAATTTCAATGCCGCCTTACTTCACAGTCATGGTCGCAATTAACTATTGCATATTGTTTCATAATGACACTACTGCATATAGACACACTAGTATGAAAAAGGCAATTAAGCAGTATTCTACATCGTGGAGAGGAGGTCCTTCGTTTTGTGTGTGTTTAGAGGAAAACTCTATATATAATAAAGTTATACAAGTACAGCAGGAAAATGCAAAAAGAGAGAGAAAATCACACTTTAATTCCACAACTTTTTTTTTCAGTCAGAACAGAGTGCTGCACAGCCTCCGCCTAATGTTAGTATAGATAGTTCCAGTGTTGCCATTACTTTACCTCTATGTTACTTTGTACCAAATTATGTCACTATATTGGCAGATAATTTTGCTTGTATTAAGCATCATGTCCTAACATAAAGTTAAAAGGTCTAGAAATAAGTTTAATAATCTTATAATATTCTTAATGCAATCTCCACATGAGAAATAATAGATATATCAACTAGATTTAAGATGATTTCTGATGTGAAGATGTCATTTTCTGCACTGTGGATTGTTGTGCCACTCAGGAGCCCAGGGCCTCAACTAATTTAAAAATATACATCCAAGGGGTCCCGTTCCTGTCTTTTGCCCAGAGCCCGAGAAACACTATACCCAGCTCTTGCTAACAATCTAAAAGACAACCGTTAAAGTGAGGAACAAAAAAAATAAAAACTTCCTTGGCCCTGCACTGGATCTGAACCCCCATAAAACTTTATGCGTAAATTTTTTTGGTCTGAAGAAAAAAAATATTGTTTGTGTTAATGTTTTCACCAGGCACTGTGGTATTGTTGAGACAGCTGGGCTTTGACCAAAAAATCAAAGCAAAATGAATACTGGCATTTCTTTTTAACCTTTCTTTCTTTCTTTTTTTGATTTACTGTGTCAAAAATTTGCTTCATCGTGATGCAAAAAAAAACCACAATACATGTCATGCTATAAATCTTTACACTTCAACCTAGTGTTGACCCTTCCACTGTTTTTCATGCCTAGCTTGACTTAAACTAACACCATTAGTGTTAATTCAATAACATGCGCAGTATGTGCCATGCTGCCAAAAAAGCACCTGCCAGCTTTGTTCCACTTCTGTGTTTTGTAGGGTGAAAGAGTGAGACTTTTTTGTCCTTCTTTCTTTTCCAGACATATTTAGAAACAGACTCTGAGTAAGAGACTTGGAGCTTCTGAGGAAGTAGGCTCATTTGTGTCATGTGAAAGGAAAGAAAAACATGAAGTTGATCAAGGCAAAAATAATGGTTTGCTGGATGTGGCTCATGTTCCGACCTCAGTATATCTTAATGTTTGGTTTAAAACATTCACAGAGCTACCAGTTTATCAGGTACACTTATAGTTATAAATTATACCTACAGTTACACAGTTACACCTACAGTTATAAGAGATTTTATCAGGTGCACCTATCATATACAGTCATATGCAAATGTTTGAATACCCCAGTTTTGTTGATTTTCCAAGTGGAAATAAGTTAATGCATCCTTTACTAGGTAGAAACATAACTATGCCATTTTCAATTGTTAATTTTCATGCATAGTTTCTGTTATTGGGTGAGTTTAGCAAATTAGAAAAAAACAATTAAATGTAAAATATGCTATAACCTTTGCACAGGCCACAAATTCAGCAAATAAAGAGTAATTGTGTGTTAAAATGTAACTTATTGTCACTTAGAAAATCAACAAAATTTTATGTGACCAGGAGTGTCCAAACTTTTGCATATGACTGCAGCTGCACTTTTTAGGCTAGGGTTTTAACACTTAATGTCCACTGAATTGTAGGCATATAGTTAGAGACTGTAGCTCATCTTTTCCCATGTGTTCATCAATTTCTAGCCCTTCACCAGTGCTTAGTTTCTGGTCAGAGAAACATGTTTATCAGGTACAGTATTTTCAATGCCAGAGAGTTTAGATACAAGGTAGGTGTACCCAATAAACTGGCAACTAAGCATACCTTATCAAAACATCTGCTGACTGAACTTCAACAGGGACTATTTTTGAGGAACTGAGCACACAATTGTGGTTTTGCCTAATAAAATCACAAATCTGTCTTTTTTTGGCAAAGTTTCTTTTGACTGAGTTTCAGCTCATTATCATTTCAGTAGTATGTTCTACAAGTATGTATCCAAGGTTTGTTTGTCTTCTGAGTTCTTGATCCTATCAATGAACACAAGCTCACCACTTTAAGAAAACCAGCTCCACACTTTAGGCATTTCTACTGTGCTTAACAGAACCTTTAGTGCAATCTGGTTAGAATTGTTCTTCAGAATTTCTCCATACAAAGAGAAACCAAAGTGTTTTTCTCCTAAATGAGCATCATTTTGTTAAACATTTCAAGAAGTAACCTAAATAATTTTATCGAGGTTTAGCAATGGTTAAATAGTTAAAATGTCTAAATACTTTTGAGGCCATTGTAGTATGTAATCTACTCTTAAATGATAAATAACATCTCAACAGGTTTTTTTTATGTCTTTGAGCAGAATGACCTCCAACGGCACTGTCATGCTTGACCCCAATGCCAACATTGTTGGCAAAAATGACAAAACAACGATTGACATTGATGCTATTATGGACAATGTTACTATTGTCCTTTACACCATAACCGTCCTACTGGGCACCACTGGGAACGCTGTGGTCATCTGGATGGCTGGGTTCTCTCTCAAGCCTAATGTCACCAATGTGTGGCTGGTCAACCTGGCTGTGGCTGATCTGATTTTCTGCCTAACACGTGCCACCTCTTTGATTAAGAAGCTCTTCTATGATCACTGGCCTTTTGGAATCTTCCTCTGCAAGTTCAATGGGTTCTTCAAGTATGCAAACATGTTCTGCAGTGTTTTTCTACTAGCTGTTATCAGCATGGACCGGGCGCTTTGTGTGTGGCGGCCAGTGTTCACTAGGCAGCGGCGGACTCTACTTGCAGCTCGACTTATCAGCTTAGGAGTTTGGGTTGTGGCAGTGATCTTCAGTGCGCCATATTATGTGTACCGGCAAGTCTATCTTGGCAAGAACAACTTGAGCAAGTGCTCCTTGGAGGTAAGGTTTAAAATGTAGTCCTATAAAGTCCTTTACTCTTGTTTTGTTGAGTACAGTTGTTAAATATAGGGATAAAGTATTTCCAAATGACTGCACATTTTGTTGTTTCAGTGTAAATTTCACTACCTTGACCTACCCGTTTTGTTTAATTCCACAGGTCAAGGAGTCAACTGAAGGCGACAACACAGCTAAACTGGCCTTGTACAGCATTCGCTTCACCTGCGGCTTTCTGCTGCCCTTCTTGGTCATCCTTACGTGCTATGCCCTCGCTGGTTTAGGGATACGGCGAACGCATATTTCACGCAAATCACGACCCCTTCGAATTCTTGTTTCACTGGTCTGCGCCTTCTTCCTGTGCTGGGGGCCTTATCACTGCCTCCTTTTGGCAAAGATGGTGAACAGCAAAAGCCAAGTAGTAAAAGTGGGTCTACCCATAGCAAAGGGTGTGGCCTACTTCAACAGCTGTGTGAATCCACTCCTTTACTTCTGTATGGGTCTAGACATCAGGCAACGCTTTAGCCAAAGCTTGTCTGGGGTTTACCGCAGAGCTCTAGCTGAGGACTGGGATGGGCAGTCATCACAATCTCAGGAGCGTTCTGTAGATGAGAGTTCCAGTTCCATTGCAAAAGTCAAAGTGACAGGAATGGCTACAGCTGAAAAATGATATGGCTGAATTTGGATGTATCAGCCCTCTCTGACAGTAGTTGTTCCCCACTTTGGTGGTGAAGTACACCTGCCCGGCATTCTTTGGCGTTTTCCCTGCTCTAACACACCTGATTCAGCTTCCCTTAGCTGACATGGGTCACACAGAGCATGAAAACATTACCATATGCAGGGCAGATGCACTGCTTTATAAGATGACAGTAGTAACACTTTATAGTAAGTGTTTACTAACCAATATTAAGTAGTGCATTTGCTAACCTGAACAACACATGAGGTACAATGTTAATAATGGTTAGCTAATATAGTAAACAACTAAGTAAGCTAACTGCATAAGCTAATGTAGTTTTCACATTAGATGCTGACTAACATTAACTAATATACTTATTAACATTAAAAACACATGAGATATTATGTGAATAATGGTTAGGTTGGGTTTAATTTCATTCTGTTGTATTGACTCAGCTTATGGAGTGCTTTACAGATGCTCACATCTCTCACTTAGGAGCTTTAACATTTTATTTTAGACCAAGGTTTGAGGTTTGTACCGTGTAATTACTCAGCTTGATTGCTTTGGAACTTAACAAAATTTTACCCCAAATAATGATCTAGTACTTTTTACTGGATTTGATTGGTTATTACTTAAAACTTATAGGCGTGTAAAAGAAAGCATTACCAAGATACACCTTCAGATTTCAAGATTTCACCATCAGGCTGTTCCTCAATTCAGGACATTCACATCATGTAAAGGGTCTTCCTAGAAACTTTACACTATGTGGAAGTTCTCAATAGCTTGAAAAGGTCCCTTCCATGTCTCATTTTCAAAAACAGTTCTCTAATGAGCCTTCTATCGAAAGTTTCTTTGGGGAACCAAAAACATTTTTCTATGGCATCATACACATAACTCTTTCTGGCATCTTTATTTTTAAGAGTGGAGACATGTCTGCCTACACAGGAGCATTGTTTAGTTTTTAGTACAGATTAACCTTTCTGACTGAATAACCATACAGCTTTAATTATTAACTTCAATCATTTACTGTATCCACATTTAATGCAGCGTAAATAATAAACCAAAAATAAGCATTTGTGTCATTTGTTCATTTTTAGCATAATTAAACTCCCCTCCTCCAAACACATTCAAAGAACACTACACCAAAATGGATAGGAACAAATAAGCAGAACTTCCTTTTATTTTGTTTCTTCCTTTTGAGACTCTTTGCATGATACTTCCTTCTTATTCTGTCGTAATGTAATCTTTTAATAATCTCATTGCTTAAGGTCAAAATCTCAAGGCTCATAGGATGACCTTTAGATCTTCCTGGCCAGAGTTCAAACATGTGGTTGCCTTTTATCCAGGCTTATTCATGTGCTTCCATTAAAGCAGCCTTCAAAAGACCGGAGAGAATTTCAGCTCAGGTTTTGATATTGATCTTCAAACTGAAAGAACCTGAAACTGAAGTTGTTATTCTAGGAATTAATGGCTTCCAGTGCTCATTTAAGGTAAATAGAACTGAAACCCTGCTAGAAACATTATCATTCGTAAAGATATACTTCAGCCTAATCTCTATCCATCACATCTGCAGGTCGATTATCACAAGTAATCATTTTAACATGTTTTCCTGCGCTTTGAAAAGAGCAAAAAAATGCACTGACTTGAAACACACTGATAGAAGCCACTGGGCAGTAGCTGAATTCTGTCAGTAAGGTTTATGCAAATCACTTTTATATAAACTCTCATGAATTCTTCAGTCAAAGGATTTTTGTAAATTAAGCTGTAAATCTTTAGCTTTAAATTCAGAGGTAAGATGTGTTTTCCAGAAGGAAGAATTTGTGGTGATAGGTTGCCAGGATAGTGATGTAGGCGGAGTTTTCACAGGCCTCTGTAGGTCACTCATGCATACCAAAAACCCTTATGGAAAGTGAAAGTATCTGTCATATCAGATATTCACAAACAATCTCAAATCAGAAAAGCAGATTCATGATCATATTTTAGTGTTTAAAAAATCCAACTTAAAATATGCTAGTCTATATCGCTTTTTTGTCATTGTTAAAGACCACATAGAATTTGAAAAATATGTGTTCAAATGTTAATTTCAGTTAATCTAACACTTTCTGCCCCAATAATAGGAGCACATACAATATGTAAGTGCCATAGTTCTGCAATTTAAAAGGGAATTCCACCCATTTTTCAAATTTTCTGCATAAATGGTTAAGATGTTAACAAATTTAGAGTGGTTTTGATGTGACATGCACCATTCTAGAGAAACTTAAGTAGTCAGAATTGTTCAGCAATGCTGGTAAAAGGAATCAGATGCCTAAAGCATTTAATGGATCATAAAACTTCTTCACAGAAGGTTATTACATGAAATGCTTATGAATGCATTGCCTGATGTCTCAGACGTTGTTTTATGATGGTTTTAAGATAAACTTTTGGCTAAAACATATTTTTTTCTAATCCCATTTATGACGGAAAGGCACATGCAAAGTGTTGCAAGGCAAAATAGAACCTTAAGGAAACTTTTATTTTCCACATTTATCACAATTTCTGGTTCCTATCACCAGCACTATAAAGAAAGTCAGTGAGTTTCTCTACAATTATCTGTTTCACATCAAACTACTGTGAATGACCTTGTTTACTTCTCAATGATTGACTAATGCAGCATTTCTGAAAAATAGGTCAAATTCCCCTTTAAAACGACTTCACTTTTTTACAGTGTTGCTACGATTCTTGCAGACCTCCAACACTATGTGGTCAAACCTGACCCAGAAACAGCACTCCTAAATGAAGATGCTTTGTGAACACGTAAACTGTCTAACTAGCAACACAGCTGAACACTGAACTGGGTGTTCGTCAAGCAACAATGTATAACTCCTACCCCACCACATGTACATCGTATAAGATAAACAATGTAAGGTATAAGATGCTGCAATGTTTTCTTGGTTATACTTGAAGATACTGAACAACAACTGAAACACGGCCTGGGCAGTTTATTTCTGTAGGCCTGTTGCTCAACATTCACTTCTTGTTTTCCTTTAAGCAATACTCACTGTGAGTAGCTCATGCAAGGATTAACTGCACCAATAGATGGCACGCACAAAGAAATTAGTAATTGTCTTCATCCAGACTGATGTGGGAAGGAGGTACATCCATACGTTCAGAGAATTAATCAATTACATTTCCAAGCTATTAGTCAGGTAGGACCTAAACAAGAGTCCAGTCCCAAGAGAGTCAATATGCTGCAATACATATATTGCAAATTTAAAACATACAATGTGCCATAACTTTTGCACAGGCCGCATTTTATGTTGTATTTTTCCCAGAACGGTAAAGTGAGCAAAATAAGTAATTGTGCATTAAAATGTGCAAGTTTGTTCTTTGTAGAAGATATTTTGACTTATTCTCACTTAGAAAATCAACAAAACATGTCATATGACCAAGGGTGCACACACTTTCGCATGTAAATGTATATAATCTTTTTTGCTATTGTACGGAACCTTTTTTGCTAAGAGTATGTGAAGCCAATCTGTACTTCCTGAGAGTTCAGCTGGTACAACTATGGAAGAAAAATATATATATACATATATTTCCTCATATTAAAAAAATATATGCAATATATGTGATATTTTAAAATATAGATGCTAAATTTTTTTAATGTTGCCATTTTTGAATATTTAAGTATATGCCAGTATATGCACATATATGTCAATATAATGAAATATATGCACACATATAGATGAAGTATACAAAATGGTGTCAGTTTTTAATATTTACATATATGTCAAATATATATGTAAAAATTCTTTACTGTAAGTCAACTAAATAAGGCTACATGTTAGTTATATAGGCATTTCATGATAACAAAGATAAAACGCAATGAACATTTATAAGCACTTTTTTCAATGGCCGTCAATTGTGTTAAAGGCTTTTCTGTTAACTTAGACATCAAGTTGACAAAACACCTCTGCCACACGACACTTTTTGGAGTGAAACGACAACTGACTTTGTGGCATTGTGTCTGTTTCACAGCTTGTCTCCTGTTTCTAAAAGTTCACGTTTCACATGCTATTTTTAAAATACTATACTGGACATTTTAAAAATTTCTAACCCAAGTTAGAATTAAATATTGAGTCTGGGAAAAATGTATTTTATAGCACTACTACCAAGACAGAAAGGAAAGATGTGGCTCCATGTAGCAGGCATTTTGCCAGAATGATAAAAAAAGAGCAAAAAGCGATTGCACAAACTGCTCATACTTAAGAGGCAAATAAAATAAAATTACCATTAGGATTCATAACATCTTATGAACAGCAAAATGAAACTTTCTTTACTTATGGGTCAGAGAAAATATACATAACTCTGTCAATACAGTGTTACAGCTTTGTCATTGGGCGTCATGAAGATCTTATAAGCACAAATTTGATACCTTAAGGGCCAGAGAACAAATAATAGAGTATCAATATCAAAGTGTTCACAATGTAACTACAACACAGTAGATTTCATTTCAGTATTACCACAAAGGCTCAAAGCATTAAAGTAACCACCTTTGTTTAATACTATTTTGTGTTTGACATATCAAAAGTACACTGAGCTACAAGGTCAGCTGTCATAACGTGCTGTTATTTCACCCCAGAAAGTGTTATGACAGCCTAACTTTACCAGAAACCTGTGACTCTTGATATTGGTGTTATGTCAGCTTGTCACTGAAGTTGACAAAAGCAGCCTTTATGACAATTGCAGCTTATTGGAATCAGCCTTTATAAATGTTTATTTAGCTTTATGTCAGTTGTCATGTAGCCTTATGAACTTGTTACCAAAATATATTACAACCTTGACTCATTGGATATTTTTTAAACATATATGGAAGTATGTTTCCTTTGCATGTTTAGAGCACTAAGTCCCTATGCAGTAAGGTTTCAGTATTGTCATCTGTTTGGACTGAAATGGTAACTCCGTCTTAAATCCACCTTGGTTCACTTTCAAGCTGCTTCAGAAACAGCATAATTCAGAAACAGTGTACAAACTGTTGCACCTTGAGTAGGTTAAATCAGTGTATAAATAAAGAGTTTACACTGCCTGTCTACCTATATTTGACCAACTGGCTGCTTTGACTCAGTATGAGGTAGGTCACTACTATATAGGACTATTCTACTACATAGAATTATCTGAAATGGCCGTCTGAAGTTTCCACAAGAACACTTTTAGAATCTCTATGTGTAGGTTTGCATGTGAATCTACTTCGCTCACACTTGATTAAGAATAGGAAGTAGACAGAAAACCACCCCAGTGGGTCAGTAATATATTTAGGCTAGTGGACAAACCTACTTACTACTTCCTGTGCTTTTTCTGACTGTAGTAGGGCCTTTGGCTATCATTAACAGAAATACTTAATAAAGCTGTGGATCTTGTTTTTATGCATATTCTTTGTGAACTTTAGCATATTTAGCTGCACGGTGAATGTAGCCGATGGATATCCACTAAAGCAGAAGTCAGAGATTTCAGAGAAACTGGAATCAATAAAAGTCTCACAGGAATAGAATGAAGAACTTGAACTTGCACAACACCACATCTGATAAAAAGAGAAACCAGGTTTAAACCGCAGGTTAAAAACTAACATCTAGCCCCTGCAAACCCGGCCACAGATAAAGCTGACCTGTTTGGCAGCCACACAACACTAGCATGAGCAGTCTCTGAGTTCTTTATTTAAAAAAAAATCTACATTCCAGTGGTATCAGTACACTCAGTTGCTGAGAAGCAGGTTTAATAGTAAGCAATGTAAACAAAAGGAACCAGAAGGAAACTGTATCAATCTGCGCAAAAGCATGCAATAATGTTGGCATCTGTAAAATACAAAATGTGTTTTGTCAGTATGAATATGCAGCTATTGAAATCTCTTTGTGTCCATGAACTGCAGTGTTTCAAACCATTAAGTCAGGAGAAGCAAAGCTGTTCTGTTTTGATTCTGAGTTTCTGGGTGCAAAATGTCCTCTGTTTGCAAAGAAGAAGATTTGCTTCTGCTCAGCGAGGTCCAACCACTCTCCTTGACTCATACATTCGGTGGGCACACATATAGAATATCCCTAGAAAAGACAAAACACACAGTACATTTTGATTTCTTGAATAACAGGAATGTAGGGAGTTCTATAAATGAGAAAATATCAATTATTCATAAAAAATAGGTGGGGAAAAGAGAGAAGCTTCTGGGGGCCCAGACACTAAGGAGAGCCAGGAGACCTTGTTGTGCTCAGAAAGCTTGACTGTGGAAACTACTGCTGAAAAAGAAAACATTATTAATGTTGATCAAGGCATATTTTAACTCTGTTGTATCGAGCATCTCATCAGCGATCCATACTGTTAATTTGGCAATGGTCCCTTTAACTCATTTAGATCTGTCACCAGAAAAGTAACAGCATGTGCATGTCCATGTTGGTCAGAGTGGCACTTTCACGTGTGCTACTGTGCTTTTTATCATATTGTGAAATCTATAAATGATGCACAAGCCTTCCTTTACTGTTAGATGCACTGTGGTTTTCTCTGAGCCAGTGCACAAGCTCATTCAAGTGCAATTGAAATAGGTATGTGTTTGTTCAGAGTACAAATACAATCAGAATAATGACAAAATGATGTGTGACTTATGTTCCTATTCATGTATTTTCTTGTTTTACATCCTTTAGATTCCTTTTAAAGTGAAGTTGAAAGACTTACATTTATCATGAGTTTCATTTTTAAATTAAAAAACCCATGTTTTCATTTAAGTAGCAAAAAAAAAGAGTCTTAGCGCATAGAGGGAGCCTTATTTTAGCCACATGCCTGCATTTCTGAACAGAAAGTGAGAATGCATCCCTGTCCCTCATGACGTGACCACATGGTGAGCAACTAGAACCCACTGTTTTGAAGTAAATTCATCCCAAAGTCAGGGTGTAACATTAAGAACTGTCACTACTGAAACACATATTTTCTGCAATAATGGAATTTGGCTTTAATGAAAAATATTATGATTTTATGTATGTGTTTTAACTGTAAATGTATGTGTGTTAAGCTGTATTTGATAGTCATGTACTGATTTGCGCTTATGAATTATGCTCAAAATTAGCTAAAATTATTACCACTGAAACAGTCACTACCAAAACAATTGGTAAAGTTTTTGAAGCACTACTATTGTACTGATAGTGAGAAACTATGAACCTAATTCCACAAAAGCTGGGACAGTACATAAAATGTAAATACAAATAGAAAGCAGTGAGTCATAAATCTACTTTGACCTGTATTTAAACGAAAAGAGTACAAAGAGAAGATATTTAATGTTTTAATTTTTCCACTTTCCACAGGTGATGTAACATAGAGGTAAACATGTTCCTGTCCTGACTGTTTTCGAACATCATTAAATCTGGAATGAATATGTATGTATACCATACAAAACAATTAAGTTTGAAAGGTAAAAAATAAATTGTGTTTTTGTGCCATATTAAATATAATACAGGTTAAAGAGAATTTACTAATTGTTGCTTTCTGTTTTTATTAATTCACAAACTGTCCCAACTTTTGTGGAATGTTAAATTTTTTATCTTAATGAAATATACATGAAAAAGGAAAAGGCTCACTCAAAGTAAAAGAATTTTACTCTAAATCCAAGTCATTTAAAAATCCAAAATGCATTTTCAACTGTGACTTTTATCCAATTTTGTAGAATGATCTATATATATGACTACATATTTCTGCACTCTGAATGGACATTATCGACAACTTGGGGCAGTGAGGTGTGTTTTCAGACGTGAACTGGTGACAGTGTCCACAGAAACGTGTTAAACTAGCTGCACATGAGCATACATGAACATGCAGCAATAAGGAGTCTGTTTTTTGCCACAAGCAGTGTGCCACTAGACTAGTACACAAAATACACTCTTGTGGTGTTTTCCACATACTACTGGTGTATAAAGCAAACATTTAAAGCAGGTGTTACCAGTAACAATGCATGTAAAGCCAACAGAAAGCGGCAGGCTACTTCGCATGTGTTCGAGCAACACAAAATCATATATTTTCTAAGTGTATTTACAACACTATGCAATGGTCATAATATTAAATTTTATTATTATATTTCACTTGAAGAGCACTGTTAGGCTGTATGGCTGCATATGTACAAAAATACAAATATCAGATTCGATGATGTATTTGGTATAAGAAGGGTTTGTTGGATACAAAATCTCAATCTGTATATTCGCTTTCTGGTTAAAGTAGAGGATTGGGGCCGTTTCAATAAATTTTTTTCAGGGGCCCAGCCATACTGTGGGCCTATCTTGCCCAAATGCATAGATGTAAGGAGTTTTTAAAACAACTAGAGTATCCAAAATTAAACTTTCATTTACTTATCACTGCAAGAGACAGTAGCTCCTTTTTTACTGTCTGTGGCCATTAGTGAAAAGGAAAGTACATAAGCATTATAGTGAAAAAAGTAATTGAAAAGTGTTGAATTTATTTGATTCAAATGTGTACATCATCAAATGTTTTCAGTGGGTGACAGGTCTGGACTGCAGGCAGGCCAGTTTAGCTCCCAGAGAGCTATGGAGCAATGCTGTTGTAATACATGCAGAATGTTGTCTTGCTGAAATAAGCAAGATCTTCCCTGACAAAGACGTCATCTGGATGGCAGCATATGTTGCTCCAAAACATGTATATATTGTTCAGCATTAATGGTGCCTTCACAGATGTGCAAGTCACCCATGTCATGTGCACTAATGTACCCCTATACCATCACAGATGTGGGCTTTTAAACTGTGCACTGACAACAAGCCGGATGGTCCCTCTCCTCTTTAGCCCAGAGGATGCAGCCTCTATGATTTCCAAAAATAATTTCAAATTTTGATTCGTTGGACCACAGGACAATTTTCCACTTCCACAGTCCATCTTAAATGAGTTCAATTTAGCTGTGAGATGTTCCACCTAGCATTACAGCTCTTCATCAGTCTTTTGTTGCCCCAATTTCTTTGAATCATGTGCCTGACATCAATTTCAAAATGGACACATATTTTTCAAAAAACAATAAAATTTGTCAGTTTCAAGATTTGATATGTAGTCTTTGTACTATTTTCAATTAAATATAGGGTTTAAATGATTTGTACATCATTGCATTCTGCTTTTATTTACATTTTGCCCAGCATCCCAAACTTTTTTGGAAACATGGTTGTATGCAGTTATTGCCAAAGTAAGAATATTGTAATACAAAACTGTGTTCATGTAACATATTTCATTTATATGTAAATGAGGCACACATTTGAATGAAGTAAATTCAAGCCACAATTTTTTTCAGTGTACATGGACCTTCTTGTTATCTTCTGTTAGGAGAATCAGTGAAATCAGACCTAATATGAAATATGACCTATGTTGTTTTAGTTTTAAAAGCATTTTCTTGCTCATCTTTCTAGCGAATGCTAAAGATACACACAAACAGCTCCCTTATTTCCAGAGAAATTCCTCAAGCTTCTTCAAGCTTACATCATACAACAGTCTTTCCAAATCCCTGCGTTGCAACACCATCTTTAGAGAGTATGTAACAGACATTCAATGCAAAACCCTTCAAACTCTGGTTCAGTGCTTAAAAGCTAGTGACCACCAATAATGTGACGTCACTTGTATGTATACAGCAGCAGTAGAATGTGGTGTAGTGGGTAACACTGCTGCCCACCTGGGCAAGTACACCATATTATACCAATAAGAGTCCCTGAACATTCCTCTTAATGCTACTTTTGCTTACTTCTGTAACATGAGGAAATGCAAATGTACTATTTTAGGTCTGATTGTTCTATTTACCTGTGGTATGAAGGGATTGGGATATTTCTTTAATTACCTGCAAAGAAGGTCATTAGCATGGCCACCCAGCCCAGTATGTAGGACCAGGAGAAGCGCCAGTCACCGAAGCGCTTGCCCAAGAAGCTCAGGGTCACTCCAGTGTAGATGGCCATGGCTACTAGCACAAAGAAAGCTGGGTGCATGCAAGACAACGAAACCAGACAAAAAACAGAACAGGAATTTGAGAAGTCAATAAAAAGTGCACACTGATAGAACACAGAAGATAGGTTTGGATAATCATTGAGATATGCTGGTTTCTGTCAGCCAGAGAGTTCATTTTCAGATTTCTTGCAGAAAATCTATTTGTGTATGTAATGAAACACAGAGTTCAAGGACCCGTTTCTATTTTTGAGTAGCATATGCATGCCTGTGTGCTTATGCACAAGGTCATTGCTCTATCGCAGTTGTTTTCTTTTCCGGTGAAGATACACATTTGAAATGTTGCAGCTTGTGTGTGTGTGTTTATATGTGGTTGTTTTTTGTACATTTTCAGGACAAATATGTTCTGGCTTTGTAGGAAAACCAACAGCACCATTACAATAGCTTTTGTTGTTTTTGGAAGACACATGATGTGTTTAAACAAATACGTTTACTGCTCATTTCATTGTTTAAATGTTTGCCCTATATGAGTACAGGATGAGTAATGAGATAACAGTTTAGTTGTTAGGAGACCTTTGTGTATTCACATTTCAACATTGAGTGTCATTCAGGGGCAGATCAGTCAGTATTTATGTATTTATATATCAGTGTTTTATATTTTATTTAAATAATTGGGCATGTGCCACTTACTAGAGATGAAGAACATGATGCCTGCAGCAAAGGAGCGATTGAACCTCTCAAAGGCAGAGAACTGTGCAAAGGACAGGATGCCTGCCATGATACCTCCGAAGCATGCCATGCCTGACAGGATCATGAATGCCCGTGTGGCATTCCAGTATGCTGGACACACAGTAACAAAACACTCATCATGATTATTCAGGACTTCAGTTAAAATAGTTCTCTAGATTAGATTGTTGATTGTACAGCAGTGTCACACCATGTAGATGAACATAGTGAAAAACAATAAATCTATTTAAATCCCTCGAAGAACCTCTCATCAGCATGTCCGCACTATTCTCTTGTAAAATATATTGTTGCTGTCTGATAATGCCAGCTGCCCTTTACAATGTATAAAAATATCATGTCGAAGGGATCACTAAAATTGTGTCAAAAATGCTTAGAATTAAATCTTGTGACCTTAACTTACAATGAATTAAAGAATTTTTTTCCTCATTAAACATTTACCATTAACATTTTCTTCTAATTGTAGTGGATAGGTTACTTTTGCTTGCTGAGTTTAACATCTTGAAAAGAAAAAAAACAAAATATAAAATATGCCAAAACTTTTGAACAGTCCACGTTTTATGTTTTAGTTTTTCCAATACATTAAATTCAGCAAATAAACAATAATTGTGTATTAAAATGTGCAGAAGTGTGATCTCTATAGAGGACATGTTAACTTATTTTCACTTAGAAAATCAACAAAATGTGACATTTAATCAGGGGTACCCAAACGTTTGCATACCACAGTATATAAAGCCAAGAGTTTGAGACGTTAAAGATCACCTTTACCAAATAAACATGGAACATTTGTATGTGTGCAATCCTAAAGCATAAGTATTGAAAGACACTTCACAAAAGAAAACATTCTACCTCCATCTGGAGGCAAAACTGAGTCAGTGCTGTTGCCAGAAACAGCTTCCTTTTTTAAAGAAGAAAATAGAGCAAGGAACAATTAAGTTGTTTCAAGCCTCTCACCAATGCTTGCAGTCTGCATGTAGCATTTGTTGGCCATGCAGTATCGCCAGAGGCCTTGATGCGCGTAACTGCCCGACAGCCGATACTGCATCCAGTAGTCCGTCGCCGTGGACACCACCAGCAGGACGTTGGCCACAAAGGCACAGAACAGACCGCCACCCATAAAGCTGTACATCCTGACAGAAACTGCGACTAGCAGGCAGAGAGGGATACACACTGAATGAATGAAAAATTTGTTAGCAACCTGGAAAAGATGAGCCCTTGATAAGGCCTTCACTCTTAGAAGTCTAGAGTTATTCCCTTGCTATCCCATTTCCAATTACATGATATAGTTACTTGCACAATTATATGATCAAAGACATAGTAACTAATTACATTAATTACTTTGAATTACATTAGATTTGCGTTCTGTATAGACAGGTTTAAGACTACACTTCATATTCAACGAATGATAAGCATACAGTTTCCACAAAACAAGCCTAAATGCCAAGCAATAACCTTTCATCAAATTCAAATTATGAAAAATCCTCCTCTTCTAATTACAAACACAAATGTGCCATTGATTGAAAGTTTACAATTCACGCTTTCAACAGAGTTGTGCCATGTGTTACATTGTCCTATGAGTAAGAATTAATTAACATCAAATGAAACCTTGCTTTTGCTGTTGTTGGTAAAATCTGAAGCTAATAAAGGTTAAACGTTTCTCTATGGACTTTATATGTCTCATAGTAGTTACCAAATATGTCATAGTAGTTACTGGACAATAAGTCTTACAGTTCTTAACTGAATAATATAACAGTTTATAGTTTAAAGCTTTAAACACATACTGTCACACATGCCTTGTTTTGCAGTTATTGGTAATATTGCAGCTAATTCAGGCTGTGTAGTTAGAGCAGCTGCACACACATGAGGTCATTATGAAATGACATATGCACTACAGTGAGATAAGCACTTATGGCACTCTGAAAAATGGTGCACTCAAAAAAAGTACTTGTTGTATTAAGTTAATTCACTTATGCCACACATTTCCATTCAATCAAATAGAGTAGTGTGAATATACACAGACGTTATTACCTCAACATAAAATTCAGTTGTTGATGGAAGAAAACTGAAACATTTCAGTGCAATTAATTTGGGTTTTATTGAAATGGAATTCTCAGCATAAAGAGATGTCATTTATTGTAATGTACTTTCACTAATTTTTGTCCATTTTACATAAAAAAGCTACTTAAAGACAACGCAATAAATTTATTTAATGCAATTTTGATGTCATTATGACATTTTCAGTTTGTAAGTATGCTTTGAACTTACGTGATGTATCATAAATAAATAAAAAATCTGTTACATAAATGCAAATCCTTCCTTTGGCAGCAACTGTGTTGATGCATGTGATATATTTCATTCATGTGTAACTGACCACACGTTTGGTCCATGTAAATTCAAAGCACATTTTTTTCAGTGTTTGACACGTAGGTTTACATTAAATGTTATGAGATTAGACACTAAAAAATGCGGTGACACTAATTTGAGTGGTCCTTTTTAGATGAAACAAACACTCAACGGACTCTCAGTAACATTTTAAAAAACATATGAGGGTTAGGGTTTAGGTTGTAGGTTGAGGGTAAGGTTAGGATTAGGATTAGAGACAGGGTTAGTATTAGGTTTTGGGTAAGGTTGGGCAAGGTTAGGTTTTTGCGTAATGGAAGTAACATATTACCAGTACATCTACTTAATGTAAGTAATAGATCAACAATATATCCACTAAAGATATTTACTTCAATGTATTCAGATGCTTCATTACTGCTACTTCACTGATTTATTGTTAATGTGTTACTGATAATCTGGTAAAAGTCTATTAATTACCTAAAAAGGACCACTCAAAATAAAGTGTTACCAAAAATGCCATAGTAAAACTACTTATTCTAAAAGATCTGTGAGTTTTAAAAGTTTAAATAACCATCATGTAATATAAAGATTCTTTACTAAGTTCTTCTTTGGATCTTTACATTATGAACTTCTTTCAACTTTTAAACTTTTTTTCATACTCACAGATCTCATTTACAAAAACATTCTCTCAAGAACCATCCACTGAAAGGTTCTTTCAGGAATTAAAAGGGTTTTTTTATGGCATTGAGCAAACGACTCTTGCTTTTTGCCAAGTGAAACAACAAATATAACATTAATTATGTGTTTACTTCAACCAGTCAGCTGAAAATACGCATCCACATCACACTCCAAAAATCAGAAACGTACTATCTTCTAATATTTTATTTCTTACCGTGTCTTCTCTGAAGTAAATCCCTCTTTATTTATGCTTTAGGAGGAAAGAGGGAGTGAGAGAGTGAGAGAGAGAGAGGTGTTCAGAGGCAGAAGAGAAATGGTCAGAGAGACTCCCTCGGCACAGTTCCAAAAAAGTTACCCTCTGTTTCGCGTTTCTGTTGATGGAGGCAAAATCTTTTAAACGCTATCCCTGCCCTCCAAACAAATGCACTTGAACGGACTAGCGTAGGGGCCCTGGGGTCTCTACTGTTTCAGTGTGTGGTGGTGGGTGAATACGGCACTGCAGGTTCATCTTTTGTTTGTTAAAGTGTGTCGTGCTCCATAGCTGTGCTTATTCAAAGGATTGCAGCGATGGAACGGTCAATGTAAAATGCTGAAGCACATACTTTCTTTGAATGAGGCCCATACTTTAAAATGCCTTTTCTTTCTTTCTCTCTCTCTCTCTTTCTCTCTCTCTCTCACACACACACTCACTGATATCTATCTGTCATGAATATAGTTACCCCAAAGTTCCAGCATCATTTATGTCTTTAAATAGTTTTTTTTTTTTTTGGCTAAACATATGAGATAGGGTAGTATTACACAATAATACGGCACTAACATTGTATTAATGTGCCAGAGAGTACTGAGAATAGGGGAAAGCAAGTAAGGCAGGTAATTCAGATTAAAAACACACTTATTCAAGCTAGCATATTGGTTTTTTCGTCTCCTTTTTCTAATTGCATTTGTATTTTCAATGTGTCATGTCATGTACAACACTTTAGGCACTCTTGGTCAAATTACATGTTTTTACAAGAGATGTCCAAAAAAGGGGGGTGGGAGGAAGCATAAAATGTGGCATGTGTTAAAGTTGTGGCACGTTTTATATTTTATGTATTTTTTTTCCAAAATATTAGACATTGTACAGTAACATTTCCAGAAAAATGACATATTTAAATATGTTCCCTGTAAGAGTGTGTGTTAATTCATTCTTTAAGAAAATCAACAAAATGTAATTTAACCGGGGGTGTTCAAACTTTTGTAAATAACTATATCTTTCCATGTAACTGTGCACTTTTGCAAATAAAATGTGATGAAAAATGAAATGTGTTGTATTACAAACTATATGTATACACGCACACACACACACACACACACACACACACTGATCAGTTCTTGCTTTTGAAGCATGTTCTAATGACTATCAGGTGGATTTGGTCTACTTATTAGAGGCTTTCGCACAAATTTACCCATGCTAGCTTGAGTGTACACTGTCACTAAAGCAAAAGAGGGAGATACCAAATGTTAAGAAATACTGAAAATTCATGTAAACACTCAAAAGAAACTTTTCACTCTAATTGTTATCTTGATAATATCATTTGTAATGGAAAATTTGCATAAATTTAGACAGAAATATAAGCATTTTACCAGTGGTCTCAGACTTCTGACCCCCATTGTGTGTGTGTGTGCGTTTGTGAGAGTATGTGTATGTCTGTGTGTGTATATGTGTGTGTAATTAAGCAGTGATTAACATAATTTTAGTCATTCAAGTCCAATTAAATATGTATTAGGTCATAAAATGTTTTCTTGTTTCAACCTGAATATTGGTGGAGTATTTGGCTCCATCTAGTGGTAAAAGTGTGCTATTTCACTTCCAGACGAGTGTCCTAACCTGCAAAGCTGTGGCTCATAGAGAAAATTTAAACTCTAGGAACAAGCAAACCCTGTCTATTTACCAGTGAAGGAACTAGCACGCTGATTAGATATGTTGCCTTTATTTGACAATTAACCTTTCTGAGTGATTGAATGGCTGTAGTCTGTGTGTTAGGCTTTAAGTCATTGAGAATCTACAATCATTGCATGATCAAACATGATGGGAGAGGAAGGTGATGATATTATTAGTTAATAATATTTTCACCTGCCCTCTGGGACACTGTAACATACTCAAAAATCTGAAAGTGGACAAGTGTTATTTCATTTTGAAGAGTGACTAGAGAAGAACAAGAATGTTGTTTTTTACATGTTATGTTATGATGAGTTATGCTTAATATGAACAGGCACATGAACTAACAAGGTGAAAGATGCAGTTTGATTTCAGCTTGACCCAATTTGCAGTTATGGCAGGTTTATCTTCTGTTTTTAGGTCCTTTTGTCATAGAAAAGTACTTCATCATCATCATCTTTAACCGCTTAGTCCAGACAGGGTCACGGCAGAAAAGTACTTCTAAACAAAAAATTAATTGCTATAGTAATAAAAGAGCTGCTGGGATAGATGGACAGCAGTAATATTCAATTCAACAAAAAGTTATATTGCATTTATATTGCAACTGATAGCAAGTAGTTCAATATGGGTTTGTTTGACTTTTGTGAGGGCTAGTACAGTGACCAAATGATCAAATTTACAGCACTGTTTCCAAAGAAGTTGAGACGCTGTGTAAAATGTAAATGAACACAGGATGCGGCAAATGTTTTCAGTGGTGATAGGTCTGGACTGCAGACAGGCCAGTTTAGCTCCTGTCATCTTTTACTACAGAGTCATGCTATTGTTATATGTGCAGAATATGGTTTAGCATCGTCTTGCTGAAATAAGAAAGACCTTCCCTGAAAAAGACGTCATCTGAATGGCAGCATCGTTGCTGTCGGAAGAAAACCTCATATCTCCAAATGCCTGTTGCCCTTTACACTGTGTGTAAATTTCATGCTGATTGGACCAAAAGAAACGGCCCAAAATGACTTGGAAAAAAGTCTGGTTCCATTGACTTACATTTAAAGTAAAGTAGGTTTTTTCATTCTTCTTTAAAGTTACCATTTTGGAGATATGAGGTTTTCTTCCGACAATAGCGATATATCATTCTGCATTAATGTTGCTTTCATAGATGTGCCATGTGCACTAATGCGCCCCCATACCGTCACAAATGCTGGCTTTTGAACTGTGCACTGATAACAAGCCGAATAGTCTCCCTCTTTTTAGCCCGGAGGATGCAGTGTCCATGATTTCCAAAAAGAATTTTAGAATTTGATTCGTTGCACCACAGGACACTTTTCCTTTTTGTTGGCATCAAATTCAAATTTTTAACAATTTTTTTTTTGTAAAAATATGATATGTTGAATAAGAATATTGATATGTTGTCTTTGTACTATTTTTAATTAAATATAGGGTTTAATTGATTTGCACATCATTGCATTTTTGCAAGTGTTGCATTTTCACTGTCTCACAAAAGTTTGGGGACACTTAGCTTTTCAAAATACCTTTATTGCAAATGCACATATTTTTGTGTATTTATGTTTTATGTTTTCAATAATGTAACATATTAAAGACCAATCTGGTTTATTTTGAGGAAGACAATATCACACATGTATACATGTTTATACTTGTAACACTACTGGCTGAATAATGCCAACAATCCCACTTTTTATTCTTTTGTGGTGATGTCAGCACTCATCAGCACTCAGACCTTTCGGTTGTTTTATCCACCTTTCTTTGAGCTGTAAGATTTTCAATATGTGCTTTTAGCATTAGCTCAGCGAAGCAAACTATCAGATCATTATTTAGGAAAATTAATCTTTGCACAGAGGAAGATACTTTGATGAACATGAAGCTGAGTGTTGCAAAACGTACCGAAAGTATTAGTAAACAGACAAGGTTCCCAAACTTTTAACATGCTTTATTTATTTATTTTCCTGCTGTCGGAACAAAACCCTGTATCTCCATTTGTTTCGTTTTTCAGTTTTTCACATAATTTGAAAATGCCTTTTGCCCTTTACATTATGTGTACATTTCATAACAGATACACCAAAAGAAATGGCCCAAAAGTATTTGGAAAAAATGTCTGGTTCCTTTGACTTATATTAAAAGTAAAGTATGTTTTGTCTTTCTCTTGTAACGTTTTGGAGATACAAGGTTTTCTTCCGACAGCAGCGATTTGTTTGTTTGTTTGTTTGTTTGTTTGTTTGAACGCATTTGCTCAGTTACTTTCCTCCTAAGAAAACTGGAAAAAGCATTCCACAAAACTTTCCAATGAATAAAACTCCTAAAGAAACGATCAATGGTTTCATCATATCAGTAACAGAAAGAGCAATCTGACATAACAGCAGGGTTAAATATAAGTTATTGGGTAAAAATGATACAGAATCTTAAAGGAGACGTACACAATTTTAAAGTAGATAATCCTTTCTAAACACTCAAACCTCCAGTCTTTGTCAAATGCATCATTCTGAAAGTTAACACAAGCAGGAACAGATGTTTGAGTTCAATGAAGGATAGATATCATTCGATTATTTGTTATTTTTTCTGATAAAAGACGTTAACAGGCAGTGTAAATGTGCGGAGTTCAGATGTCGCCTGAGGGAGGTCGGTCACATAACCTGACTGTCAAAGGAAGTGACGCAAATGAAAGCGAAAGCACGCAAGCTGGTGGCGGGAGAGGGGGGAGCTGTGCTGCTGCTGGTTGTCTGTTTTGTCCTGCCAAAGGTTATTAAAACTGAAATTCAAGTTCCGAGAAGAGAAGCCCGTAAGTTAACCTTTTTCATGGTAAAGTGAGCTGTTTTATCTGAATCGTGTTATCAGTATTATCAGTTGAGTCTGAGTGTTTGGTCCGCTCGTCAAGGCGGAGCGCTGTTGTTGCGCAGTACCAGTTTCTGTAGTGAAGGAGTTTCTGTACTGACTAAACCGAAAAAGACTGGCAGCGCTGACAGTTCGTCGTGTTTTGCGTTTTTTATGTTAACATGGGGATATTCATAATAATGAACACAAAGCGTGACTTGTTGTGTACGAATAAACAGTCGTTGTGTTTACGTTTTGTTAACGTGTTTTGCAGCCGACTGTGGCGGCTGCCACTCGCTCCGATCTGCAGAGGGCGCTCGCGCGCGTTCAAAAATGCGTCACAATCTTGCAAATGGATTTAAATTAGACAGAGCTCTTCATTCTGACTGAAATGAATAAAATAACTTAATAAATAGAGTTTAAAAAGGTGCACTCCGTGTAGTGGAAAGGAGGAATTGTTTTGTTTTTTTTTTGTTTTTTTTTTTATGATTTTCACCTCATCCAGACAGATGGAGAAGTCAGAGTCAGACCCAGTTACCTCTCAGCCAGTGAGTGCAGAGGAACCAACAGTGCAACCAGTCCAGACTGATCAAGGAAGACAGATTGGTGACAAAGGGTCAGATATTGCAAAATCTTTTAATGTATGCTCATAATTGAATGCTGTGTCACATCTGATGTATTGGAAAACAACAAATTAATGAATGAACTGAACTTCACAGGGTCCGGCCAGACTCATCCAAACCTATGCAGAGCGATGACTCAGTCAATCAGCCCAAATGCCTACAGCCTGGAAAAAAGAGGTATTGTTCTGTACTTTGTTTTTTCAAGTTAAGAAGAGATAATGGCATTCTTGTTTGTTTTAATTTTTTTTCCTCCTTTCAGGGTTTGGATGGAGGAGTGTCAGGGAATGCTCTTACTGGTCTAAAGCAATTTAGAATATCAGTTTTAGAAAACATTAGATTTTAGACTATAGTGTGCATCGATTTACACCTGTTTGCCCAAATGCTTTAGACAGACCCCAGACTTATTCCGTCTTATTCACAGAAAGAGTAACCCAAAAACTTAAAATACGTATTCCAGAAATACTGAATTACTGCTGTACTCTGCTTTGTGTGCTAAGTTCATGAAAAGGTAGATGACAATGCTGAAACAAAGACCATATTTGTATTTTTCAGGGTTCAGATGGACTCATCAATACCAGATCATCTTTCAATGAAGAGTGAAGGCTCAATGATTCAGCCAATAGTTTTCAGTCAAGGAGAACAGTTGAAACAGTTAAGATATTGTTTTAAATTTTTGGTACTGTTAGTTATCTCTTTGTTTTTATTATTGTCAAATTAACTCATATTTAGGTGAATTCAATTTTTTTAAAATCCAGTTGGCTCGATTCAAACAGTGAATGTTCTTTGGCATGATTGGAAAGTTCATTTTCAAATTAGTTTGCTCACTCTAAATTTTATTTGCTTTTACAATAATGAATAAATGCATAATTCGAGCAACTGCCTACTGGACAAACAGTTCATTAATTCACCACCCATAATGAAAATTAGAGTGTCTTATTAGGAAACAATTTTATAATGTTACTCTTAGAAAATAAAAGTACATAAAACGTGTGTGTTTGTATATATATATATATATATATATATATATAGAGAGAGAGAGAGAGAGAGTCCAGGTTCAACTGACCATAACTCTATGAAGAATGATCTGAACATCTAAAAATACTTATTCCACAAATACTGAATTGCTTCTTAACTATTCATTTTGTACATAAGTTCCTGAAAGTGTAGATTACAGTGTTGAAACAAATGGCCTTGTTTCTATTTTTCAGGGTTCAGAGGGATTCATCACCAAACCATCTTTCAATTAAGAGTGAAGGCTCAATGATTCAACCAATAGTTTTCAGTCAAGCAGAACAGTCTAAACAGTTATGGTCTTTTTTGCATTTTTTTTTATTCTTAAATGTACAGTTGGTGATGTCTTTGGTTATTGTCATATGAAGTCATATAGTTAAAGATTAACAACTTGAGAACAACTTAAGAAATTGCTTACATTTTGCATTTTTGGGTGGATCAAATCAAGGAGGGTACTTTAGCATGATTGGAATGTAATGTCATTTTACTTAATGAATAATTGGATCAGTAGAATTCCTGACATAAAACTCATTTGGCCACCCTATAATATGAAAGTAAGGTTGTCTTATTGGTATCTATGGTAAACAAAAATATAAAGTAAAATAGCAGTGTGCATTGATATATTTACACCCAAATGCAGTAGACAGACCCTGAGGCTCAGTCAGTCTTATATGTATGAAGAGTAACCCACATTTTTTTACATTCTTAGTCCAGAAACACTGAATTACTGCTGTACTCTATATTATGTGCTAAGATCTTGAAATGTAGAAGATAAAGTTAAAAGAAGGGCCTGTTTCTATGTTTCAGGGTTCATATGGACTCATCAACACCAGACCATCTTTCAATGAAGAGCGAAGGTTCAATGATTCAGCCAATAGTTTTCAGTCAAGGAGAAAACTCTAAAGATACAAAGTACCAACCAGAGCTCAAGACCGCATACTCTAGTGCTGCTGGAGTTATGGAACCTTGTGACATGGAGCTAAGTCTCTGCCAAGAACATTGCAGAGATTTGGCTATGTTCTGCATAAGTGATAAGAATCCTATTTGTAAGGAGTGTGCAGTGAAGGATCACAGAGAGCATGAAAAACAGTACTTAAAGGTAAATGTTAAACAAGTTGTTCTATTACTTTCTGATTCTAAAAAAAGAGTTAAATTAATTTAGTATTAGTAGGGCTGGGCGATAAAACGATAATGATAATTATCGCGATATAACTTTCCTCGATAGAAATATAAGGAATTTTCGATAAATGTTTGATATAATAGACAGTTCTCACTCTCAAGGAGTGAAATGAGTCGTCAAATATACTTTAGCAACGTCTGAAATGGGGAGATAAATATTCCCTGTTTGAGTGGAGCGATCAGCGATCTGTTCTCCTGTGACCAAGTGTGAGTGACAAGATAAATTGTGTAAGTAGACAGTAACTGTACTGTCTCAGCGAACTCATCGCTTTCCTTACATCCTAATAAGCTTTAGCGGCATTAAATCACGTCTGCTCCACACAGCTACATCACTGTGTTACAGTGCTCAAACAGTCACATTTTATTATTAGTGCATTCCAAAGCAACAAAAGTGAAAGAATGAAGTGGGTTAATGCAAGTTACAGCCCTGATTTAAACAAAAGTAAACTGAGGATGCTGTATGTGTGGCATTGGAGAGCGCAAGAGCACTATCTTTCCAGCCTAGCTGTTTTTTAGCAGCTGGCTAACTTGAAGCAGCGCTCTGTCACTCGCACTGCATGGCGAATTTGTTTTTACTGTAGAACAAACAAGACAAAAAAGTGGCAATTTCAGTTTAAACATACCTAAAAGGAGGACTCTTTTTGTCTGGTGTGAGAGATTTGGCAAGTGTATGTCATGTTCCGACCATAAAGGATAGTTTAAAACAACAATTAACCACTCAGGAGCAAAAATCAGCCTTCAAACTTGAAAGAAATAATGATTTGACATTTATCGCTATGTGTATCGATATCAACTGATATGAAATTTTTTTATCGTGCTAACATTTTTGGCCATATTGTCCAGCTCTAAGTGTTAGTAACATATGTAATGGCGTAGCTGATAAATGGAATCTATTCATTGGATCTATCTTCCTAATTGGTGCAATAGAAAATTTACTAATTTAATTCTGTAAATAGGCAAGTTGTGAAAACATATCTATTAAAAGCTAAATAATTTAATGGTTAAGTACAATGCTTCTCTAATTGTTTCAGATTCCAACTGTACCAGACACTTTAACCACTCTGCAGAACATGCTGGGCAGCATGAGTACCTCTGAGTTTCGAGAGTTCAAAAGAAATTTATGTCATGAATACCCAGAATGTTTTGAGACACTGGACAGTTGACAGGAGACAATTCTAGTGCTCAATATGTTGCTGAATGAGGAGCTTCTCTGAAGATCAGGTTTTGAAAGTCACCATTCAGTTGGCATCAGGTATGTCCTTTTTGATTGTTACAACACAACCAAACTATTAGAATTAAATTAGAATTTTCACTTAGTGAGTAGTCCAGTGGATTATATCATTTCTCTTGATTTTCAAGCCTTTTTATATTTTCACAGTCAGAAAAATGCTCAAATGTCAAGAAAAGATCAAGGAAAAGCTAAGAATGAGATTTAGACACATTCGTGAAGGACTTGCACTACAGAAGACACATGTTGTTTTGCATGACATCTACACAGAGCTCTATATCACTGAGGGCGGTAGTGATGCTGTCCAAAGTGAACATGAAGTGAGACTGATTGAGAAAGCCGCTAAGAATTTCAGCAAACAGGAAACTCCAGTGAAGTTGACAGATATTTTTAAATCACCATCTGAACCAGGAGACTACATTAGAATGGTTTTAACGAAAGGAATTGCTGGCATTGGAAAAACAGTGTCTGTTCAAAAGTTCATCCTTGACTGGGCAGAAAATGAGGCAAATCAAGACATTGACCTCATACTCCCTCTCTTCTTCCGTGATCTGAACCATGAGAAGAAAGACTGCAGTCTCATGGAGCTTCTGCAGGCATATTTTTTTGAGCTCAAAGACATTGAAAGCATTGAAAATGGCATTAAAGTTTTGCTTGTTTTGGATGGACTGGATGAATGTCGACTCTCCTTAGACTTTGATAATACTAGGAACTGTTCTGATATAATGGAGCCAGCATCAGTGGAGGTGCTTCTGACAAACCTAATAAGGGGAAATCTACTACCCCGTGCTCTTCTCTGGATTACTTCTCGTCCTGCTGCAACCAATCAGATTCCCTCTCATTGTGTCCAACGAGTGACCAAAGTCAGAGGGTTCAGTGATCTACAGAAAGAAGGGTACTTTCACAAGAAATGCACCAACTCTGATTTGGCCGACACAATGATAAAGCATGTGAAATCATCTCGTAGCATAGACATGATGTGCCACATACCAATCTTCTGCTGGATTATGGCAACTGTCTTGGACATAATGCTAAAAGACACAGAGCTTGGTGAAATTCCAAAAAATCAAACTCAGCTGTACACACATTACCTACTCATTCAGACTGGTTTGAAAAATAGAAAATACCAGAAAGCCATGCATGAAGATTTGCGCAAGTTGTCAGAAAGTGACAGAAAGATGATCTTGAATTTGGCAAAGTTAGCTTTCCAAGAGCTGGAGAAAGGTAATTTGATATTCTATGAAGATGATCTGAAGGAATGTGGCATTGACATCAATGACGCATCAGACTTTTCCTCTATGTGTACACAGCTCTTCAGAGAAGAGTTTGGACTGTACAGAGAACGAGTCTTCTGTTTTTTACACCTGAGTGTCCAGGAGCATTTGGCTGCTGTTCATGTTCTGTGCACATATCTGAATGAGGGCATTAATGTTCTTGAGTCAGACAGCCATACAAGCACAACAGAGCAGACAACATTGACCCGTGTTCTTAAGAGTGCAGTAGAGAAGGCCTTAGAAAGTGAGAATGGACACTTTGACCAGTTTCTGCGCTTCCTTTTGGGCCTTTCTTTTGAGTCCAATCAGAAGCTCCTCCAAGGTCTTCTACATCACCCTCAGAAACAGGTCCAGAAGAAAGATGAAATTGTCAGCTTCATCAAGAGGAAAATCAGTGAGGGAGACATAACAGAGACAGCAACCATCAACCTTTTTCACTGCTTGAATGAAATAAATCATGATTATTTGGTGAAGGATATCCAAGACAGTTTGCATTCTAGTACACTTTTTGAGAAAGAACTGAAGCCAGAGGAGTGTTCAGCTCTGGCCTTTGTGTTACTGATGTCAAAGGACGTGATGGAAGTGTTTGACCTAAAAGAATACAAAACAGAGCCACCAAATCGCCAAAGACTTCTGCCCATCATCAGAGCATCAAAGAAGGCCATGTAAGTAGTGATTTTTTGATGTGTGGAAGTTTAACTCTTAATTGCACAGTTGCATAACTCAATAAATTATTAGCAACATGGCAGTTATATCTCACATAAATAGAAAAATAAGTAGCCATTATAGTGTAGATCTGTACTATCGACAATAACAAAATATATTTTGAAATGATGTCAAAGTAAACACATTTATAACTTTATAATTCATTAAAGTCACTATTTTTGTTAGCATATTTTAATGCATCTTCCCAGCATAAGACTTTGAACCATCAATAGTTTGACCCTGAAAGCCCAGCTGCTTGTACGCTGCTGCTATGATCCAGTGACTGTAGCCTTTTGCTCAAATACAGTTTTTAGATGGCAAGTTCCATTGACAGCTCTGTTGAAAGTTATTTCCAGCTACTACCATGGTGAATTTGTTTTTCACTGCAGGACAAAAAGTCACTATACAATCACTGATATGGCAATATCAGTAATATCAGTAACATTACCTTTGCCAGACTACACATGACAGTGCTTGTGGGAGAAACATAGATGTCCAGACTGCGAGTAAACTAACAAACGCAATAGCAAAATGCACTCTCATTGCTCATCTCACATATTAAGTTTTTTAAATGTTACATTAAAATGCAAATACATTTATTCTGCATGCTATATTTTTACTTGTTGCTGCAGACTTTCCAGCTGTGAACTCTCAGAAAAAGCTTGTGAAACTGTGGCCTCAGCACTTCGGATAGGAAATTCTCCTGTCCGAGAGCTGGATCTGAGTAATAACAACATAGGAGATTCAGGAGTGGGACACATATGTAGTGGGCTGAAGAGCCCACACTGCCGACTTGAGATATTGAGGTAAATGCTGCCACCTCACCCCGATCACATTTACAAACCAGAGTGGGTATAAGGGGTGAAAAAGGCTTCAATGATATCCAAATATAGAAATATGCAGTCCTATGTACATTTCAAATGCTTTATTGAACTCTAGGAATAACTACATGGTGTGACTATAGTTTGTTTCCATGCATCTCACTTTAGGAGGGGTAATCTATCCTAATCCTCAGTGGAGACTTTGTGTTTATTTAAAACAGCTGTGTCATAGTTTGTATTCTGAAGCACTGTGACATAATGCTTTGTGAAAAGAGATACACGTTTAAGAATGTACAAAGGTTTGTCTGTAAATATAACATTGTGAATGCAGACTGGTCTCTTCACATGACTTGAGGAAATAAATGAAGCAACATTCTCAGAATACACAAGATACAACAGTGGTCATCCATCATCTTGGATTCCTTATATGATTTCATTGTCTCACTTCTTATGGCCTCCTCCTTAAACAGTCTTGCAGGCTGCAAAATCACAGCCAAGTCATGTGAAAGTTTGGCCTCCACACTCCAGGGCACTGAGTCCCACCTTCAAGAGTTAGACCTCTCATTCAACAAGCTGACAGATTCAGGAATGAAGGTGCTTGAGCCTTGGCTGAGAAGTGAGCAATGTAAAGTGCAAAGAGTGGGGTAAGTTGTTAGAAGCTGACAAAGACTATGGAAGTAAATGTTCAATAACTGTCATTGTCATGTCATTTTAAATATGGTGTTTGAATATAAAAATTCAAATGAACAGTAGCGCTGCAGAAACATGGAACTGTGAGCTATTTTTTACTGTATTTCATACAGTCAGAAAAAACTGTACCTTTCAAATGCTGTCACCTTGGAAATAGCCTCAAGGGTACATCTTCAGTACCTTTAGTTAGTGTACACTATATCCATTGCAGTTATATATTTTTAAGTTGCCCTGACTCAAAACACTCTGTCCTTTCTTCAGGCTTCTTACTTTTTGAGGTTATATTCATGTTGTACCTAGGGTGACTAAAAACCATGGCAATTAGCAAATCTAAAAATATAATTAACAGTTAAAACAAGCATTAAATATTTAAATAACCCACTTGTTGCATGATATTTTTCTCCTCACAGGTTAAGACAATGTCACCTATCAAAGGATTACTGCAGGAGCCTAAATGAAGCTCTGAGTTCATCCCAGAAAAAGCAGATGGATTTGGATCTGAGAGAAAATGACCTGAAGAATTAGAATTAATTACAAATGAGTGGACTGGTGACACTGAAACAGAACTCTAACCGTAAAGCCTTGGAGTTCTTCCACCCTTGATTTCTGCTTGTTTTTTGCCTTCTCAGCATATTTGAAAAATGCATGTTAGGAACTTCTTTTAACCCACAAACATTGAAAAGAGACTCTCAGAAGTATGGAGAGGTCACATGAGGTAGAAGAAGGAAAAAATAACTGCTTTTGTTTTAAAACCCTACCATTTGAAAATACTACACATATACTGAAAAAAAAAGTTAACACACTCTCTACAGAGAACACACTTCTGCATTTCTAACAAGCAATTTTCGAGTGGCCTGCGCAAATATTATGGCAATCCTATATTCTCCGTCTAAGAAAGGTAGATCGCGAGGACCAGGGTTGGTGATAACTGCTGTAAAGAATGTGTTCACTTATTTTCATATAAAAAAAAAACATGTAATTTGAGCATCTTCTGCATAGGGCTGTACCTATCCACCATGAATTGCTCTTAAATAAAACATTTTAAGCAAAGATTTTGTCACAAAACTTGTGTTTACTTTGACAAGAAATATAATGTCACAGGTATCAAGCAAAGAATTCTTAACCATTTGTGCAACAGCTTTCTGTGATATAAAGTTAAAGGAAGTTCCTTCATGAATAGGTAGCCCCATACCCCCTCAACACCTTCTGGCACTTAGCAATGATGTTTTTGGTATAACTTAACTGTTATGTCGGCGAGGAAGAAGAGATATTGGCAGAATAAGCCACTATTTCTGCCATTACTTCAATATTTCTTTAATTAAACAAAGGACGAAAGGCCACCATCTTCACGCCAGGGAAGATATTATGATAAACACACACGAACATACATACATACATACATTAATTAATTAATTCATTAATGTCATAAGAATCGACGGAAAGGAAAGTGAAAGTAAGCCCGCTGGGTGGGGAAAGCCGCTGCTGGTTGTCTGTTTTGTCTTGCTAAGGGTTATTAAACCTAGAAAAATAAAAATAAAGATTTGAGAAAACTTCAGAAGGGCATCCAGCCCCGTAAGTCGACAAAAAGGTGTTCACGGTAAATGAATCTATTCATCGCTTTATCAGTAGAATGGAAGTGAGGTATATGTAGGTGTATCAAAAATACCAGCGCTGACAGTTCATCGTGGTTTCCGCTTGGTGTTAACGGGGGGATTAAATTCTCATAATGAACACAAATCGTGAACCGTTGAGTCATAACATCCTACGAGGCCGAAGTTAGTTACTTATTCGCAGCTCTCGATTCGTTCGGTTCCTTATTCGCAGAGTCTTATTCGCCGGCTTAAGTTAGCTCCTTATTCGCGGCTTCTCTTTTAGCGAATGGCGGTAAAACAAAGGGAGTATTCGCAAACGCTGTATGCTGATTTAATACATTAAAACACCTGGCAACATGGCTAATAGAGCAATAATGCACACAATGAATAGGAAGCTGGAAATCCAGATTTTTAAAACCAGGTTTTCCTTACAGGAGGAGACTGGATCTCTATTTAGGATATGTAATTATCCTGGCCCGAAGTGAATAATGCCTTCAATATCCACCTGGATTTTCAGCTTCCTGTTCCTTTCATTGTGTGCATTACTGCTCTATGAGCGATGTTGCCAGCTATTTTAATGTACTAAATCAGCTTGGACCCAGCTAAAACCTTACTAAAAAGCAAGGTTTTTTTCCTTACAGCGACAGTGTTTTTCTGTGTTTGGAATCTGTTATTGGTTTTATTCCATGCAAATACACCCCTCTGAAATTTCTTGTTTCTTGTCTATTTCCTTTTACGCACAATTACTCATTGTGCCATATTGCCAGGTACATCTGCGATTGGAAAATTATTAAATTTAGTCATATTAAATTTAAATTTGGATTAGCTTTAAATCTAATTCATAAACTCACCCTTATTTTTTTCTTCAGTCTCATACTTTAAACTTGTAATGAAAAAAACATTGGAAAAGAATTGAAGGAACATCATATATTTACAGAATTAAATATTTTATTTCTTTATAGTCATAATCTTCATGTTCACAATGATAAGGCAAACACAGTACACATTCCTAACTCCTTCATTAGTATGTCTCCATCATTAATGTCTCTGTGTCTGTTAAAATGGGAAACTGTTCAGCATACAGCGTTTGTGAACACTCCCTTTGTTTCGCTAAAAGAGAAGCCGCGAATAAGTAACTAACTAACTAACTCGTTAACTCGTTAACATCCTGATAGCAGAGATATATCGGTCGGCTGGCCTGATAAGGACTGTATAGCACTGCTGGTCCACCCTTGGACCACCCAGATTATTGTCCTGCGTAAGTTTTTCATCTCCTCGAACAGATTTTAAGCGCAAAGACCAATATTACAAACAACTGAGAGATTAATGACTAGGCCTAATATAAACTGACTTTGTTGAAAATGTTGCTGACATTGTGCTAGATTACAGCTTTATAACCAACCTTATTTATAATATTGCTGTAAAAATTATTTACTAAACTAATTAAAAAGGTAATGAAAGAAAGATATGAAGATGAAATAAGTAAACTGGACTATGTATGGAAAATGAGCAATGAAAAGTGGTATTTTGTTTGTAGTGGTATCTGCTTAACCACCGGTGAGCTTTTTCACCAGTGGGCTAACAGTGGCCTCTTGTTATCTGGGACAGTCTTTGTTTATGCCTTATTAAAACGCACAGCTGCCCAAGGGGGTTTTGGAGTGGACTGACATCAGTGTTTGGGGAAACATGCTAATAAAGTTTCATATAAATACAGATTTGTTATGGTTGGAGGGTGGGCTGTATAAGCAGCTTTAGTTAAGATGTTACTCTTAAAATTATTTACAAAATTAATTTACAAAGAATAAGGCAGAAAGAAATGAAAAAAAAAAATAAGTGAATTGGACTGTGAGTGAAAAATGAGTGATTAAAAGTGTCGTTTTGTCTAAAAACCTGCTTAACCACCAGTGGGCCACCTGGAAAACACTGAGCAAAACACTACTGGGCCTCCAGCTTTGCCGTCAGTGGGCCAACAGTGTCCTGCTGTCCTCTTGATATCTGGGTAGCTCAGAAGCTGTAGTGCTAGCACTATTTGCATGCATGCTAGCAGCTAGAGATGTTGTTTTTGCTCTTATTTTAACACTAAGAGAAAATGCTAATTTTTCTGGCTCTACTTATTATTATGTAACCATAGAAAGTATTGCGTGATTGTGTGCAAGTTCAAATCATCTTAGAGTCTAAAAGATGTTGTGGCATCAAATGTGAGGGCTAAAGCTAACAGTACAAGCTGAGAGCTAGCCTTAGCACTGTTTTTCCCCTTTGCTGTATGCTGTTCCAGAGTTTTTCAGTAAAGCTGAGTTATGGACCTGAACCAGCTGCAGACTCTCTGGCTGTTAACTAGTAGATAAAGTGTGTGAAACTGTGGCCTCGGCACTTCACACTAGGAAATTCTCCTGTAAGAGAGCTGGATTTCAGTAACAACAACCTAGGAGACTCAGGAGTGAAGCTCTTCTGCTGTGGGCTGAAGCGCCCACACTGCCGACATGAGATATTGAGGTAAATGCTGCCACCTCACCCCATTCATGGTTTCAAACTAGAGTGGGTATAAGGGGTGAAAAGGGACAAAAATGCAGAAAATACAGAAAAATGTATTCACATGTGCATTCACTCACTGTTACTTTTATAGCGTGTACACAAACTATTCAGGTGCTTTAAAAAACTAGGAATAGCTAGGTGGTGTGATTACAGGTTCTTTCTGATTATTTAAAGGGGCTGTGTCATAGAACTTGTTCTAGAGCATTATAACACATCATGCATTGTGAAAAGAGATCCAACTTTAGGAATGTGCAATGGTTGGTTTGCAAATGTAACATTTTGAATGCAGACAGATAAACCTGTTCAAAAGACATTTTCAGAGACAGATTCATACAATAGTAGCCATCCATTAGCAGTTAACTTTCAAAATAAAATCTCTTTTAGTATGTCTTTAACCTGCCCAAATTGTCAGAACTGCCCATTTTATGGATTCCTAATATTTAACTGTCTTGCTTATTATGCCCTCTTCCTTAAACAGCATTGCAAGCTGCAACATTACACGCAAGTCCTGCAAACGTTTGGCCTCTGCACTCCAGAGCACCGAGTCCTACCTTCAAGAGTTAGACCTCTCATTCAACAGACTGACAGATGCAGGAATAAAGTTTCTTGAGCCTTGGCTGAGAAACGAGCACTGCAAAGTGCAAAGACTGGAGTAAGTTGTGACTGTCCTTTAGAAGCTGACAAAGTCTATGCATGGACATTTTTAACTGTCACTGTCATGGCATTTTGAAAATGGTGTTTGAATATAGTTGCTGTTGTGTAAAAACCCTGTATCTCCATTTTTGTGATTCTTCAGTTTTTTTGCATAGTAGTACTTTTTTGCTTAATGCACTTTACACAGTGTTAAAATCTCATGACGAGCAGACCAACAGAAAAGCTCAAAAATCACCTCGAAAAATATCTTGTTCAATTAACTTCCAGTACAAATTAAGAATATTATTTCCTTTTCCTGTGAAGTTTACGAGGAGTTTCGAGGTTTTATTCCAACAGCAATGATATACAAATTCATCCAATGAGGAATACTGCATTCCATAGACAAAACAATACAAACTAATAGATCAAACAGTTGGAAGAAGCTTAAAATAATGAAATAACCTATTGGTTGGATGTGTATTTTTATCCTCACAGGTTAAGGCAATGTCACCTTACAAAGAACTACTGCAGGAGCCTAAATGAAGTGCTGAGTTCATCCCACACAAGGCAAATAAATTTGGATCTGAGAGAAAATGACCTGGAGGATTAGAAAGAATTACAAAGGAGTAGCCCAATAACACAGTTAGCTGCTCATATCCTAAACGCAAAAGAAATCAGCATTTACATCAGTCCAACATTTAGCAATCCAAATAAAAGGACTGAAGATCCAAAGGTTAAAAAGAAACTATGAAACATTTTGCACAGTTGCAAAAGTCAAACTTTATTGCTAAGAAGCTGATCCATTCTTTTGTCTTTTTACAACTATACTACTGTAATGCATTATTCACAGGATTACATAAAACCACAGGTCACAGACTTCAACTTGTTCAGAGGGCTGCAGCCAAACTGTTTACACATACAAAAATAAAGAACATATTAGAGCTGTTTTAGTTAGTTACACTGGCCTTTTTCAGTGATTTTAATATTTGTTTATTATTTATTAAAGCTCTTAAAACTCTTCATACATTTCAGAATGACTGACAGACTATGTTCTAGGTTGGATCTTAAGATCACAAAGTGCTGCTTAATTGAATATTCCCAGAAGGAAGTGTAAAAAGACTGGTGAAACAGCCTTCTGTTACTATGCACTAAAGATTTATATCTCTTTACCTATCAGTATTAGCCAGTTACTGTTACTACTTTAAAAACAGCAGAAAACATATTTATTTAGTTTAACATGTCATTAGATGGTCTTTTATATATGGTTCATTTTGTATTTATTGAGAATCCTATGTTATTCATTCTAATGTTATTCCATTTCATTTTAATTTAATGCTCTCTCAGTATCCCCATTTTTTTACCCATTTGTTATTAAACAAATGTTTTCTTTTAGTTTCTATAGTTCATATTCTAGTCTGCTGTTCTCTGTTTTATGTACTACTTTGCTGGTTTATTGAATTACACTGTAAAGCACATTGAGCTGCATTTTTCTGTATGAATTATGTTATGTAACCTAATTATTATCGTTGCTATTATTCATTACTTAACCTGGATATATCCTGAAAACTAGCTAACCAACTAACTAACTCTTACACTAAATCTAGCAAAAAAACATTATACTAATACACTACAAGCAACAAACTACTAATATAAACCTGCACTATTTTGAACAATTTCTTGTGTTTAGTGAAGCACTACATCAATTCAAGCCCATGCTAAGGACGTTTGTGTGATAGGAGAAGACACATACTTGTCGACTTGTTGAGTTTTGTTCTTAATATGGAAATGAAGACTTTGATTCCAAAATGCTATGTATCAATTTGTGACAGTTTTGGATATTATTTTTTAATGAATAACAGCTGACATATCATGGAAACCACATTTTTATTTCTCTAACAAAGGTTGTATTAATCATAATATACAACTTAGCACACTTTTCCACTTTTCCTCAGTCCATCTTAAATGACCTCGGGCCCAGAGAAGGTGGCAGCGTTTCTGGATTCTGTTTATATGTGGTTTCTTCTTTGTGCATTTGTGAATGCAGCGACAAACTGTATTCATAGACAGTGGTTTTTGGAAGTGTCCCTGAGCCCATGCAGTGATTTCCACTACAGAATTGTGTCTTTTGATGCAGTGCTGCCTGAGGGGCCCAAGATCATGGCCAGGGAATATTGGTTGTCATGCTAAGCACGTTTGTGTGATAAGAGGAGACACATACTTGTCAATTCTGAATTTTCTTCCTAATATGGAAATGAAGGCTTTGATTCCAAAATGCTGTGTATCAATTTGTGACAGTTTTGGATATAATTTTTTTTTGAAGAATAACAGGTGACATATAATGGAAATAACATTTTTATTTCTCTAATAAAGGCTGTATTAATCCTAATATAGCAATCACATTTCTTGTATGTGTACTCCCAAAAATGTATATCATGAATAAAAGAGAAATTTCGAAAGTGGTCTATAATGCACTTTTCAGCAAAACCCTTCATATCTGTTGGCTTAAACAGTTTCATTACAAGCATATAATTTAGTAATCCATTTTAAATTATCAGTTTTGACACAATCATGAAGTGCTTATAGAACTACTAGGCTTAGGTCCTTGTGCTTTATATGGCTTGTGAACAACTAAATGATTTGCAACTCTTTTAATAAAGTCATTTAACAAAACATGCTTATCTGTCATGACAAAGCCTATTCAGACCCTCTCAAATATCCTACACATGATCTATTACATATTATTTACTAAAGAAACATCCTCCAGTTCTTATTTACATCGGATTCTTTGTATTTGAAGTGACCACAAATCAGGTGTTTAGTGAGTTTTTACATTTCTAAAGAATGGGAGAGCATTTAAATGACTTCTACCATAGTGCCATATCAAATTCAAACAGTCTAATACTGTGTGCAATTAAAATTGTATCATAATAGATCACTGTGTCTGAGTGGAGTTTGATCCTGAAGTGTTTTGGGGCAAATTTCTTCATTGTATATGGCTCTATATGGAACCTTTTTGAAAATGGTTGATATTGTAACAATAGCAGAACCCTTTTTGGTGCAATATAGAGCCATTTTCAAGAATGCACATACAGCACATTCACCATCAGTCCTGAAGAACATTTTCACCATGCAAAGAACCATTTAAGTGTCAAATGGTTCTATATAGGAGTTATGGTTCTAAACAGAACCATTTCCTTTACTAAAGAACCCTTAAAGAACCATCTTTTTAGGGGGGTTCATAGTTGCTTTATATACTGTATTTACTCTCTGGCATGATTAAAGCACGAGCTGTATTGGTTTTCCACCTGTATGCTAATTATGGCTACATGTTCGTTCGCATCATTTCAGCAACGCCCATAAGTTTATGATGTCAGTAAGTGAGGGCTGGGAATAGTCCACTACAGGGGAAAAGTTCAAATACGGAGAAATGACATCCTTCAAAAACCCGAAGACACTTCAATGAGGTATGTGGTCAAGATTTCACCGTCAAGGGTGCCACAATCTGGATACCACAATCTACAGGTCTTATACATTAATCTGCCTGCACCATGTCTAAAAACGAAACTACCCTTTTGCTCATGAAGAGGGAGGGAAGTCAGCTCACAGCTGGTGTTGGAGAACAGCCTTACACTCATGTAGACGTGCAGATAGTGCAGATTCTAAACTGTTTTATTGTTAATAATGATTGTGTATGACGTATTTTAATACTGCAATGATATTTTATGGCGAGTTTCTTCGTGTCTGTTCGCCAGTTTTCCGCTTGTAGAGGGAGTTTCTCCTGTAACAGTTCACCTTCATTTCCATATGTGGTATCTTCATGTCGATATGGATGAAATAATCTGTTTTAGCTGCAGCTCATCCACCGAATTGTCATTATTACTCCATTACATGTTTAAACATTAGCTCACAGCATTTTATTGGTAACTGTGCGGTCTCCAAAACTGCGTACGGCTGAAACAGAAGATAGAAATGACGTGGCGTCGACAACAGCCTGTGTCAACATTGTCAGTTGGTTATTCCTAGCAGCAGAGTGTCATCTGGTGGCCAGATCTTGCCAAATCCCTCTAACTAACGTCAGGAAATCACCAATAATCACACTTTGAAATAACAGTGAACAAAGATAGTTTAAACACGTGACATTAATATTTAAGTCATTATTTATAGATATACTATATCTATATCTAGTATCTAGTAGGATATATAACATATCCTTCCAAAAATCCTTTTTTAATTTATATATATATATGTGTGTGTGTGTGTGTGTGTGTGTGTGTATATATATATATATATATATATATATATATATATATATATATATATATATATATATATATATAAAGAGAGAGAGAGAGAGAGAGAGAGAGAGAGAGTTAGATATATAGGCGCCTCGGTGGGGGGCAACAAACCTTCTGTACGTTGTCATATCAGGGAAACCATATCAGGGGAAAGTTTGAATTCAAACAACCGAAAGGAGGTAAGCGGTTAAGGCTTTACAGTCAGCGGAGTTTGATGTACTGAAACACGATGCCACAAAGTCTACAGTTCCAGTGTACAGTGCAAAACGAAAGTACCAAGTTGACTGTTCTTTTGTTTTTGTTGAAGGAAGGAAGCTCACAGCTACGTAGTCTGTTTTAATGATTATGAACGATTTTATTAGTGGCAACGAATATGTGAAGAGGTAATGTACTGTGACTGTAATAATGATAATTATACAGCGACTTTAATTCGTGTATTTTGTCTAGTTCACCAGAGTCCAGCACAGTTTGTTGACTTCTCCCTCACACATTAACTAAACCTGGTAATTAACTGCCAAGTTAAATTGTGTGTTTGAGCAGGAAAATGACCAAACTGCGCAGGACAACGCGGTTTGTGTCTAAGGCTTTTCTTATCCTCACCTGTTTTATATGCTCGTACTGCGCATTTTCACTATTATTGGTGTTTCTTCACATTGTTAACTTTTATGCGTCCGCGATTACACAGTGTTTTATTAGCACCACGTGGTCTACAAAACCTTGAGGACAAAATACGATGATAGATAGAAAATGGCATGTCAACTTTTACGTTCGGTTTCTTCACCAAAGCCTGCAAAACTGCGTAAGATACAGTTTGGCGAATAAAAGTATATTCTTGGGGTATAGTCCATCGGTTAGTGCACTAAGGGTTTTTATTTCAGGCGCATTTTTTGTGTCAACACGCTCCGATTGATGGTCTTGTACATAGTGAGTCTGACGGCTAAATGGTGATTTTTTTTTCTATTAATATTGACTTTCATTGTTAGTATTCTTTGCGCCCAAAAGGATTACATTTATTCCCAAAATAAATTCAGAGATGAATATTTTCTTTGCTGTAACAAAGTGATTTAATGGCTGTTCTGGGGAACCACCGCCCTGCACAGTTTCAGTTTTTCACTGCCTTAACACACCCAAACCAGCTCACATGACCTACTTGATTCCATTCAGCACGGTCTTTATAAGGAGCTGTCTCATGACTCAGGTGGTATGGCTCAAATTTTAATGGAGAGTGTGCGGCTGATGCTCAGTGGTGGCAGAACAAAGCTTTCTAAAACTTTTTAAACTGTTGCACTTTTACATGTTGACATTTGACCATTTTAAATCTGCTCTATCCTGAACTGTATTTGGAATAAATGGTCCAAAACTGTCCCTCATATAGCAATAGATGTAATAATTAAACATGTTTTTGGATGTGTTACATAATACAAAATTGCTTTACCACTGAGTCTACTTCAAGAACAGATAGCAGCTGGTCTTTATTGCAAAGCTCCTGACTAATCACATCCACAGTCTTGGGCCCAATCCCTTTTCTTATTTTTGCCCCTATCCCTTGTTTTCGAGTGTCACCTTGCCCCTTGGAACTGAGTTACAAGGGGTAGTGATGAAAATCTTCCCCTACGAAATGGGACAACCCTCAAATAAAGAAGAACATTACTACATTAACAGGTTACTAGTGGTGCTCTGTAGGCGGCCCTGCCAGTCTGCAGTGATAGCAGAGGAGGGTAAAGTTCAGCAACCTCAGCTAAATGTTTTTGGAGGGCAATGTATCCCTAACACTTCACCCTACCCCTCTGTCTCAACAAAAATTGGGACACCCTACCCCTTGATGTGAATGCACAAGACAATGGGGTAAGGGCTAAGTGGTAGGGGTGAGGAGGGAAATGGGATTGGGCCTTATTCACATTTAATCTAGCCCTAGTCTTTCAACCATTCTTTCATGTGCAGGGCGTGGGATTCATATATGAACTCTCAAATCAAGACATTGCTTGTGATTGGCTCAAAACCATGTAATCTGTAATTTGCTTCTTTAATCTGTTACTAAAGCAGTCAGTACGTAGTGTGCTGAAGGAAACTTTGAATATTGTTGATCGCATGTTTTTTCAGCAAATGAGCCAAGCATCAAAACAATGGCTGCGTCCAGAAACTATGAAAGTTATTGCTTTTTCCCCACCAATCCTCCTCCCCTCCTCCTGACATGGACACTAATTTGACACCATCTTACAGGCTGTCTCTGTGACGCCATGTAAACAACTGTCCAAATACCAGAGGAGACGAGAGAAGCTGCTCCAAACACTCACTGAAGCGGCTTCCAGCAGAGGATACATGAGTGTGTGCTACCCAACCATACTTTAAATTCTGTGTTTTTTGTTAATATATTCTGTGTTATGTATTTTGTACTTGATGTAAAAAAAAAGGACTAGAAAACCACACAAATGTGAATCATCTGGCTCTGTGCAGCAGCTCTGACTGGATACAGGAGTATTAGAAGTGTGCTTTCAAGCCAGTGTTGTCATAGGCACCAGTTCATCATAATTTATATAAAATTTAACAATGTTTAATGTAATCAACTGTCCCATTTTCCCAGTTTCTGTTCGTTCTGCTCCGTCCTAATCCTCTCTTCGATTCCTCTGGGGCAGTAGAGAAGCAGTTGGAGGGGAAGGGGAGGACAGGAGCAATAGCAAAAGTTTCCGGACGCAGACACTGATTCAAAGTGAAGTGTGTTGGTTTTCACTTCTCATTAGTGATTTTCCCTCCATCAGTTCTTTGCTGGTTGGAGTTGTACAAAATGAGAAAGACAAGTGTCAGTAACAATGGTATTTCTTGCTTAACATACAACCAAATCTTGTATGGCTGCAAGGAAAGATAACACCTCATAACTCTATCAATGGTGTCATACATCTTCTCTAGCTACTGGAGTGCACAGTGTTCAATCTTGGTGAAGTAGCATCCCAGTCAGAACTTATCAGTGGTAAACTAGTGCTGCTTGTAGGGAAGATGGTTCCATCGTTTTTAGTTTAAGGAAAATCCCCAGGTGACTCCTCACTAAATGAGCTGTACTGTACTACTATTTTTGGACCCATCATTTGACCTTTGCAACAAAGGATGGTGAGGCCCGCATCCTTCAGCTTCTGTGAACTTGATTTGACAGGCCCAAATTGTAATTACAGTAAGTTTCACCATTATGTCCTATGCTCTAATTACAATCTTTTCTTCATAGAACTCAGGTGGAGAAACCAGACCTACCTTTAACTAGCTGTGTGTCTATAAGGAGTGATAACTCAATGATCTAAACTCCTGTGAGAAAGAGAAGAGGTATGGATCAGGACTTAAATGTAAAAGCTTAGTAACATTACCTTTTCACATGAAACAAGGAACACTTTTTTCTTTTAAAGCCCCAAACAGTAAGCTTCGAAACTGTCATGATACTTTTTGGCACTCTAAGAAAAAGCAAATGCTTTAAAAAAAGGGTAATGGATAATGGAGGTATATGATAAATGATTGTTTAGGAATAAGGCCTTCTAAATCAGTTTCATGTTTATAATGCTGGTAATACCACTGTGGGAGCTGTTTAGAGATGATGCCTAAAGTCAAAAAAGAAGCTCTGTCTCTTAACTAACTGTAGAGCATCTATTCGCCTGCACTGCCTGTGAGCATCTTTCTGCTTCTTTTGTGAATGAAAGATGGTTAGCACTAACCTGCTGTTGTCTGAATGGTGTGTCTTTATTTCAGATGGAGAGACCAGACTCACCTTCACCCAGTCATTCGTCTATGAAGAGTGACAGCTCAATGATTCAGCCATTGCGTTTCAGTGACGAAGACAAGAGGTAGGGACTGGAGCTTTGCTTAATCGGGGGGATGTGGGGGGGTTGAAAAAGCATCTAGAGTGGTGAAAATGAGAGGTGAAAGAGAAAAAGAAAGTGCCCTATTGGCTGCCTTTCACATGGGGAAAAATGATTGAGTGCCCTCTAGGATGCCCCTTTAAGCAATAAATTATGATGATGTCCTTCTAGAGCAGGAAAATTAGATAACATGTCTTAATGAGTGCCCTTCTAGTGGAAAAAACATGATGCAGTGCTCTGTTAGGTGCCCTTACAATGGTCTAAACTGTAATCTCATCTGCACTGTCCCTGTTTTTTATTTTACAATGCACTCTTTAGTTAGATTAGATTATGTCAGATTAACTGTATTTCATAGTAAAAGACAAAGTAAATAGTTGCTCACAATGGCACAATAAAGTGTAAAATACTCTTTCGTAAGTATATTCTATCCATTTAAGTTTTAGTTTTAGCCACACCCCCTCTAGAATGTTCAGGTGTCAGAAGGGGCTCAAACCCTGACATCTACTACAGTGTGAGAGATAATACAGCAAGCTTTCTTTGAGGTTATAAAGATTGAGTCTTACCTATGATGCGTTACTGAATACTAATGTATGTACACTGTAAGTGCCTAGATTAATCGTTTCCTCTGTGTTTTACCTCAGAAGTGTTTGTTAAATAAATATTTTAAAGGTTTATAGTTCCCTGTGTATTGTGGATTGCCTACTAATATAATGTTAATCTTAATCAAGGATGAAGACTGTTTCATCATTAATGTTGCATCGTAGCTTTTTGTGCACAGATGGGGCCCCATGTTGTGCAGTAGGTGCCGTGTTTATTTTTTCCCTGCCCTTAAAACAGCCTGAGTCCACCAGTAATCCCAAATGATGCATAAAATTTACAAGCATATTATTAAATGACATTCTTTAATTCACAGGATACAGATGGAGAGACCAGACTCGCCTTTAGCCAGCCAAGCATCTATGAAGAGTGACAGCTCAATGATACAACCACTTCGTCTCAGTCAAACAGAAAAGAGGTATGAACTAGAACATTGCTACAGTCGCTACAAATGTAAGATTTCCACATGAAACACGACACAGTTTCTTACTTTTAAAGCCTCAAAAGGAAATCAGTGCTACTTTCTTTGACAGCCATGAACAAGAAGCTTTAAATCTCACAAGACAATCCTTAGCACTTCGTCAACAGATGCTTTAGAAGACAAATAATGCTACAATGCATACAGCTAGTCGGCTTTGTAGTGTTTTAACATCGGTGCTACTACTTTAAACAACGTACAAAATATTTTCGGCATGAACTTCACTGGTGAAGAGGGAAAAAATGTTGAAGTTGAAAAATGTGTTGCTGCTCAGTATATTGTAAAGGCTACATTTCCAGTTACTTTAAGCCTGAATAGGGTTATGATCAGTTTCTGTGTAGAAACAAGACCAGAGGAGGATGGGGAATGCCAATGAGTGTTCAATAAAAGGGGTTAAACTTGATAATTAAATGCTTTTCTAGTCATTTTCTAAAGTAGAACAATGTATAACATGAAATCTCTAAGACAACCTGGCAGTATCTTTCTGTTTTTCTACAGAAAAGTTTTGGCAGGGGAGCAGTAGAACGCTAGCATTACTACTACTGAGTGCTGATTGGTTGGCAAGCTGATCAGCTCAATAAAGTGCTGAATAAAGCATCATGAATGTACATAGAACACTGTTAGACAGTCCTAGAACTGGAGTTGAAAGGTTTAAAGTATGACAGGAGTGTTGAAACCTGTGACAGCATCCTTCCAATGGATTATTGTCACCCACTGGCTTGCTGTTGTCTTGAAGAGGGGTGGACCATATCAGATACAGGATACTGTTGAGCTTGAAAACCCAGCAGTATGACTCAAGTTAGTGTGAACTGGTAGATACTTTTATTGTCACACCTACATATTTTCGCTGTCCAGTGCTCCGAAATCACTTTGAATAAAATTACAAATTGGGTTAACTTACATTGAAAGTGAAAAGTTTTTGCCCTCTCTGGTAAAGTTACTTTATTGGATATACTTGTTTTTCTTTGTACACTGACAACATGTAAAGTTAAATCAAGGCGTCTTTATTGTCATTCCTCAATGTAACTTTCATACATTGGAACGAAATGTCATTCTTCAGACTGTGAAAAACAGTGAAAAGCAAGTGCAGAATATACAATAAATACATCAGACAATCAACATGCACAACATTAAATGCACACGAAATAAATACACAGAACAATAAATACACATAACTTGTCTGGACAACAAAATAACCTCCTCCTTGTATGTGGACTGTAGTATTTTCAGTATACCTGATGATTTTATTTGAGCCATGCCTTGCAGCATGAGTCAGCCATGTGAAACATGTATAACATGTATTCATCCTTTCTTAAACTTCCAGATGCAGTTTACATTTTCTGTAAGGCATTTTTAATTATTAATTCTAAATTTCACTACTAATGCAGCAGCCAGACCTATATTTTAATGTCTTTATTTCACAGAACTCAGGCGGAAGGACCAGACTCGCCTTCACTCAGCCATGCATCTATGAGGAGTGACAGCTCAATGATACAACCTCTTCGTTTCAGTCAGACAGACGAGAGGTATGGCCTAGAGCATTGCTTATGTTACAAATGTAAGATTTCCACATGAAACACAAGACATATTTCCTTTATTTTTTTAGTCCCAAATGGGACAAGATGGTTTAAAATTGCAAATAATGCCACAATACCAAGAAATATTTTTCTGTGTAGAAACAGGGCTGCCCAGTTCAATGCCATGCACATTGTAGGCAGCAATGCCACTATAGTAGCTGTTTTGACTTGAGAATGCAAAAAACATTGAAGGTTGAAGGTTTCCTTCACATCACATTGGACAAAAGCTGGACTTGCGCTACACGATTTTTAGCCCGTTTTAAAACATGATTTGCCCCTTCCAACAAATTTTTCCAATCTAAGGTGATTTTCCAGGTTACGAGCGATGAAGCGACTGCCTGCACGGATGGTCTGGTAGTGTGAGAGGAGTCTTTAGGAATCCTTAGCCCTCAGGATTGAGCTCTGAAGTGACGAGAGGTCTTTCTGATATTTTCAAATGTTTGATTTTTAGGACTCAAAACCTTACTAAGTTCTGTAACTTGACATGGTCAACAGTGTAATTGAATGAGTGATTCAATAGGAGAGCAAGGAGAGATAAAAAAGGTGAAGAGAGGTGTCTGTGCACTCTGAATATCGCAGTCTGTTTTGAGCCTTAAAATCCTTAAATCATTTATATATAAAACACATTTATTATTTTTATAAGGTGTTTATTAAATCTGGATCCTACTATTAAAGCAATAGTATGAGCCATGTTTTAATTACAGTCTTTATTTCACAGAACTCAGATACAGAGACCAGACTCGCCTTCACCCAGCCAAGTATCTATGAAGAGTGACAGCTCAATGATTCAACCACTTCGATTCAGTGCAACAGACACAAAGACACATGAGACAGAGGCTGCAGCAGTGGAAACCAGTGACATAAATAAGGAACGATGTCAGTACCATGGAAGAGTTCTAGATATGTTCTGCAGGACTGATCAGAATCCTATCTGCAAGAGCTGTGCTATACAGGAGCACAGAGACCATAAAAAGCATTACACAAAGGTGAGCACAGCCAAGGATGTTTGATTAAAGTTGTATGCACCACTTTAGACCATCTAATGTGAGAATTCCATGTTTATATTCCCAAAGGCTTCCAAACAAAACGCTTAATAGCAATATGGACAGACACTACTGTGCAAAAAAAATGGCAGACAAAGAGACTGAATGGGTAAACCTTTGGCAATTGTTTGCTGCATAACCAGAGACACATTTGACTTCCAGTTGTAAATGCATGTGGCTAAAATCTTATCAGGATACAATGCAGATTCAAGTCACATGAAGTGACGAGGTGTAAACACTGTCAATAGGTCCACAAAGGCATCACTGATTCTGCAAAGAATATAAAAAGCAGTAGGACAGCAGCTTCCAAATCTTTCCTATCTCATTTAATATTGCTATATGGCTATAAAGATGTAGTTGAAAAAAGTCGTACACCAACTTCTACAAGGTGTTGAGAAAATGAAATGCATAACACGGCGGAGAAAGATCTTTTTAACTAACATTTCTGAGCCTCACATTTTTGTCTAAAACTTCCTTTGTTTCAACAGGTTACACCAAACACTTTGTCTGCTCTGCAAAATATGTTGAGTAGCATGACGGCAGATACATTCAGAGCTTTGAAAAACCACCTCTGCCGAGAATACCCAGAGTGCTTTGAGAGTCTGGAAGATGATTTGGACCCTAAGGGTGTTGCTGAAAGAATGATGGAAAGCTTCTCTGGAGAAGACACTTTGAAAGTCACTGTTCATTTCCTGACTCGAAGTAAGTCTATTGGAAAATACGATTTTATATACAAGACTATAAACACATGCTTTGGTAAGGTTATTAAACTAGATACAAATGCACTTTAAAAAAAAAAGCAATGTGATGAATCAAGATTTTTGAGTTTTCTCAACATTTCTCAAGCTGTTTTTGTGGTTTTTCTTACTAAGAATAATCTGTTTAACCGACTACAATTTAGATAAATGCAATAAAATTGAAATGTCTTTAAAAAATTTACCTACAATGCTACATTACAGCATTTGCTGCCACTTTTATCTTGAACGGCTTTCAATCTAATCGTGTTACAGAGGTAAGCTGATGTAGCACTTGGAGTCTTGCTCAGGGCTGCTTGTTGGTACAGCATGATGTGTTTGCCTGAGCAGAGAATCAATCCCCAGCCTGCGGGTTGGTGGGCAGAGACCAAAATACTAAAGACCAGAATGGTGATGTTTTATTGCCATTTCTATTGGCCACACACCACAAAGAAAGTGTTTAATAAATAAATTCTTGTCTTTAGCTTACAGTTGGTATAGGGTGGGTAGCACAGCTGTCCTCCACTCAGCACACTAAGATTTGATTCCCTTCTTGGGACAGAACCTAATGCTATGTTAGTTACATCAGTAACATGATTAGACTGCAAGTCATGCTGGATTATTAGTAGACGAAAATGTGATATAGGCTGTGTCCCCTTGTTATGTTTTATTGGCAGCAAACTGTTGGATGAACAAAGAAATCTTAGTTAAACAAATTAGAAATTTAGTTAAACAAATGAATCTGCTGTTGAGAAGAGTGAAAAAAGCTCCACGATGAGTTCTCTTTCTTTTTAACACTGTAGTGACCTTTCACACATAACAGTGCTTAACAGTTCAACAATTTATTTTTCAGATACACCACTTGTAATTTGCATGGAAACAGTGAAGACAAAACTCAGAATCAAATTTAAACATTTACATGAAGGTAATGAACAGCTGGGACAGCAGTCCATATTAGAGGACATTTACACACAGCTCTATATCACTGAGGGTGGAACCGGAGAGGTAAATAATGAGCATGAAGTAAGGCAGATTGAGGCTGCAGCCAAGAATCTCTACGCACAAGAAACTCCACTTGATTTGAGCAACATCTTCAAGGCACAAAAGCATATTAAAACAGTTCTGACCAAAGGGATAGCTGGAGTTGGTAAAACTGTCTCTGTGCAGAAGTTTGTTCTTGATTGGGCAGAAGGTCAGTCCAATCAAGACTTCCACCTCATTCTTCCACTTTCTTTTCGCGATCTAAACCTTGAGAGGGGACGAGTCTGCAGCCTGATGGGCCTTCTCCAGCACTATTTTCCAGAAATTAAAGAGATTGAAAAACTTGAGAGTGAGAACATTAAATTCTTGTTAATTCTGGATGGCCTGGATGAGTGCAGACTGTCTTTGGATTTCCAGAACAGCCAAAAATGGTCTGACATAGCAAAGCCAACTACACTAAATGTGCTTCTTGTAAATCTAATTCAGGGCAACCTACTCCCCTCTGCTCATCTCTGGATCACTTCCCGTCCAGCAGCAGCTAACCAGATTCCCAAAGGTTGTGCTCAACGAGTTACTGAAGTTAGAGGGTTTCAGGAGAAACAGAAAGAGGAGTATTTCAGGAAGAAATTCAAAGAAAAGCATGTTGCAGACAAAATCATTGAACACATCTGGTCTTCACGGAGTCTTCACATTATGTGTCACATTCCAGTCTTCTGTTGGATTTCGGCAACTGTTCTTGAAACCTTTCTGAAGTCACCAGGTAGTAGTGAAATTCCTAAAGACCAAACACAGCTGTACACACACTTCCTCCTGATTCAGACAAGCATGAAGAACATGAAATACCAAGGAATGAAAAAAGAAGATCCACGCAAATTGTCAGAAACAGACAAAGAGATGATCTTGAAGCTGGGACGTCTGGCTTTTGAAGAGTTACAAAAGGGAAATCTGATATTCTATGAAGAGGAATTGAAAAAATACGGTATTGATATCAGTGAGGGTTCACAGTTCTCCACTTTGTGCACCGAGATCTTCAAAGAAGAGGCCGGCTTCTATAGTAAAACGATCTTCTGCTTTGTGCATCTGAGTGTTCAGGAGTTTCTTGCTGCCCTTTATGTGTTGTGTTCAAACATAAATGAGGGTACAAATGTTCTTAGTCCAGAACCCAGACAAAAAGAAAAAGTGAAATTGTCAGATGTTCTGAAGAGTGCAGTGACCAAAGCCATGCAATGTAAGAACGGAGAACTTGACCTGTTCCTCCGCTTTCTCTTGGGGCTTTCCATTGACTCCAATCAGAGGCTCCTGAAAGGTCTTCTGATTCAAAAAGCAAGTAGCCCTCAAAGTATTAAGGAGACTGTCAAATTCATTGAAGAAAAAATCAAGACACAAAACACAACAGAGAGGACCATCAATCTGTTCCATTGCTTGAATGAGCTAAATGACAACTCTCTGGTGAAGGAAATGGAGACAATTTTGCACACAGAAAAACTCTCAGACAAAGTTCTGAAGCCAGACCAATGTTCAGCTCTGGCATTTGTGCTACTGCTTTCAGATGACATCATTAAAGAATTTGATCTCAGGGCATTTAACACACAACAAGTAGGCCGCCAAAGACTTTTACCTGTTGTGAAGACAGCAAAGAAAGCCATGTGAGTATTGCAGTTGAATATGCAAAAATCATGCATTGTTACAAATTATAAATATTGATATAATAAAGAGACAATGTTCAGTGTTCTTTTTTGGTTTACTTTAATAGCCTTTCAGGGTGTAACATTACACCTGACTCTTGTGAAACTGTGGCTTCTGCACTGAAGATAGCAAACTCACCAGTTAGGGAGCTGGAACTGAGCTACAATGGCTTTGGAGATAAAGGAGTTGAACAGCTCCTTGCTGGACTAACAAGTCCACATTGTTGGTTAGAGAAACTGAAGTAAGTGAACCTGGTGTTTCTGTTCATAAGCAATATATGAATGAAGTTTGAAGTGTGCTCAATCTTGTCCCTCCTGTTTCTTCAACAGTCTTGCTGGTTGCGGAATCACAGACACAAGCTGCAAGGTACTTGCATCTGTATTAGAAACAGAAGGTTCCCACCTTACATGTTTGGACTTATCTTTCAACAATCTAAAAGATTCAGGAGTGAAGTTACTTCAGTCTGGCCTACAAAGTCTACACTGCAACCTACAAAAATTGAGGTATTTTTAATGCAAAAACATAAATAACACTTAACTTTACTTGTGCATATTTGTTTGTATTTTTTATTTATAAAAGCTATAGCTATTGAGTAAACAGTTTTTTAAAAATGCTTCTTCCTTCTCATGTGATATGTGCAACCAGACACTTATTTCCACAGTGAAAAGGGTTCATTTTACTCACAATCTCAGCATAATCATAAATTGAACAATTCGAGCTAATTAGCAATTCTGTTTAGCATGTTATCCACTGAGTCAGTGATCATTGTCCATAAAATTCCAGGTTTTTGTTTAACCACACTAACAACATTGCTTTCTAACACGAGAATTAAGGCAGAAATGCTAAGCTTGTTGTGCTGTTGTGTTGTGTTGAGTTATTCCATGTCAACTCACCTGAGCCCTGTCTGGTCACATAATAGATTTCCATGAAAAAATTTCATTTAAACAGCCACAAAAAAAAAAAAAAATTCAAAACTACGCTCCAAGTAGTTTTTTAATGATATATATGTTTTTAAAAATTTCATTATTAGTTTGTATTAGTTTAAATATTGAGTTTAATTAATGACTGAACTGAGCTGAAATATTAACTAGATATAAATACAAAATAAGAATGATATTTTACTTTAAAGTGTGCTAATAACCCTCAACAGGTCTGTTTTTTTAAAGAATGTAGAATTTAGATCAGAATGAATTTGGAAGTTTTCATTAAAGAATGCTTTACACTGGGATTATTAGTCAAATACCTTATTTTCAAGAAACTACTAGAGCATGAAAAAGTTAGTTGTCTTTATTGAGGAAAAAAATGAACAAAATATGATCAGTCCCTTTTTAGAAACTACAGGATCAAAAAGGCCTACACCATGTAAGATTTGGGGATTTAGAGACCTCTCTGGTGGAAAACTGTAATTGCACACAACAAGTGGAAGAACATTTTGTAATGTTGGTTGTGCTTTGGACCCCTTCCCCAAGTGGATGAATCTGATGATTGTGAGCGCGTTGAAAGAGCATTCAAAGAGAAATCAGCCAAAACTTGGTGAAGGACATGTTATCCAAGGATGTAAGTGAATGTTCTACATGATTATCTATAGTGTGAATTACCTACAGCAGAGGTGCTTAGTCATTGCTCATGTGTCTCTAATATTCAGTTGCTCCTGAAGGCCTTCATTACCTAGATCAGGTGTGTTAGATCGAAAAAACAATAACGATAAGTATCGCGATATAACTTTTCCTCGATAGAGCGATAAGACAGGTTCGATAAATGTTCGATATAATACACCATTCTCACACTTCCACATTTTAGCGAAAGCCCTGGTGGCGCTTTCTACTGCAAGGAAAGCGACACTACACTGCTGTCACCAGGAGAGAGCGCACTTCCGGCGCCAAACCGTCATATTTTAGTATTAGTGCATTCTCGAGCAACGAAAGTGAAAGAAAGAAGTGGGTTCATGTTCGAAAGTAAACTGAGGAAGCTGTGAGGCATTGGAGAGCGGGAGAGCGCTATCTTTCCAGGCTAGCTGTTTTTAGCTGCTGGCTGACTTGGCTCTGGCAAAACACGGTGAATTGATGATACGGTAGATCAAACAAGACACAAAATCACTGCTTTCAGTTTAAACATGCCTAAAAGGAGGACTCTGTGACTGATGTGAGAGATTCACACTGCAGATAATGCTTTTACACAGAGAACGTCAGATATACTGCAGTTCACCCCTTAAACTACTACTATAGCATAGAGAAACCCAGTCATCGCTAGCTGGTGTCTGAATACTGTGATAAGCTCTGACATGGATGTGGTAGGAGTGACAGCAGTGACCTACCGAACCGAGTTGACGTTGTTGAGAAACTAAAGAGTTTAGCACTGTTGTTGGCCACTTGTTTAGTATTTGTAACGGGGTAGCCGAGCGCTCGTCACCATACAGCTAAAAATAATCTGTTTTCTTTCTTAAATCATGACTATTACAAAAATTGCAGCTGTGCTTTTCAAGCTGATAAAAACAGCTCAGAAACTTTCTCCCACTCTCCCATGACAGATTTGTGAAATGTTCCACTGTTTGCCAAGTATTTGTCATGATTCGACCATAAGTGATAGCTTAAAACCACAGTTAACCACCCAGGAGCAAAATCAGCCTTCAAACGTGAAAGAAATCATGATTTGACATTTATCGCAATATGTATCGATATCGAACGATATGAATTTTGTTTATCATGATAACGTTTTTGGCCATATCGCCCAGCTCTATGTGAGGGTGAGGTTTGCATGGCGTAGTACAGCATGGAGCTTGATGGTGGTCAAGCCGGTCCAGAGTGGCACCCGATCAAGGCAGAAGAGGCAGCAGCATCAGACGCACAGGATGGGCAGCTGTTCAACTCGGCAAAGGAAACGAAAGAAAGGAAAAACACACAGTCAGTTCTGTAATGGGTGATTGATTAATTTGATTAGTTTAAATGATTGATTAGTTCAAATGATTAATTTGATAAGTTTAGTTTATGCAACAGCAGCATCAGTGGGGTCAGGTTGTGAGGGTGAGGTTTGCACGGCGTTGTGCAGCAAGAAGCTCAATGGTGGTCAAGCCGGTCCAGAGGGCTGGCGAGCAGTGGCACCCGATCAAGGCAGAGAGGCAGCAGCATCAGACGCACAGGGTGGGCAGCTGTTCAACTCGGCAAAGGAAAGAAAGAAAGGAAAAACACACAGAGAGTCAGTTCTGTAATGAGTGACTGACAGAACTGAGAGTCAGTTCTGTAATGGGTGTCAGTTCTGTAATGGGCAACTGATTACAGATTAAAGTGTTAGCAGAGCAGCAGAGATTCTGGCAGGTATAGAACTGACAGGGAAAACTAATTACCAAAGGCTTGACTATACAAGTAAGTTTTTAGCCTAGACTTAAAGACTGAGGCTGTGTCTGAGTCCTGAACCTGAGCCAGCACCTTGTGATCTAAGTAGGCGTGATGGTTCATAGTGAGAGAGAAGTTCACTCAGGTACAGAGGGGCGAGTCCATTTAGAGCTTTATAAGTCAGTAAGAGAATTTTATAATCAATGCGAAATTTAACTGGTAACCAGTGTAAGGTTGATAAAACTGGGCTGATATGGTCAAACTCTGGTTCTAGTAAGAACTCTGGCTGCAGCGTTCTGGACTAGCTGAAGCTTGTTGAGGCTTTTGCTGGGACATCCAGACAGCAGGGCATTACAGTAATCTAGCCTTGAAGTAATAAATGCATGAACTAACTTTTCTGCATCCTGTAGAGATAATGCATTTCTCAATTTAGCAATATTGCAGAGATGCAGGAAGGCTGTTTTAGTAATATTAGTTATGTGTGCGTCGAAGGACAGATCAGGGTCTATAATGACACCAAGGCTTTTTACAGATGAGCTTGATGCAACTGAGAAATTGTTTAGTTTAAGTGTTAAATTAGACAGTTTGTTTCTAGCCGCTTTTGGACCAAGAAGTAGAACCACTGTTTTATCGGAGTTAAGAAGGAGAAAGTTACTCAACATCCAGTCTTTTACGTCTTTTATACAGTCTTCAATCTTGCTAAGTTTAATTTTATCATCCGGTTTGCTTGCTAAGTATAACTGAGTGTCATCGGCATAGCAGTGGATAATAAAAATATATCATACAGAACAACTTCAACTAAATTAAAGTTTTTGGAAATCCTTAACCAGATATGCCAGGTGAATTGACGTGGAATGACCCATGTTGTTTTCCTGTTTAGCTATGTGCACAAATGAATGAAGTGTTAATATTTCATATTGTTTAGACAGATTTAGTTGAAAAGATGCACAAGAAATGTTAATGGCTTATAACAATAGAATGTTGTGAGTGCCTTAAAGCTGGGGCAACACAAGTCTCCCTTGTGGCCAAAAAGATCTTCTTCATCCACTTAAAATAATCTTAAAAAAGGGTTTTGCATGTGTTCCATCACTGTTTGTACACGTTGTTGTAGACACAGATGAATTAGGGTGCGGAAACAAAAAGATAATATACGTATTAGTGATGATTCCGAACGTAATAATTTATGACTTACTTCCTGTCATGTGCTCTTAGACTCAGAGAGTGCATGCTTACAAAGACGTCCTGCAAGAGCCTTGCACAAGTGTTGGTTTCGACCACCACAAAGCTAACAGATTTGGATCTGAGGGATAATAACTTGAAGGATTCTGGTGTAAAGTTCCTGTCACGTGGGCTAAAAAATCAGAGCTGTAAACTCCAGGCACTCAGGTTTGTAATGTATTATGGTGATCTTTTGATTCTATAGACGGAATATAACTGTTACCAGCTTGCTGATTGTTTAAGTACTTAGGTACTCTAATGCAGTCAGGTGCAAAAGGAATTCACTTATTTGTTGAGTTAAGGATGTGCAATGAAACATCTACATCTGAGAGGTTAAATACTGTGTATCCCTGATCATTTCAGTCTGTCAGGTTGTCAGATCACAAAGGAAGGTTTTAAATCACTTGCTGATGCTTTGGGTTCAAACCCATCTCATATTCGAAATCTTGACTTGAGCTACAACTATCCTGGAGACTCGGATATGAAGCTTATCCCAGGAATAGCCGAGTCGTCATTAGAAGTGAAGTAAGTACACTATACATCCTTAAATAGCATAATACACAGTTTAGAATGCCATTCACTACAGTGTTTCTGTTTCCTCATAGACTGGACCATGGAGGGGAATCACGGATCAAGTCAGGGCTGAGAAAATGTAAGTCTGTATGTAGCTACAGATCTCTTCTATTAATGAGTAAACAAAACATTTAAGTGTAAGACACCAAAGTAATAATTTATCAACAAAACAGCATTCTCATGACTTTTCTAAAGTCAACTTTGCTTCCTGATCCAGTTTATTGTGTTATATAGGATTTCCCTTTTTAACATATATCTATTCACTGTTAGAACAAAACCTCCAAAATCTCCAAAATGGTAACTTGACAGGAGAAGGAAAAAATGTTCTTAACTTTTAATGGAAGTTAATAGAGAAATCATTTATTCTAATTATTTTTCTTATTTTTCTGGTCCATTCGCCAAAGGCAGCTGTCCATTTTAAACTACATCAAATAATGTAAAACGAAAATAATGGATATACAACATTTTGTCCTGAGAGTGATGATATACTGTATATCATCATATAAAATCATCTTTAAAATAATTTACTATTTACTATAATTTATCTCTGTGGCTGATAAACCTGATTCCATAATGCTAGCCTGCTTGGTTCCACCTTTTGACATCCATGTTTAGATCCAACTTGTGAAAAAGTGTCAGGATGTTTCACGCCGTTAGATCTAATTCACTGCATTAATACAAATATTGTTAACAAATTTTCCTTTTTGCAGATGCTTGTCAACTTACTCTTGACTCAAACACAGCAAATGGACATCTGTGGCTCTCGGAGGACAAAAGACAAGTGTCTTGGGTTGAAGAGAAGAAGGAATATCCTGAGCATCCTGGACGATTTAATCATGTTTCTCAAATTCTGTGCAAAGAAGGCCTTTCTGAGGAACGCTTTTACTGGGAGGTTAGTTGGACTGGCAATGGGACCTACATTGGTGTGACATACAAAGCAGAAACTCTTGATCAAGGATGGAACACCGTGTTCGGACTGAATGATAAATCGTGGGGGCTCGAGTGCGCAGACAATGAGTATAACATCTGTCACAATAAAAGCAAAACTTCCATACCATCCCCCTCGCAGTCACACACGGTGGGAGTTTATCTTGACTGGAAGGGTGGAACTCTGTCTTTCTACAATGTGACATCTGGCAACCTCACTCTACTGCATACAACACATCAGACATTCACTGAGCCACTTTATCCAGGGTTTGGGTTTAAGTCCCAGCGCTCTACAGTGTCTTTGTGTAAAATGGACAAGAAATAAACTGGTAGGTGCAGATGGGTCTCAATGTGGGAATATGTATCAGAAAAGCAGCCAGACATCTTCTGTGATGAGGAGCGGAGAGAACTAGTTTTAGTAGTTTTGCAGGACTGCATTTTTAACAGTGTGTTGAAGATAGCATTTAGTAAGGTTTCTAAACTATTTTTGGATATTTGTTGTAAATATTTAAAAGGACATTTTATTGTGTGTTAAGTCATCATTTTTATCTTGTATGCATATTTTAAAGGTAAAATATTGGTATTTTAGTATATTTTATTTTTTCATTTTAGACCAAAGTAAAATTAAAATCCAATGAGTTGTTCTACACATCAAGTTAACAGGCTTAGCATTAATACACTTTTGTATATGTTGTATATGTACATGTATTATATATTTATTTATTTTTGATCATGTTGTTTGTGACAAAAAATCTGATAAAAACTGTTGTTTATCACTCATGAGTATACCCACTACTGTTGTGATTGCTAAGTTTGATCATACATAATAAGAGTTTATCAATGCTCCTGACACTGATTTATGAACTACTCTTTTGTGGAAACACATATTAGAATTGAGCTCTTGAGTTCTCTCAAAGTAGAATTCCACCGTTTTCCAGGCTTAATTCAGTCATTGAGATGTAAACAGAGTAATTTAAAGTGGTTTGGTGTGACATGGTGTACTGTAGTGAAACTGACTCAGCTATTTTTTTAACAATAAAGGTGATACCAGGTGGTGTGATGAAGCAGGCATAGGCACGTTGGAAGGATCCATTTGCAGGTTTAATACAAAGTCCAATGATCTGAAAAACAGAATCCAAGAACAGGCAGAGGTCAGATACCAGATAATCCAAAACATTACAATCAACACGGTCCAAAGACAAAAGTCCAGGCAAACAAGCAAAAGGTCAAAAAGCCAGCATAAACGTTCAAGACACCGAATAGAAGGCTCAGAATTGCTAGGTTAAAATAACTGGCAATGCTTCACGAAGGAGAGAGGTTTAGAGAGGGGTAGTTGTAGGAGAGGAGAAACAGGTGTGACAAAGGAGTGACAGCCTCAGAATTCGGGGGATGATGACCTCTGGTGTCCAAAGTTGGTAGTGCTACTGACAGGTGGTGGGATTACTAAAACACAAATATAGCCATTTTATTTATTATCGAAAACCACCAGTGAACCTTCTGGGTTTTATATGTTAATGATAAATCTGAAAAAAGGATTACTACAACACAAATGTAGCTATTTTATTTATTATCGAAAACCACCAGTGAACCTTCTGGGTTTTATATGTTAATGGTGAATCTGAAAAAAAAAGACTTTTGTAGTCTACTATTTTGTCTTACAATGACCTGCATGTACCTCACCACCATGAATGGCTTTTTAAAAATGCTATTGTAAAAGTGTCTCAGGGATCAAGCAGTGTGTTTGTAACCGTGTAAGGTAGCATTTAGAGGCATTTAACACTTCAAACATCTAGTTCCCATCACCCTCGCTGTGAACTTGGTAAGTACAACAATTCTAAAAAAAGTTGGGACGCTGTGTAAAATAAATGTAAATAAATGTAAATAGAAACAGAATGCAATGATTTGCAGATCTCATAGACCCATATTTTATTCACAATAGAACACAGAGCACATATCTGATGTTGAAAGTGAGACATTTTACCATTTCATGAAAAACATTAACTCATTTAGAACTTGAACATGGCAGCAACGCATCTTAAAAAAGTTGGGACAGGGCCATATCTACCATTGTGTACCATCCCCTCTTCTGTAAACAACAGTCAGGAAGTTAAGAGAACAATTGCTGGAGTTGGGGAATGTTGTCCCATTCTTGTCTGATGTAGGATTCTAGCTGCTCAACATTCCGGGGTCTTCTTTGCCGGATTTTTCATTTCGTGACGCGCCAAAGGTTTTTTGTCGGTGAAAGGTCTGGACTGCAGGCCAATTCAGTACCTGGACTCTTCTTCTGGGAAGCCATGCTGTTGTGATGGATGCAGTGTGTGGTTTAGCATTGTCTTGATGAAATATGCAAGGCCTTCCCTGAAAGAGATGCTGTCTGGATAGCAGCATATGTTGCCAAAGTCTGTGTATTTCGTTCAGCATTAATGTTGCCTTCACAGATGTGCAAGAAACCCTTACCATGTGCACTAATGCACCCCTATACCATCATGGGTGCTGGCTTTTGAACTGTGTGCTAATAACAAGCTGAGGGGCCTTTAGCCCAGAGGACACAGTGTCCATGATTTCCAAAAAGAATTTCAAATTTTGATTCGTCAGAACACAGGACACTTTTCCACTTTACCTCAGTCCATTTTAAATGAGCTTTGGCCCAGAGAAGACAGGGGCATTTCTGGATCGTGTTGACATATAGCGTCTTCTTTGCATGATACAGCTTTAACTTGCATTTGTGGATTGTACAGCAAACTGTTTTCACAGACAATGATTTCTGGACGTGTTCCTGAGCCCATGCAGTGATTTCCACCACAGAATCATGTCTGTTTTTAGTGCAGTGCTGCCTGAGGGCCCAAAGATCATAGCCAGCCAATATTAGTTTTAGGCTATGTCCCTTGCATACAGAGATTTCTCCAGATTCTCTGAATCTTTTAATATTATGTGACGTAGATGATGAAAAGCAAAAGTTCTTTTCTATTTTACATTGAGAAACATTATTCTTGAATTCTTGCACTATTTTATCGTGCAGTCTTTCACAAAGTGGTGAATCCCTCCCCATCTTTACTTCTGAAAGTCTCAGCCTCTCTGGGATGCTCTTTTTATACCCAATTATGTTACTGACCTGTTGCCAATTAACCACCATGTGTGTTTTTTAGCATTACACAACTTTTCCAGCTATTTGTTGCCCCTGTCCCAACTTTTGTGAGATGCGTTGCTGCCATCAAGTTCTAAATGAGTTAATGTTTTTCATGAAATGGGAAAATGTCTCACTTTCAACATCTGATATGTGTTCTATGTTCTATTGTGAATAAAATATGGCTCTATGAGATTTGCAAATCATTGCATTCTGTTTTTATTTACATTTACATTTTACACAGCGTCACAACTTTTTTAGAATTGGGGTTGTATATCTCGAATGGCGCATTTCACATCAAACCACTCTGAATGACTTGCTGAATGTTTACATAATAAAGATGTAGTTAGGCAGATTCTTTTTAAAAATCGATGTGTTTGAGGAAACCCATGTATGTTTGTTGCTTAAGAACCTCATAAACCTTGTTAATACCAGATAACAGAAACACCTAAAAGGTACACAGCATTATGTTTGGAGAAAACAAAACACTGCTCCAACCGTGAATCATGGTGGAGGGCTGCTTTGCGGTTTCAGGACCAGCAGGACCACTTACATACAATCAAAGAATTCCAAGCTGTATCAGGAAATTCTGTGTCAGGATTTCTGTCCGTGGCACCTCAAAGGATGTTGGGTCAGGCAACATTATCCAGAACACAGTAATAAATCATCAGAGTGGCTTAAGCCAAAGAATTTACTTATGTTAAAAGAGCCAGAGTCCTGACCTCAAATGCAGTGTCTGAAACAAACTGCTCAAAATGTATGAACAGTTTAGGTAAAGCAGAATAAATTTACAATTTTTCCATCAATGTCTTTGACAGAGTAAACCACTTGTTTAGGAAATATGTCACTGCAAAATGTATGTGATTGTTAAATATGTCTGTATTAATTCTGATTTAAGATACATAAATCCAGTGAGTTTACACACTTTTGTACAACTGTATGTCTTTTATAAACGAAATTGCAGAGTGTTTGTATGTTTATGTGCTTAAGAGCAAGGTACAAAATACAGGGGGTCCTAGGGGGGTCTGGGACCCCCTAATTGACCTTGGGCGCCCTGAATGTCTCAAAATCAAAATTCTGCAGGGTCCCTGAACATAAACTTATGTATGGCACTGTGGCAAACTGACTCACCCAGTTGGTCCTTCGTAGCCTAGCAACTGTATGGCCAGAATACCGCTAAAAAAATTACAATATGGCACAGCATATTAGTAAATCTGAAAACCTTTGTAATTTTCCAAGAGACTGGTGGAAATCGTTACTCATTTCTCAAACCAGAGACAAAATAGGAGACGTGTAAGATCTCAGTTAATCTGTCAAAGATCACTTTACCAAACTAGAAAAGAGCATTTTCCACAAGAGGAATTGTTCAATCAAACATTTTGTTGTTATTGAAGCTAGCATTAGCTCTGGCAAGTGAGTTAGCAGCCAGTCAATGCAGGAGTATAGCCAGCTAACATGGGACCCCTGAATACCAAGGGGTATTTCACGCACTGCATAAGAGCACTGTATATCAGCATATAATCTGAACTGAGTATAATTTCACAAGGAGTAACTAGACAGAACATAACATTAACATGAGAATACACTTCAGTTACAATTAGATCTTACAAATTACAGAAGAAATTTCTCAGGAGAAATAAAGGATATCTCAATACTGTATTAATGAAGAATCATAGATTTCTGTATTCTTTCTCCTAAATTCCCCTTGGGGAAAAAGAGGATATTAGCATAAGCACTTCATTGTAAGAAGTTCTGGAGAGAAATGAGGAAAGTGCACTCCTTCCACACTGACATAGCTGAAAATTTTCAGATGGTGTAGAAGAGACCTATAAAGAAAATTATGAGATCCTACAATTTTCTTACGTATAGCCTATTAAAAACCTAAGACTTAAGTGACTTCAGATGCAAAGAACCTTTTAATCATGCAAAGGGTTCTTTGAGTATTCATGGTTCTATAATATAGACCCATTTTCTTCACTTAAAAACCATTGAAGAACCACCTTTTTTAAGAGATTATGTCTGAAACCGAAACTGAAAGCAAGTCTCCTGAGAAGAATGAAAACTGTACTTAATGCAGAGTGGACACCTTAAACACTGAAAAGATCATATTTAGTTGTTGAGGCTTCTGTATAATTTTCTATTAAATATGATTTCTACTTTTTTATTTTTACTGATGCTGAAAAATGAAGAATTTTTACCCAAATTCAATGAATGAAAGGGTGGCCTCTGACTTTTGCACAGTACTGTTGATAAAATACTAGCTTATTTGTTTATAGTTTCACTGTGGGAAAAAAATGCTGTTTTATCTTATCCTGTGACTGGACAGTAGTAACCACCATTAGCAGTAACCACAGTAACCAGTATTAATTATTAAACTTTTTTTGGTGGTTTATTTAAAAACTGGCAATGAAAGAAATTCTGTCAACACTGTCAGCAACATAACTGGCAGATAACTCATCATTCTTTCGATCAGGGGTAAATGTTTAGGCTCTCATGCTTTGTGGAGTTGATGCATGGGCCTGCGCCATCACCTTGGCTTTCAAAGACAAACACAATGCTCTCTACATATGCATGAGGGTTTTGGAAAGGGCCTGATTCTCTCTAATGTCATCTTACTATACCTTTCCATGCCTCTATATCATTGGTATGTAACCTTGATGCTTACTGAGGGAAACAGTTTGGGGCAGCTGAGAGTAACACTCTGTGTGAACTCCTGCTTTGTGATGGGAGAAAGAAGAAAATGGTGACCTGTTGGTGATCTTTGTGCTAAGACGTCTTTAATAAACTTGGTTTAATAAACAGATTCTTTTAAAAAGCTGTTCTGTGAGCGTGTCACCATTCATGCTCTCCATTGTCACATATAAGCTCAAGACCCTCACAGTTCCTGTCTAACAGAAAGTCTCTGAAGCAAAGAGATGGAAGGGCTCAGCTTGGCACCCTGCTTCCGTCTCTTCTTCCTTTAACCTCCATCTTGACCTTGTGGTCTCTCTGTGGTAAATCCTCTGACATTCTTCTGCTTCCACTTGCCGGCTTGCTTCATATGTGGGCTGCATTCTTGGCCTGAGGTTAAATAGTCAGTAATTCTCTTGAATCTCTAGAGTAAGGTCAGCATGATGGGTTATTATACTCTTAAGCAATGTGATCGATTGTTTATAGGTTTTCAGAGACATTGTCACAAAGACATCTATCTCTAGGCCTCAGCTTCAATGTGCAGGACAATGGCTGCAAAACTAACTGACATTATGAGGATTCAAGATGGAAGCCATGTTCCTCTTGCATTTTGGATTTCATGGTTTCCCTGCATCTTTCAATTTTTAAGTAAAAGGTTTGTGCTTACATCCACCTTTTCTTACATTTAAAATGCTACATTGTAAAGTAACGTACAGACTCAGATTTCCTTACAAAGGCGGCAAAAGAACCAGGGGTTGTGTAAATATAACCATTTCATTTACTATCCAAAATGACCTGTGAACATGTTTACACACGATCACGCGCGTGCACAAGATATTTAAGCAGCCCAGAGAGTCGAGTGCAGATAAAGTGATATTAGCTACCGCTTAAAAATATAAATAAAAAAAATTAAAACATTCACAGATATGTAGTTTGTTTTAGGCAACCAAATAATACTTAATACAAATAAAACTTATACTTTAACTTTATAGTACAAACCACTATAAAGTATTATAGATTAAAAAAAAAAACCGTCCATACACTGTGTGTCCTACTATTCTCTACTGTCTCTGGTACGCTATCCTGAAAAAGTTTTTAGACACTACTTTGCCTTATAACACCCTACATTATCTCTCCACCGTTAATTGATTTTTAAAACGTTTGCAGCCCAAATGTTGATCACAAAACTATCATAAAACAATGTATTTGGGCTTCAAGTAGCGTTCATTTAATGTAATAACTTTGTGGCTTTGTTAGAGGCATTAAACTCTTCAGACGTCTGGTTCTTATCACCACCTCTGTGAACAATTCTGTCTCCAAGTTTCTCTAGAAAGAAGCATTTCACACCAAACTTGAAACCCTGAATGACTTTGTTTACATCTTAACAATAAACGTATTAAAAAATATAAATAAATAAGTTCCCCTTTAAATATGTGCTACACCTCCCTGTTGATCTATCAAGGCTGTTCATGTTCAATACATTAGCCTACATGCTAACGACACAGGCTACATGTACATCTCTGTACCCTGTGCTCGGCTGGCTGCCACAGTCCGAGTGAACTTAAAACTACACGCTGTTACTGATTTTAAGTTCGTTTTAACTCCTCTGTATTCGCTTTTCTTAACCGTCTGCGTGCAAAAGCCACTCTCTGAATCAGCGAAGGCGATTTCCACTATTTTCATCAAAAGTCATACGCCACGTAGCCGATATAGTTAAGCAGGTTCTATATTTTTGTGGCAGTGGTGTCAAACGGTGTTTAAATCATTTTACAGGGTTTATTATGAGCCAACCCTTCGATTAAACTCACACCCTACAATAGGATCCTCAACGCACTGCTGTAAGTCAAGCAGTCATGTCCGTGTCATGTGGTTTGACTGAAAACCCGGATTGGATCATTCTGGTCACCTGAGGAAAGAACTAGCTCATCATTATTTGTAATCCCCTCAGCTATGTGTAGGTGCGCTCTGAAATCCTGTATTACTTCTGTTCTCCAGATTACATTAAACATATCAGGCACGTTTTGCACTACATTACACTTAGTCAGTAACTCATAAAACCACTCTATTCCTATCTCACACAGTCCGTGTTAGATATAAACGACCAGCAAAACAACCACATCGAAGGTTAAAATCACACTCGCCAGTCATGTATCTGTTCCAGCACATTTTAATGCAACTGTACTGTGAACTGTACACTGACACTGCACCACAAACATGATAAGGGTATAAAGCTAGTCCACTCCGTGTCTTATTAGCGGCTGTGTGAATAGGCTACTTGTTTCAGGCTTGCGGATGGATACGTCCAACGAAAAATACGACGACGAAATAAACAAAGAAACGAAGGCTGGAAAGTCAACGAGCGCTTCGACAGCTTATAAACAGCACTGCAATAGATATCGATACAGCATACATAAGTAACGACGGCATTAAAAGGCGTTAGAAAACCGAGTTAAGGGGCTCGAATCGCAGTCCTGGTCAGGAGGAGTAGTTCGGCAGCAGCGCCGCTCTCGCTCACAGAGCAGGAAAGCAGAGCGCGGAGGAGAAGAGAGGAGAGAGGAGCGCGCCACCTCCGACTCTTCAGCGGTCTCCATTTTAACTGCTCGCCCAGCCTGCGCCTCACGTGTCCTGGACTGTCTCTCTCACATGACCCGCGTGTTTGTCCCCGTGATCAGCACTTCCATCTCCGTATTTCAGTGTCGCTGAATATCACGTTTTAAATCGCTTACCTTCATGGATATGCTCGAACAGAGCCTGGACGCGCCGACGAGGTGAGAGCTGCTCTCTCTGCTCTCTCTCCCGTTAATGGCTCCCGGGCCTGGACACCATCTTCTGTAGCCGAGCACTCAGCGGCGATTCACACACAACTACAACTTTATTCTCCACACTGTTAGAAAGTTTGGTGCACGCCGAGGTTACAGTGACTAACTGTTGTAGTTATTGGCTCAGTGAAGCGTGTGTGGTTTTCTGTGAAAGTCACCGTATTTTTGCCGATTTTAGCTCGCCTGGTTAGCAGAAACACTCTTTACTGCTAGCTAAGCTACATTTTCCGGTCGGTATTGTTCGTGTTTTGTGTTTCTCAGTCTCCTTTTAGCATTTGTTTCTGTTATATAGCTGCGGGATGGTTCAGGACCACTCCTGAGCGCATTTTAAGTACCACTTTAAGTCTTTTTCCTCTGCTGTCCAGGGCCAAATCTGGCCTTTATCGTTAATTAAGCAAAGTTAGCTAACCGCCAGTTTAAGAGGGAGCGGAATGAATTCCTTTTGCGAGTCCGGATGCTAAGCTGGCTAACATTTTATTGTTTTTATGTCTTTCGTTCTTAGAGCTCTCAGTTTCTTGGTGAAGCTAGTTTGGCTGCACTTTCACATTTACGTAGTGGCTTAAAATGTGACATTTTGTTTATTTTGTTTGTGCTGCCCGGTTTCTAGTTCGTCGTTTTGCTCTACGCGGGTCGATACTTTGTGTCCGGGGGGGCGTTCACTGTTCAACAATGCTCAGGCTGAGAGAACACCTCTCTACAACAGTTACTTGGCATAAAAGCTCGAGTTATTTTGCGCGTAAGCTGTGTAAAACACTATAGACACACTAATATAGTCGTTTTATGCTGAGCTTAGAGTAAAACTGCGAGAACTGTCAAAAAGCAACACAGTCCACTCTGTGTTTTATAGTTGTAAACACTTTTCAGGTCAAAACACTGACCAGCAATCGCAGAGGACACATTTCTAGAAGAAATCGAGATGTTTAGACGTTAAATTAATTCTGGTATTTGTTGTATGTTGCAGTGTTTGCATATATATTTTGTTTCTTTTTACTTGAGGTTATGAACTGCGTTGCTCATATAGAGCTAAACTTCCCAGACCTGATCATTAAGATGGGCAGTGTATTGTGATTATAAGCTGTTATCAGAATTTTAAATATGGTAATATGGCGAGATAGTCAAACTGTTACCTCACACCTATTGTTAATACGCATAATTCAAACATTATGACCTAATCTTTGAGTCACACTGCCCATCTCTGCTTGCTCATGTTTGTGTTTTTGGTCTAAGGCCTGTTTAATAAGACAAGAATAGATCATCATCAGCATCATGTTCATCCTATATCACATTATCCTGGTATGCAACACCATAATCCTGAAATCTAATTGTATAAAGAAGGATTATGCTGTCATATTACTCAGCTCTAATGTCAATTTTTCTTTGCTAACATTGGTGTAATATTTCTTTTGCTTCTTCTGTTTCAGTCACGAGAAACAGGAAACTGAGGAGGTTGTTCAGCTTCAGGAAGGTAAGCTTTAATTTGTCAAGCCCTGATGTCTCAGTACAGGGATAGTGCAGTTGGCAACTTTTTACTAATGTATACAAGGAAATGAAGGCTTTATTAATTTGAAGATCATAAATAAAGAGCCACTCAAATGTAGACACAGCATAAGCCTTGCAACATTGACCTGAGACAGACAGACACACGGATAGACAGATGTGCTCATAAATAGCTGCAACAGTAGCTGAAGATCCCGTGACATAATCTACACAGAATAAATATACCTTTTTGCGCAAATCTGCATATGCAGTGCACAACAAGACAAAGTGTGGGAGACGTTGGCTGAAACATGCCCATTCAGTGTTGTGTGGGATACAAAGTATTGTAGCTATAGTGAAGCAACATTAACGTTTGCAAAATATCAGTTGGTATGTGAATTATTTGTATGGAAAAACTGTCCTATTGTTCATTCTGATAGACTGGGGTTGAGGAAGCAATGAAATCAGTGTAGAGTATGAACTAGTACTTGCTGAAATACCAATCCTGTCTCATGCATAATTCACTTGCATCTTTTCTATGATTATATTTAGCAAATGCTTAACAAACTAGCTTTGTATGTTCTTTTGGATATGACACTCAGTGTGTGTGTGTGTGTGTGTGTGTGTGTGTGCGCGTGTGCGTGCTTGTCCCTCAGGAGAGGGAGTGGGGGCGGAGGAGCCGGCGGCGGTTACCATAGCGAGTGCACAGCAAGCTGCAGTATTCGCTGCTGACCACAATGTCCAGTACCAGTTCCGCACAGAAAACAGCGGAGGCCAGGTCAGCACAGTTTTTAACTTTGGGAGGAGGGGCAAGGTTTGCAGGGGTCAGGAAGGGGTCATCCTAAATCATTGTCTCTGGAAACCTTTAAAAGCCTTTGATGTATTTCTGGGAACCTAAAGGCCCTTTCAGGATATTCTGGGAATGGTTTCTTTTTATTGTACTTGTACCATATTTGTGGCAAATACGGTCTTTGATTTGCTTGGTTTCTATGCTCTATGCCTCTATTGCTGTATGTGGAATTGAATTGTTTGACAGTGAACAGTTCATATGTAATTTGGTTCAAAAAACATTGTGCTCTTAATCTAGGGGTGACTTTTAGAAAATGACTGTGCTTTTTTTCCTTATTTGTTGGCTGACAGAACGAATCATGATCTTTTAATAATCAGATTACTGGATGTATATTTATTTGTTCTGAACTAGCTTGGTATATTATTGACATGTCACATATCTGCAGGAAGTACTTGTTTAAAGCATTTGCAGAAGTTCTGTGAAACTAAACCTCAGTAATCTAAAACACGCTAATGCCACTTACGAATGAGATTCTGACTTTGCATTGGATAGGCAATGGCTGTATTGTAGCAGTATGGAGAGAAATATCATATTTTGGTCTTTAAACTTTGATTCCTGCAATAACTTTTTGGGTCTCATATGATGCCTTTACAATCTGTACATATATTTATTGAAATGTGAATTTTAGTGGACGAACAAAGTCTTCTGTCCAGTCTAGTTCATGCTACACAACCAAAAATTTATTTGCTGGAAGATGGGTTACATTCACAGCACACAATGCCTTAAAAAGTAGTTACACAAGTCAAACAGAAGTCTTGTTCTTGCCATGTGATGTTTCAGGGGTCAACAGAAATATTTGACGTTAAAAAATCAATGTGGTTAGTCTCCACATTTGTTATTATCTGTTAAAAAGAATCTCCACTCCACTGATGAATTATTTTATAGAGTTTTTGTACAACAGTTCACACAAGCACATGGCTGGTTTCTTCTTATTTGTTCATTCTTTTTTTTTCATCTGCAGGTGACATATCGTGTCGTCCAGGTGACAGAAGACCAGTTGGAGGCAGCTGGAGATGGAGGAGCTGCGGTCAGCGTGGTGTCCACAGCCGCCTTTGCTGGTGCCCAGCAGGCTGTCGCACAGGTAAGTGTGTTCCTAGGTATATTAGTATGTGAAAGAGCAGAGAGGCTGGATTCAGTATTTCTGTTTTAATCAAAATATCTATTTTTTTTAATCAATCCTGCGTAGGGCTGTCAAATGGAATCATAAGTTTTCCCTTGTTTGTTCATTAAATACTTAAATATATTAGAATTTTTTTAATATTTCACACAAGAACAAATTAGCATTTTTTGTTTATAAAATAAACTTGTCATCTCGTTCATGACTGAGTGGCTAAAAACCTGTTGAATGTTTGCGAACATTCCCATAGTGTCTAAAACCCCATACAGTTCTAATTAAACTTTCATGGTGTTTATGTTGAGCAGTGGCATAGGTGGCATAGTCTTCCCTCCATTTCATAGCCGTCATTTGTGATCCTTTTTTGTGTGTGTTTTTTTTTAAAAGATGAATGTTATTTTGCCCTGTTCCTGGGTAGTAAAGGACGACATTTAATCTGGATTATGTAATATGTTGCAGACATAGAATACAACTACAAAAATCAAGTGCTCGAAAGTAGGATACCTTTTAGACAATATGCATAATCAGCTTACAGTTACTTTTTTGTGGATTGCTGTTTTTGCTTGTTACATTTTTAATTAGGCAGTATCAATAAGTTAGTCTATTAGTTCTTAATTTATGTGCTCATAAAAGGGCATAATAGCAGTGACTGATAACAGTACTGACTTGCGGTTCAAACATACAAGATCGATCAGTGTCAGCTCAATAAATGATTTGAAACAACTTTACTTTTAACACAGGCAGGCCACAGGGAAGAAATATAAGATCCAAAATTATCAAAAGTAATTTGAAAGTAGTACAGAAGTAAGATTGTTTTGTTTTTTTTGGTAATCTAAAAGATTGCTGATTCCATATTTAGTCATGTAATTTGTAGTAAGTGTCAGATTGCATTTCTCCAGTAATCTGCCAAACTCTTATCTAGTAATCTGGATTCCACTGTGCAGTATATCCAGTAGCTTTTTTCATGTCTGGCAGATCGGATAGCCATCTGATCCTCTATGTCAAAAATGCAGCCAGGACACATTGGAAGCAAATTGCAATCCTACCACTCAAACCACTTTAGCAATTACTTCAGGAATTTGTTTGAGAGACATTAGAGGTACAGCCAAAGTCTAAATGTATCTCTTTCGTCAAGATGTGTATGTAATGTTTACCCCTCCCAAACAGACAAACACAGACTTGAAAAGCTTCATTTAACAGTTCCTGTTGCTTTTTACACTTTTAAGCATCATAAAACTGCTCTTGGTTTTTCAGTTACCTGCATAGAACAGAATTAGTGGCACAGTATTGTTGAGGGATTTTGAAGTTAGGATTTCTTTGGTTTGTGTAAAAGCAGCACTGATGCAAATAGGATTTCTATTTGTCCGAAAGCCAGATGTATATGAAGCCAGGTTAAAAACGAAATGTAGATGAACTTTATCTGGACGTCAGCTGCATTTGGAACATATAAAATTAGAAGTGTAAATGCTGTCTGTGTTCCCTTTTTTTAGGCTGTTATCCAGAACCCTTTCAGTAATGGAGGCAGTCCCGCAGGAGAGACAGTGGGTGGAGAGACACGCTTTGCTTATTTTCCTGCAGCTACTGTCAGTGATGGTACGGCAACTGCTGTTTCTGTTCAAGCAGCCACCGATACTGCTCTCACGCCGGCCGGAGGTCAGTTCTTACACATTCACTCATACATGAGTGCTCTTTTTGAATTATTAAAAATGAAAAATCATTTTGCCTCCTGACATGGTCATGTGTCAGTTTTTGCCCAGTCAGAAAATGAGTGAAGTGGCAGGGTTTTCTATTTCACACTCAACACAAAAAAAAAGAAAATCTTGTGCCTACTCTGTGTTCTTAATTCATACAGTTGCATGTGAAAGTTTGAATACCCCCAGTCAAATTACATGTTTTGTTGATTTTCTAAGTAGAAAAAAAACATCCTCTACAGTGAAAAAAATCTTAAATATAGCATTTTTATGCTAATTTTAATGCACACTTGCTGTTTATTTGCTAGTGTAACATATTGGGGGGGGTGAAATAAAAAATGTGCCATTACCTTTGTGCATGCCACATTTTGTGTTTAGTTTTTCCCCCCAATATGTTAAGCAGTAATTTGTAATTGCATTTGCATATGACTACATAACCTGCCATTTTGTTTTTACTCACATAAGCATGAAAAACTGCATGATGTTTTCCAAGATTTGTCTTTTTAGATTCTACGGTGGATGTCTTGTTGTAATTAGCATCTCACCACGAGTAATTTTGATTCATATTTTTTTATGTAAGCTGAGAGTATTGCCATTCCCCTAATTTTTACTGAAAGTAGTTTGCAGTTACTAACAGTATAATTCACTGTTCCTTATTTATTCATCTAAAAGAGATGAACACAGTGCCATGTTGTTCTTCCAAAAGCAACTTGAAAAACTCTAATGTGGCAATGTGGAAGTTTTTGAAATGCCTTTTGGTTGAATGACTCCTTTTGAGAGTATGTTTTGCATGTTTTTTCAACATTTCAGTGAAAAGCTCTTCTTGGGTAAAATAGCAGAGACACTAATGAGTCACTCAAGTTTGAAAAATCAGTAACATTAGGTGAACTCTCACTGTAATGTGCAATTTCTAGTTGCAGCAGAATGATCTTCAAATATTTCTCTTTCCACTGGCATCCAGGTCAGTTTTACGTGATGATGAGTCCTCCAGATGTTTTACAAACTGGCACGCCACGGACTATTGCCCCCCGCACCCACACTTATTCCACGTGAGTACAGGCCATATATTAAAGTACACTCCCTCTCCCGCAGGCTGGATGACTCAGTCCACCCTTTGCATCTCCCTGCTGATATAAATAAATAGTTCAATTCACTCATCACCTGAGTGATTGGATTTCTTAGAACTGCATAACGTGTAAGTGTGTGCTTTTTGAAATGTATTATGATAACATTTAGAATAATGAAAATGAAATTCATTCAGATTTATAGCATTTTTTTACATTTTGCCTACTTGAATTGAGTGCTAGGAAACAGAAAAAAACAAAAATGTATCCCACTTACCTACCGTCCCCAGAGACTTTGGCGAAAACGAGATGCTTCAACATGGCAGTTCAAACTGGTGAGGAACACCTTCTGCACCCCCTCCTACCTCATTCCCGACCCCCCACCCGCCCTCCAAAAAAACAAAACAGAATAAAAAAAACAATCGCTGACACCCCCTACCTTCTGTAGCCTCTGTGCTAGCCTGCTAGCCTCCAGTCAGATGCTAGCTGCTAGAGGCCCTCCAACTGTGGTTAATGTTGTGTGTGTGTGTGTGTGTGTGTGTGTGTGTGTGTGTGTGTGTTTTGTAATGGATTTATTTAAAAAGAAATGAAATGTAAAAAGTGAACTTTAATCTGGATTTGACCTCAGCCCTGTATGATGAAATTTGGAATTGTACATTGCCTGCATATTTTGCAGAAAGAGTGTTTTACTGAGTTTGAAATTGTGCTAAAAGAATTTTTGTTTGTTGGGAAACTTTAGCATACAAGTTTTTGTGTTTGTGGTATTTCAGTGGTGTAGCTAAACATCACCTGCTTTTCATTTTCCCATCTCTCTTTGCTAAAACAGGAAGGTCGATGGCCCGAGAGCACCGCGTGATGAAAGGAGGAGAGCGCAACACAATGAAGGTAAAATGTAATCAAAGTGTATAAAAGTGTCCCAGCTAACTTTGTGCACATTTATACTATTACTGGAAATACAGCCAATTGACATTTTTAAGTGAGTAGTGTGCAAAATTTTGGTGTCACTGACAGCAAAAGATATAATGCTATCCTAAAGATGACAGTTAGTTATGTCTGTAGTTTCTGCAGATAAGTAATATGCAGTGGTGCCACTCAAAGGCAGTATAATGTACCTAAATAACTGTCATGCAATGCATCTCCACTCAGTCACTCCAATCACACAAATTTAGGATCTAGATTCAGTTTATGATTCATTATGAATTTGATATGTAGAGTTTAGAACAGGACTTGAACACTTTGCAGTGGAAAGAAGGAGAAGAGACAAGATTAATAACTGGATAGTCACACTGTCCAAGATCATCCCAGACTGCAACATGGACAACACCAAAACTGGAGCAGTATGTACACAAAAATGCCTGTTCTGCAGTTCTGTGTGTGTTACAGAAGAAAGGGAAACAACAAATTCTACCCTTTCACAAATGCCCTGTGTTAGAATTTTCTGTACCCCACCATCACTGTCACAAGAGTTGGATGCTTCTGATACACTATATGGACAAAAGTATTGGGACACCTACCTGAGCTTTTATAACGCCCATTCTAAATCCATAGGCATTAATATAGAGTTGGTCCCCCTTTGCAGCTATGACGGCTTCCATACCTCTGGGAAACTTTCTACAAGATTTTGGAGTGTGTCTGTGGCAATTTTTGTCCAATCATCCAGAAGAGCATTTGTGAGGTTAGACACAGATGTTTGATGAGAGGGCCTGGCTCACAATCCCTGTTCTAGTTCATCCCAAAGCTGTTTGATGGGGTTGAGGTCAGGGCTCTGTGCAGGCCAGTCAAGATCTTCCACACCAGACTCACCCAGCCATGCCTTTATGGACCTTGCTTTGTGCACTGGGGCTCAGTCATGCTAGAACAGAAAAGGGCCTTCCCCAGACTGTTCCCACAAACATGCAAGCATACAGTTGTTCAAAATGTCTTGTTATGCTGCAGCATTAAGATTTCCCTTCACTGGAACTAAGGGTCCTAGGCCAACCCCTGGAAAAAAACCCCATAGCATTATGCCTCCTCCACCAAACTTTACAGCTGGCACAATGCAGTCAGGCAGGGTAACATTTCTCCTAGCATTCGCCAAACCCAGATTCATCCATCAGACTGTCAGATAGAGAAGCATGATTCATCACTCCACAGACTGTTTCCACTGCTCCAGAGTTCAGTGGTGGTGTGCTTTACACCACTCCATCCGACGCTTGGCATTGTGCTTGGTGACGTAAGGCTTGCATGCAGCAGCTCAGGCAAGGAAACCCATGCCATGAAGCTTCTGGTGCACCGGTTTTGTGCTGATGTTAATGCCAGAGGAGGTTTGGAGCTCTGCAATTATTGAGTCAGCAGAGCGTTGGTGACTTTTATGCACTATGTGCCTCAGCACTCCGTGACCCCACTCTAACTTTACATGGCAGGACACCTTGTGGCTGAGTAGCCGTGGGTCCTAAACGCTTCCACGTTTCAATAATACCACTCACAGTTGATCATGAAATATCTAGGAGGGAAGAACTTTCATGATGTGCAACAGTGGCGTCCTATTACAGCACCACTCTCGAATTCAGTGCACTCTTTAAAACAACCCATTCTGTCATAAGTGTTTGTAAAAACAGACTGCATGGCTAGGTGCTTGATTTTTTTTTTTATCCCTGTGGCAATGTGACTGAATAAAACACCTGAATTCAATGATTAAGAGGAGTGTCCCAATACTTTTGTCTATATAGTGTACTTTATCTGAATCTGGGTTACAGAGAGGTCTAACACAAAGAAAAATGTGGAAGGGTACAGGCCTATGAGTTAGTTGTTTCCCTGTCTTCTGTCCATTATAATTATTCTATTCTAATAATGCTAAACCTTGGTAGTCTGTGGTATAAAATCTTCACCCTTTCTCTGTAACAGAGTAAAGGGGGCATCCTGTCTAAAGCATGTGACTACATTAGAGAACTCAGGCAGACTAACCAGAGGCTGCAGGAGAATTTCAAGGAGGTGGAGAGAATACAGGTGGACAACGAGCTCCTTAGACAACAGGTACCTCTCTCCCTCTATAATTTGAGGTAACACAGAGAAAGCGTTAGCTGATACCAATTGTGGCCTGTTATGGCACACTTTAAATTTTATTTTATATTATTTTTTCCGATGTTAAACCTAGCAAATAAATTGAAATTGTGCACTGAAAAGTGCAGGAAAAAAGTGCAGAAAAAATGTCATATTTAAGGATATTCTTAGTAGAGGATGTATTAGCTTATATTCATTTAGAGAATCAGCAAAACATGTAATTTGACCAGGAGTGTTCAAACCTTTCCATATGACTGTGTATGATAACTGAGGCAATTATCATAACAATAAAAATGAACTGAAGGATGCATAGCTATCCATACATAGTTCAGCCTTTTTTTAAGAAAAGATTCCACAATATTATAGTGTAGAAAAATAAACAAGCAAGCCATAAAGTAGGTAAATTGTAGTCTTTTTTTTTTTTAAACAAGTAATTGTTAATTATAGTAGTAACGTATAATATGCCTTGGCTGCATTAAAGTATATCACTGGCAGGAACTGTGATAATGAAGTATAACTTGTGTGTCGCTGTGCTGCAGATCGAAGACCTGAAGAATGACAATGCACTGCTCAGAGCCCAGCTACAGCAACATGGCCTTGAAATCAGTGGAGAAACAACTTCACAGTGACGAATGGACACACATACACAATGGAACAGTGTGATGAAAGAACCCCTCAGTGAAACACATGCTCACGCCCCATCACAGACTCAAGATGTTTGATAACCTGGTAGAATAAGAGTGCTTGTTTGATATTGACATACATTACTGAAGAGAGACTATTGGACAATAGTTTAAAAATAATCACTGTTTAAAGAAGGAAAAAAACACCTCTTTCTTTGTTCCATCTTCTCTTCTTCCTAAAAGACTTTGACCTCCCTGGACTGGAGTCGCTTCCCTCAAACTGAAGTAAACATGCTTGCAAAGGACTTGTAATTTGGTTTTCAAATTATGAACCATTTAAATACTCTCAACCATGCCTCGTGATCATCTTTTGTTAGAAGCTATGTGGTTTTTTTTGTTTGTTTTTTTTTTCTCATGGCATTTCCTTGTAATTGTAACTACTGTTTCCAGCATGATGAGGTTTTGGGTCTGCATTATTTATTAGCTTACGGAGAAATGAACGTACATACCAGGGATGTAAAACCTTAGTTGTGAAGCTTGAATTTCATCAGAAATGCTTTAAAATTAATTGGAGCAAAATTTTGTAAGCCCATTTGAGTAATATGAGCAATCTGTCAGACTATATATGAGATAGATCACGTTTGTGGTGCCAGTGTAATGCTATATCAGGGCAAATGAGTTTGCAGTATGACTGGTTATAATGTAACCGAAATACATCTTTAGTACTCTGTGTGGGTAGGATATAGATGGCACAATCAGAATATAGAAAGCTGCAGGTGTGAAGCTGATTGGGGCCTTCGTAATATAGGATCAGCATGTAATGAAGGAACGATATAAATAAATAGCTCAGGGTTGAGATAGGCAGGGAAGTAATGTGTTGCCCCATGTTTTTTGATACATACAACTTACCATACTGCAGTTTAAACATGGCAATTCTCAATAATGTATATTTTCATTAAATCATCATTTGCCTGTCTTTTTTTGGATGAATCCTCTGAAAGACACCCCCCACCTTTCCCTTTTGGAGACTTGTTTCAGTTCATGTATATAGGAGGTGAAGCTGACCTCTGTCTGCTTCATCTTAAATTCATTCTCTTTGACATCTGTCTCTAACATTTCTCACAAATTCTTACCAAGTGTAGAATGTCTTTAGGTACGAGTGTGTTCTGTTGTTAACTGCCACTTTTTACAAAAAAAAGTCTTCCTTCATGTGTCTATACACCAAGTCACTAAAACATCATATGGAGTCCGCGCTTTGGAGTGAAAAGGGGAGTGACGTGAAAAGACTTCAGACACCTCCAGGCTGGTTGTGCTACTTACAGAAGAACGTGAATGATGGCCACGAGTTGGCAAATAACTTGGACTGCATAGAAATGCTTCCTAAGAACCTCCTCTCCTGCCTGTACCTGCCTTAAAAATGACTGCAAAATGACTTTGGCATGGTAATATCATAGAAATGAATAAATTTAGTGGAAACTTTAGGTTATTCTGAGACTTAACTAAATAATCTTTCATTTTCCTGAAATCTCTTTCAAACAGTATTGATTCTTGTTTTGTGTTCAGTGGTCAGATTTTCTTTTTTTTGTCCATGTTGTAAGATCTCATTGATTTCAGGCCCCACTAAGCAGCTTGCACTGTAATTCACGTCTTTTCCCTCCTACCCATGTAAAAATATCAGGAGAATGTTGGCTAAAGTCCCCCAAACGGCCGCTGAAAGGTGTCCGATATTAAATTTGGAGTGGTGAGATACTCTTTTAAGGCCCTCTCAGATGAAGGAATGCACCTCAAAGCAAGCTTCATCACTTAATAAGTATAAACCACTCACAAAATAAAATGAACAATGTGACATAAAACAAAATTACTGGCCTTTATGATTGACATCTAAGTAAGCCATATTTGTGCCGATTCTACACAACTGTGCAGTCAGGCTGTGCATGCTGAAGAAAACAGGTGACCGGAATTGATTACTTATTTAATTGATTGTTGGTAGATCTTATTCTTTAAGAGCAGTTAATGATGGTGCAGATCCTTGTTAGACAGTGTTTTCTTCATAATAGTAAGCCAGTGGCTTTGACCACGCTACAATTGACCTCTCCTTTGACAGAGGAGATTAATCAACTTGTAAATCCAAGCACAATGATTTGAAGCTTTGCAATTAGAGGACATAGAATGTTTTCCAAAACCAGCCTATGTGTTGTGTTTTGTGCTCTTTAACATAACTACAAATGGTTTCATAATTTCAGAACTACTGATGAATTAAACAAGTATTTACGTCTGAGCAACTACTTAAATATCTGGGGGATAGCAGGTCCAAGACTGGAGTTGGGAAAACTGATTTAACACCCAAGAAACTACATCAAACTTTAATTCGTGCAAGAACTGAGGGCCAGGATCACATCATCTTCCTAATAAACTTACTTGGAATGACTTGGTTTTCCTGATGGATTAGTTTGAAACTACAGTGATGTTCTCTGGGGAAAGGATTGTTCACCTTTAGTTTGACACAGAGAAGATGAAAAGTGGAGGTGTTTTTTAATACTAGTGCAATCTCCCAATACACTTTCACCATTCAGATAAGGAGATGCATGGCACTCTATGCACTGGCATGGTTTCTACCAGTCATACAATAAAACAACTATATTTATACTGTTTAAGGCTGTGTCAGAGTTCTTTTTATATAGTGGTCAACAAGAAATATAAACAAGGCATTTGTGAATTAGTAAGAATAAATACGCACAATGGGGCAGTCATGGGCTGGAGATTAGGGAACCAGCCTTGTGAGCGGAAGGTCGCCAGTTTGATCCCCTGAGCTGACAGGATGTGACTGAAATGCCCTTGAGCAAGGCATCTAACCCCCAGTTGCTCCCTGGGCTGCCCACTAGTCTGGGCAAGTGTGCTTGCTGCCCACTAGTGTGTGTATGTGGTGTTTTACGGCACAGACGGGTTAAAATGCAGAGGTGAAATAAGGGTCACTTAACTTACTTAACAATAAGACGATCACTGAATGCTTCCTGCTGTTTTTACACAAATCTTAAGAAAAGTATGTGAAAAGCTAATAAAAAGCAGTTATTTGTTAATCCACTTTCACCAGTATTTAAATAAAAACAGTACAAGAACATGAATTTCGATGTTTTGTTAGTTTGTTTTTTGTTTTTTTTTTTTTACACATTCATTCTAAATTTGAAAAAAACACACAAGTATGTCCACTGGACAGATGTTTAGATTTGATTGATATTTCAAACTAATATATGATGGTGTTTTTGAGCAGATTTAGGTGATGTTGGGTAACTGCACTAAAATATCTTCGTTTATTCATTTTACTGCATGTGTAAACCTGCAGACCTGTCCAGGGTGTATCCTGCCTTCCACCCAATGACTGCTGGGATAGGCTGCAGCTCCCCCTGTGACTTCTTTGTTTAGAACAATGTTCAGGGTCAGGTCAACTTACCTCTCTTGTCTTTTGCATAAGTGGTACAGGTGCATTAGAAAAGGCCTAATTTTTCTCAGTAGCAGTAGTTAAAGTCGTATTTCTGGGAGTTTTGCTGTAGCACTTTAGTTATGTTTACAATCAGGACACAGACAACTGAAGAAGACTGAAATGGTTTATGTGCCAACAAGTCAACTCACATGACATAAGCGAGTGATTTGACCGGCTCTACTAAACTGAACTCTTAAAAATGATGGTTCGTCAAAGGTTCTTTAATAAAAATGGCTCTATATAGAACCATGAACACTCAAAGAACCCTTTGCATGATAAATGGTTCTTAGTGAAATGGTTCTTCAGATTGATGGAAAATGTGTTGTATATGGTTCTATATAGCACCTTTTTGAGAATGGTTCTATATAGCACCAAAAAGGGCTCTTCTATTGTTACAGACTTGACATCTTAACAATAGCAGAACCCTTTTTGGTGCTATATAGAACCCTTTAATAAAGGTTCTATATAGAACCATCTATAGAACTCTGCAGTCATCTACGATGCAAAGAAACTTTTAATCATGCAAAGGGTTCTTTGTGTGTTCATGGTACTATACAGAATAATTTTCTTTACTAAAGAATCTTTGAGGGACCATCTTTTACAAGCATGTGCTTACAAGAAGGACTAAACTAACCTGAAGAAAGCAGAACCGTTTTGATACATATAATGAGATTAGGGTTTCTAAGAACTGTCATGTGTAACAACTTCTTTTCCTACTAAGGCTTTAATATATAATCATAAACTCCACTCATGCACATTGCAAGAAGAGGTTCTAGCTATGCTAAAGAAGAAAAATAGCAAGACAAATAATGAGAAATAAACAAGAAATAATTTGAAAAAGTAGAACTCAAGGATGAACATAGGAGCCTTCAAACCAGGTGAAAATGGCATTTTATGGTTACTGTGAAAAGGGGTTTAAACCTGTTTCTGTGGTTTAATGACAATCTGTTTCTGTATTAAAAATACAGGTGTCAGAAAAGGGTTCTTTGTATGATGCCACAGAACCTTTCAGTTCTTGTAAAAGAGATGTGTGGGTGTGAAGAATATTTTAAAAGTTGTAAGAACCTCCACATAATGTCAAGTTTCAAGCAAGAACTCAAATTGGTGAAGAACCATTATAAGATGTTTCTTCAAGAGTTTTTAATAAAGGCAATGATTTCTATATAGAACCATTTCATGCTTAAATACTTCATTCTTCAGATTGATGGACCCACACAGAAAAAAATATATGAAACTATTTTTTTATATATTCAAAATACATTCCAAACACTAAAATGTATTTCAGAATTTACTGCTATATTAACTAAATCCATTTTTTAATGAATGGGGGAAATATTACATATAGAAATGTACCATGCAACAATGTTAGTAAATATATTTAGCAAATACATTTGAAAATGTATGAAAATAGCCAGAATACTGTCTAATGCACTTTACTCTTCGGAATACATTTTGAAATGAATGTTGTAGGTATCAATACACTAATGACTTAATATTTATTTAAAATACATTTTGTGTGAGAAATGTCTTACCACATACTTACATGAATTAATGCAAAGTACAAATCAAAACACAATCAGTACCATTCATTCAGCTAATGTATATTTAGTTATACCTCTTACATACAGTTAAAAAATATATAATAACAAATACGAATAAATGTGTTTAATATATATATATATATATATAAAACAAGTATAAATATATAAAACAAATACATTTTTGGCCATTTTCATACTTTGCAAAAATATGTTTGATAAATGCATGGCCACGCCCCCTAAGCTCCTCAAGGCAGCGCGGTGCTTAGCGGACACCTCGATTTGTCACATGAGGGTCCTGCCCCCAGCACAGAAATCTAAGCAGCAGCAGCAGCAGTTCGCCGACTTCCATTCAGCCGATCTACAGAAATCTTTGTCATATTTTGTTTTTACTGACAGAACTGAGATCTGCATGGTTTTCCTGAAGATATCTGAGTCAGGCATTTTCCTGGGTTTTCCTTGGTTTTCGCCGGTTTTCCTCATCGCCAGATTCTACAGCAGCAGACTGGTCTGGACGTAAGATCTGTATTTATGATACTCTTTATCGTTGCAGCTTGACTGACTAAATCAAACTTGTGCTGACGTTAACCTGCCAGATGTTAATCCTAAATCGAGCTAACATGAACTATGAGCTGTGAACTGTGAAAAGAGAGCAGAGTTTCCTGAGCAGCGGTTAGTTTCGTTTCCTCGTAAGTGAATCTTCAGTGATGGTGCAGAATGATAATATGTGTGAATGATTTATTATTTATAACTGAGGCAGTCAGCTTACACTTAATGTTTGTGTAAAATAAACAGCTTTTTCAACTTTTTCAACTTTTAAGCTCGTTGATTTCTGTGCACTGCAGTAACCGCTGAGAGTTCAGGGAGCGTCTACAAACTACAGCATAACCGGAGAGCGTAAACGAGGTCAAGTACAAACGAATATCAAGCACACTGGCTGTGTCCGAAACTGAGAACAGCTGTCTCAGTCGGTGCCATAGAAGGAAGAGTTGTGATAAAAGGTACCTGCAGCCAAAGTCCTTATAGGAAAGTCTGTTCACTCTGTGGCCATGTTTGTAACGCTGCCAGGCAGGTATATCCTGCCAGGCTCCTCTCTTTGAATGAAGAGAGACCAAAATACTCGAAACTGAAGTTTTCATTTTAAAAACATATTTGAAATCACTGATGAAATCTGACAGGAACTTCATAAATAGTTTGTAGTCTTTGGCTCAAATAACACACAAAAAACATCTGGTAGTTCTGGCTAATGCGCTTGCACAGATCACCACAATGAGCGGGGCTTAACCAGCAAGTTGATCGGCTCTTTTTCTTGAAGGGCAGGACTTTCTCCATAAACAGACACCATGTTGAGCGTCATTTTTCAATCAGTGACCAGACTCCTTCTTTATATCATCTTTGCTTCAACTGACTCACATTTGGGATGCTTTTTGAAGGCAGTGATACGTTACGTTGAGGCCAAGATATGACAGCTCACCCTTAGCTGTTAGCATTAGATGTTAGCAACTTTTACCCTGAAAAATATTTTAAGAAGGCTAGCATGCTAAACTTTTTATAACCAAAATCACGTTGACATGCTTTGAAATTAGTGATATGTTGCCAAGATACATCAGCTCACTGCTAGTTGTTATGTATTAGCATCTTTTACCCAGAAAAAAAAATAGAAGGCTTGCATTCTGAACTTTTTATAAAGGTAGTTATATTATAACTGAAGTTTGAGGGGAGGAACACACCTGATACCCCTCCTTCTTCCAGTGCTCTATAAATTCACATCCTCGCCATCCGTTCCCGTGACGAAGTGTTCGCAATCCCCACCGCCACACCATCTCCTCCCTGTTCTTCAGTCCTACCACAGATATGGGGGGGGTCTGGCCTTCTAGCTACGGGCAGAAGCCGCCCAGAACTGCAGCCCAAGTTCTCAGAGTTTTCCCAACTCCCTCATTCTGTCTTTCCTCATACTACCACTACATGTTGAAGGCATGATCTGAACTCACAAACCAAAATAAAAAGTACTGTATTTGTGCACAAACCAGTTACTCTCCCCTACAGTTTTCCCTATCGCATCGGCACTGATCTATCAGATTGTGGGATTTGTAAGGCAGTGAAGAATACATCTACACTGCCTTTAAAAAACGGCCAAACAGAGGAACCTCATTTTACATACACTGTCAGTTCGGACATGACCTGGTCCCTACCTTTCTCAGAAAACCTCCTGAGCAAGCAGCGTTTCTTACGTTTCACACACAGCCATTATGAGCCATAGACCCTTTAGCAGAAAGAACACAAATGAGTTTTTAGAACAGCCTCTGTTTATTGCTGCTGAGCTCAAAATGAGTCTAGTTTTAGTGTCACTAAAACACAGCAAAATGTAAATAAAAACAGAATGATGTGCAAATCATTTAAATCCTAATTGAAAATAGTACAAAATCAATGTAGCAGCCAATAACATGTTTCAAAAGAGTTGGGACAGGGGCAACAAAAGACTGGTAAAGTTGTGTAATACAAAAAAAACACCTGATGGAACATCGTACTTGGCAACAGGTCAGCCACATGATTGGATATAAAAGAACATCCCAGAAAGGCTGAGTCTTTCAGAAGTAAAGTTGGGGAAGGGTTCACCACTCTGTGAAAGACCACATACTGCACGTAGTACAACAGCATGGCTCCAGAGTAAAAGAGTCCGAGTGCTAAACTCGGACAGATCATACTTTGTTTTAAATTGGACTTTCATTGTTACACAGATGACACCCAGATATATCTTAGGACCAAATCCGTTAAAAATCCACCTCTCAGACAACTGGAATCTTGTTTATCTAAAATTAAACTCTGGATGACACATTACTTTCTCATGTTAAATAGTCATAAAACTTAACGCCTTTTAATTGGCTCTAAATAACCTCTTAACAAAACTGACTCTGTAACACTTGGTGTCCAAGTACAAGGACAAACAAATATGAAGCGTTATGAGCCAGTATAGATCTTTTAGTGGACAGAACACAAATAATGACCAGCCAGAGTTTAAGAACGGCCTCTTTTTATAATTATTGCTGATAAAGGGTCTCAAAAGACTCTTTTGTCTTTGATATGGTGTGCACATGACTTTTGCATATTCAAAGTACAAGATCATTCCACAGTGATCCCTTGTTTCCATGTGTTTCAGTCTTAGAGCCTTTAGAGCCTTTATTCATGCATATATATATATGAGTGACCGAAAAGGGCTAAATTGTTATGTCCAGACAACTGGATCAGAGCATCTTCGAAACAGCAAGGCTTGTGGGGTGCTCCTGGTCAGTAGTGGTGAGTTTCTACTGACAGTGGTCCAAGGAGGGACAAACCATGAACCAAGGTTTGTCCCTAAGGTTGGGCATCTAAGGCTCGCCTATGTGTGAAGTAATCGAATGCTACCCGTCTGGTCTGAACTTTTGTGACACGTCATAGAAATTTAAAATTTTTAACACCCTGCTGTGTATGGGACTGTGTAGGAGCAGACCACCCTGCTGAGAAAAATTATAGAAACCATTAAAAGTTTCTGGTGATCTCTGGTGGCACATAATCATCAGTAATGGTATTTAGTGTTTTCCTGATGGGTTGATATTACATTGTAAAGGATTCTAATGGTTTAACTGAATGTGTAACATCATCAGGTTTTAATCTGAATGGTTCTAAGGGTATGCTGTCCGCTGTCAAAAGTGCCTACAATGGGCATGCACGCATCGAAGCTGGACTTTAGAGCAATGTCAGGCCAAAATTCTGCTGGGAAACCCTGAGTCTGGGCATTCATGTGGCCATCACTTTGACACATGCCACCTACCTAAATATTGTTGTGGATTAGATACACCCTTCATAGTAATGGTATTCCGGATGGCAGTGGCTTATTTCAGTAGGATAATGCACTCTGCACTTATTGCTTAGGAATGGTTTTAAGAACATGACAAAGAGTTCAAGGTGTTGCTCCTGGCTTCCACATTCCCTAGATCTCAATCCGGTCGAGCATCTGTGGGATGTGCTGGAACAAGTCTGATCAGTGCTGCTCACAGAGCACCTTCAGAGGGCTTGTAGAGTTCATGCCTCAGGGGGTCACAGAGGACCAACGTCATATTAGGCAGATGGTCATAATGTTTTGTCTCATTGGGGTATAATATTCACTGTCCAGTATACTGGACCTTTGGACTTAAGTGAATAAAATGTAAAAGTTTTTGAAATATGAACATATTTGTATTTCCCCTACGATGACAAGGTGATTATTTTTTAAATTAAATTAATTAATAAATGAATACATTGAAGTCATGAGTTAAGTTTCTCGTGGCCACAAATGAATATGTTGAGGCCACAAGTTAAGTCTCCCCTGGGCACAAATTAATATATTGAGGCCACATGTTAAGCCTCCCATGGGCACGAATTATTATATTGAGGCCACAGGTTAAGCCTCCCATGGGCACGAATTATTATATTGAGGCCACAGGTTAAGTCTCCCATGGGCACAAATTATTATATTGAGGCCACAGGTTAAGTCTCCCATGGGCACGAATTATTATATTGAGGCCACAGGTTAAGTCTCCCATGGGCACGAATTAATATATTGAGGCCACGGGTTAAGTCTCCCATGGGCACGAATTATTATGATGAGGCCATGAGTTAAGTCTCCCATGGGCACGAATTATTATATTGAGGCCACAGGTTAAGTCTCCCATGGGCACGAATTATTATGATGAGGCCATGAGTTAAGTCTCCCATGGGCATGAATTATTATAATGAGGCCATAAGTTAAGTCTCCCATGGACACGAATTAATATATTGAGGCCATAAGTTAAGTCTCCCATGGTCACGAATTATTATATTGAGGCCACAAGTTAAGTCTCCCATGGGCACGCATTAATATATTGAGAAGTCTGAAGGTCACAATTAATATATTAATCTATATTCACATCTTCATTACTAATACATATTAATTATATCAAAATGTATTATATATATATATATATATATATATATATATATATATATATATATATATATACATGCCAAAACTTCACTCATGGCCTCAATATATTAATTTATGGCCAAAAGAAACTTCATTTTTGGCCGCAAAATGTCAATTCATGGCCATGCCTTTAAAAATAATCACAGTGTCACCTTAATAGCTACATAACTTTCCTGTGTTTACAGTTGCATGAAAAAAAATTTCTGAACTTATGGAACTGCCTGGGCTTCTGCATGAATGACTCCTAAATATTAAATTATATTTTCAACACAAAGCATATGCAATGATTTGCATGGCCATACCTACAATAAGCATATGGTTTAAACAGTGAAGGTCACTGATGCAAGAAGTATGTGAACCTCTGTGATAAATACAGAATGAAAAGAGGGTAATTAGAGTCGAGTCCTCCCCTCGATTCAGACACGTCTGATCTGATCTCCAATTTTTTTCTTCAAAGTAGAGTTAATAGAATCAAAGCTAAGGAACATCACATGTTCCTGACTCTCCAAGAGTGGAGTTCAAGGGGGTTATTAAAAAC